GACCTATAAAAAAATTATATTCACAAGCTAAAAAATCCTATAACCTATAAAATATATTTATAAGAAAGTTGTGGATTCTAACGATTATTCGTTAACATAAACAATGGATTAATTATTACTCTATTTTTTATATATCAGTAAACATCCCTACTCCAAGCCGGTACCTATGTGCGCGGGCGCTAGGCGGGCCGTTTCATGCAACTGTCGCAAGAACTGCCCTATCACGAGTTTGAGAACAACGACGCTGGATTGTACATAAGTGCATAGCACATAGGCCAGAATTAAATAAAAGCGTGAAGAATGTACCACGATAGTTCGAATAGATAGTCTAAAATAGTTTAAACTAAACCAACTTCATGCTTCACTCGAACTTTGTTTCCCACAAAATAATCCCACAAAGTTTCTGAATCTTCGCTCAAGTTTAGTTGAAGATAACTTTCCTTTTTTATTTAGACAGACGAAATGTAAACTAAATTCTTTTACAGCAATTATACATAGGTAACAAATAAATAGACACGACACCGTCCTCGCCGGCGAAGACGACGACCTCAAACACACAATATCGCGCATTCAACCGGGCGCCTGCGCGCGGCCGGGCGCTCTACGCCAGCGCCTCCGGGCGCCCCTCCGATCGATCCTCCGTCCAATTCAAACGGGGATCGAAATTACGACGGCCTAAGCCGAGGTTCGAACACCTAGTGGTGCCCTCAGACTAAAGTCGTATCCGTCAGGCAGGAGTTGGCCTTCCGCCGCTCCATAAGTCCTTCCGCGGGTTTGGAGTGCCATCTGCTCTCACCTCCTAACGTCCGGTAAACCTGTAAAGGCCAGCTGCGGCCAACAGCATTAGAGTAGTCCGAAAAAAAAAACAAAGATATTACAAAACAAATATAATGCAACTAGCATTATATTTGTTTTGTAATATCTTTGTTTTTTAGACTAGATTTTAATACTGATATCTTCTAGTATAAATAAAAGGCTCGATTGGAAACATTTAAACAGGAATTTATGTACATAATCAATCTTCATTATGAAACTTCTTATATGAATGTCATCATCTTACAATTCTACCCAAGTCTTGATTTACTAATTTAAATTAAAAACTTGACTCAACTATATACTAAAATACTATAATGTTTACTAGATTTTTGAAAATAAAATACGGGACGGGATATATTAATCGCTGATAATATATCTTTCTATAAGTATCTACTTATTATAATTCGTTAAATGTATTTTTGTGTAAATAAATAATATTTATAATATCACTTTAGATTATTAGTACCTACCTAGGCATTAGCGGAAATTACGTTACCTCTCACATAAAAACTGGAAACTACTCGTATATTGAGCAATCTGCAACAACAATCCCTCAATATGTCTATCAGACAGAGTCCTTGCAACATAACTTTCAAAATTATTACTGGTATGTTAGGAAATCGCATTGACAGTATACAATACAGTTAGGTGGGTACAAGTAGTTACATACAATATTTGAATCGGTCTATAATTATGTCTATTGTTAATTTCTAGTTTGTGACTTTCGTAAAATATAATAATATTCCTATAGAGTTATAGAGATACATTTCTCAGCATTCACCATACGGAAGACGGGTCCATAACATGACGGACCAAGATCCAAGCAGATCCCGACACTTATGATAGTATATTTGTAGATATAGGTTTTAGGTACACCTTTTCGATACACATCAATGCTTACTATTTACTCGCATTTAAGCACCAAATAAATAAATATTTTGTTTATAAATATTACATCAAAATACTTCAGTTAGTGATTTTTTTACAATGCTCTGTAAATGCAATTTCAAAAGTACAACAAATGCAGTATGGTTGTACTTTTGAAAACCTATTCTACTTTAATTTTTTTGCCAGTCATGATCTAATTTTTGTTTTAGGCCATGCAATATGCTTCGTGCATATAGTGACATTTTGCATTTTTCATAATAAGTATATATTTATATCCTTATCATTTTTACATCAATCTTATATCGACAAATGGAGCGGATTGCTTTTGCTAACAATTGCTTTGATCGCAGGATTTATTGATAAGAAAGATTAAAATAATTTTATGTAGGTACTTAAATTCTGCATGATCAAAGACAAATCTTTCCACCATTGATAGTACCTAACAGGAAAAATTCGTCGTGTAATTTATTTTGTCCATAAAGTGATTATTCATTAGATATAATACTTATAAAATATGTCATAAATCTGTTTCTGCATAAGTACATAGATATATTTTCCTTATCCAGATTATAGGCAGCCTCAGTGTTATTGCAGTCGGTTCGATTCCCGCATGATACAAACATTTGTATTCAAAATTATGTTTTGTTCGTATTCATGAATAATATACGCAAAATGTGTAATGTGTATATATGTGGCAGAAGTTGCGTTAGGTATTGATCAAACATGATGAATTAACCACAAATTTTTCAAAAAGACTAAAACGTATATGTATACATATATCCAATACTAGATGTTACCCGGTCCTATGTGCTTATACGTGTACGTACTTTTTTCATAATAAAATATTGTCTATGCCCGTCCACGTAATTACGTATAAAATTCATCGAGTTTCGATCAGCTGTTTAGTCGTAAGAAGGTAACAAACAGACAAAGACGGCCTCGGTGGTCTAGCGGTTGAGTACACCGCTTTACTTCCGATGGTCCCGGGTTCGATTCCTCGTACAATGCAAACATTTGTATTCATGAATTATTGTGTGTATCGGTCGGGGTGTTTTCTATGTATATTACGTATGTATTTACGAAAAAAAATCTAAGTATTTACATATATCAATTGTCTACTATACATAACTAGCTCTGCTTACCGTGGGACTAGACGGCGTTGTGTTAATTGTCGAGTGTTATTTCTTGTCGGTTATTTATTGTTTAGAGATTTCTTAACAATTTATTATAGTAGATAATTTAGACACTTAGTAAAAAATGAAGAGCAATTTTCCTATACGTACACGAGTACGTGGTATGGTATGACCTTGTTACATTTTTTTGGTTTTTAGATATAATTTGGGTAAGGTATGAAAAAAAGACAAAAAAAATTGTGTAAAACTTACAATATAATTAATTTCATATAAGATACTATATTTATAAACAATATTGTGCATTTTGTCGCACTTAGATGTGATTATACACAAATTACAATTATAAATCAGTAACGACTAACTTTTTATGTGGCAACGAACATAAATGTAAATTTATATATTTTATTATAATATTTATTTAGAACAAAAAAAAATATCAAATACTATGTATACAACTATAACATAATCAATGATTTGTATATATTTATATATAAGTATAAACAAGCGGATAACATAAATATAGATTCAAATATCAAAATCACGATAGAAATATTCCAAAAAATCTAAGCTAATAATTTTGTTTGACTAGCGATTAGCTTATAAATAATCTATAAAAATAATATTTATTGCACATACTTATGATTTCACAGAAATAATACATTTGAATAAATGTACATATTGATCATCTTTAAAAAATAAATATTTTGTTTTATGTAATAATGATTACAATTTTATACATCGGCTCATGATAACTTTATTAGTTATCATATTTAACGAGGCACTTACCAATCATGTTTCCTTGTTTTGTGACTACTTCGATAGACAAATTTTAAAATGTTTACATATTTAATAAAAATATTTAAAATATCTTTTATATTTACCCATATTCATCTATCAAAAAATAATAACAATATAACAAAACATTCTTATTTGCTTTTTTTTCAAGTATATAAAATAAATGTTAAATTTTACTTAAACGTACGTATATAATTATGTGACAGTTGGATACAAATTGAGTATCTAGGATTTTAGCAAGTATCTATAGTTAACGAAAATATTGCAGAAATTAACAATAATTATTATTAATTATATAACTAGAAGTTAACTCTAAATATCTATGTATTATACATATGTATTCCTATTGTTATATACAGTTTGTATAAAAATATTACGGAATCTCCATTGTGCATAATTTCACATTATGTGTATATCAAATACAATGTCTTAAATTTCTATTTCAATTAAAAATATACTTTGTAAAATGAGATTTTTAGTATCTAGAAGTTTCAATAATAAAATAGAGAATGTTGTACGCTTTTGCATATCATTTATTAGAAGATAAATAAATTAAAAAGGCAATGCACAACTTTAAAAATAGATTAGTGAATATATTTCTTAAAATGGAATGTTGCACAGACACATGTAGGAGGAATATAATAGTTGAATTAGAATTTAAAATTAATAGGAATGTATAGAAGAGATAACAAATATTTCGGAATGCAACACAGGTTTGTCAAAATAATAGAGGTTTAGATAGAATAATTTTACAATATCATCAATTTCATAAAATCAATCAAAACTATATACCTGTTCAAAAAAAAATACATTGCGCACATTTGGAGGCCTAATATTTATATATTTATGTACATTATGCATTGGCAGGTGACAGTTGCCGGTACATATAGAGTCTATTTCTGCGTCCTTCCGTACCATAAAAGCGTAAGGGGAAGTTTATTGTATTTTTTACATTGCACTGAATAAAAATATTTTTCTTATTTCTTTACTTTTTTTTTTAACAAATCATATAACTATATGCGTTCTTTTAGTTGCCATTAATAATCTCTACTAATTAGATGCCTAATTGTAGGCATTAAAACTACTACATTAGTATTGAATTTGTTTATACACGTACCGACCTACAAGCGTAGGTATAATTACTGAAATATTTAATAACAAATTCAAATCATGGGTAGTTAATTATAGTATTGAACATACCACACAGAATGTGAACTCAACATTGTTAACAAGTAGCACATACCGGGTATAAAACAAAAATTAGTAGAATTATATAATTCAACATAAAATTATACATCAGGCTTATCATTAAGACTTGTCAAGCTATTGTATTGAGAGGGACTCTAAAGATATATACATAGCGTATATATCTTTAGAGTCCCTCTCAATACAATAGCTTGACAAATAATAAGAATTATTTAAAAGTAATAACTAAAACATGTATTCATGTTATGTAAAATAAAATAATGATTTTGTATTAAAATTCATGAAATGGGTTATTCTTTTAACAAGATATTACTCAATGCACAATTTTATTCTGCATGCCAGTTGGGTGCGATATAAAACTTGATTTATATTTATTCGACAGTAACAGATTTGGCGAGATTACGCGGACAATCAACATTGCAGCCACGCAAAACTGCGATATGGTAGGCAAGTAGTTGCATAGGTATTACTGTGAGAATTCCCTGTAAACAATCTACTGTTTTCGGTACTTGGAGAACGCGAGACGCAAGAGCCATAGTGTCCGTGTCGCCCTCTTCGCACACCACGATCGGGCGGCCTTGGCGGGCTGTTACCTGTTGCAATGCATTCATGCATTTTGTGTAAACGGGGTCGCGCATCATTATCATTATAACTGGCATAGAGTCGTCAATAAGGGCGAGTGGTCCGTGTTTCAATTCTCCAGCCATAATACCCTCACTATGCATATATGTCAATTCCTTTACTTTCAGTGCACCCTCTAGGCATGTTGCGAAATTATATCCACGACCCATAATAAGTAGCGACCTCTGACGGAATAAATCTTCAGCAAGGGCCTGGACCTGGGCGTCAAGAGCTAATACTTGACGGATTTTGCTTTCTAACTCATGAAGTCCGGCAATGATATCGGCACGTCGTTTTTGGAAAGATATGCGGTCCTCACTGATAACCAACGCAAACATAACAAGGGATACAAACTGTGATGTGTAGGCCTTTGTTGATGCAACACCAATTTCAGGTCCAGCATTAATATGAACACCACAATGGGATTCACGACAAATTGAACTACCTACAGTATTGGTAATACCAACAATAAGAGCACCATGACGTTTACAGTACCGCAGAGCCATCAGTGTGTCAGCCGTTTCTCCTGATTGTGAGATAAAAAAACATACATCATCACGGAACACCGGTGTATTCCTATCCAAGAAATCGGAAGCCAATTCCACCATTACTGGAAGCTCAGTTAACTCTTCCAAAAGTTGACGAGTTGCAACTGCACTGTGGTAGCTTGTGCCACATGCAATGAGCATCAATCTTCTACATCTCTTGATCTCAGGTATGTAATCTTTAATACCACCAAGGTTGACAGTACCATTTGCAAAATTGAGGCGTCCTCTCATGGTATTTACTATAGATTCAGGTTGTTCAAAAATTTCCTTTTGCATGAAGTATTTATAATTACCTTTCATGATTTGTTGTAATTCTAGTTTCAGAGTGAATATTTCACGTTCATGAGGATCACTGCTGCTGCCAGAGAGGCGATGGATACTCAAAACACCATCCTTAACATGGGCAACATCATCATCTTCAAAATACAATACTCTGTTAGTATGTTCAATTACAGCAGAAGCATCAGAGGCAAAGAAATATTCAACATCTCTTTCTTCTTCAGGTTGGAAATGGGCATGGCTGTTCACCCTGGGTACGGGGGGTACAACTCCACGTGTGGCCTTGTTATTAGTGTACATAATAGGGATATGATCACTGGATAAACGACGCCGTGTTTTAATACCCACTAGCAAAGGACTACCACGACGTGTTGCAACACATTCATTTGGAAAGTGACGAGATTTGAAACATAAAGCAAAAGCACCTTCCAGTTGCTGAATTACCTGCTCAACTAATTCTTGAAAACTGTAATCCTTGTGCTGGTTGTAGATGTGGTGGATCAACTTTGCAATAGCTTCAGTGTCTGTTTGGGATTCAAAAGTATATCCTTTATTTTCCAAAAATGTTTTAACTTCCTTAAAGTTTGTAATGATGCCATTATGTATCACTACAAAAGAATTGTCTTCTCCAGAACGCTGCGGATGCGAGTTCGTAGAACTTGGCTCTCCGTGAGTAGCCCAACGCGTGTGGGCGATACCGCAATGGGAGTCCACACATTCCTCAAGAGATAGCTCGACGCTGCGCTCCTGGAGCAGTTCTTCTAGGGCAGCTACTTTACCGCTACGTTTCAATACAGCTATATCTTTCTGATCAGGAGCATCGATGGCGACGCCCGCAGAATCGTAGCCGCGGTATTCCAACCGTTTCAAACCATTGACGAGCAGTTCTAAAATTTCGCGCCGGGTCTTAGGCGACAAGTGATTAATATAAGCAAAAATTCCGCACATTTTTACTACGGTTGAATGTAATAAATACCGGAGCGAACTTAAACACTACTCGCGACCGACTGCGACACTTAGCAGAATGTATTATCGATATTGAAGGTCTACACGTATTTCTCCTACCACTAAATTACTTTCACTTACGGCAATGCACACGTCATCGTGTTCGATATCAACAACGCGTAGTTGTTGTGTGGTAAAATATGTTTTAAACTTTTACGAATACTATCTAAAATACGGACTTATGGAAAATTAAGACAGATATAATACAGAGTACAATAGAGTACAGAAATGAGTAAAATACAACCTGCTTCGGTGTAACCATTCTAAAAATATCGATCTTGCTAAGATTGCTTAAAAAAATAAGCGATCACTAAAATATAGATAGTCGTACGGAAATAAAATAAAAATACAATACTATTTTTTATGTTCTTAATTATTCAAGTATCTAGATAAATTCCTAGGTTATTTGCATTATTTGAGACTAGTATATTAAAAAGTTAGTTTTAGACACAATTTGTGAAATAAATATTTATAAATAAAATTGCCTAAAATTTCAAAACCAATAAAATAGTAAAAGTAATAAATTAAATTTTACAATGATTAGTAGAAGTCTATAATTCTGAATATTTAATTTAGGGGTTGTAAGTTTATTTTTGATTAATCACAAGAATAAATATCATTGAAAAAAATGTTATCCAATAACAAAGGTACGCAGTTTTATATTAAAAGTAATAATACAGTATGGTTTTAAATTGGGTTTGTAAATTATTCTTTTCAAAATCAGAATCTTTATGAAGTTAGCGAGTACAAGAATATGTATAAATATACGGAACTGTTAATCCTTACTTAATATTACAAATGCGAAAGTAAATCTGTCTGTCTGTCTCGCTTTTACGCCAAAACTACTGAACCTATTTAAATGAAATTTAGTACACTTGTAGTCTAGATCCTGAGAAACGACATAGGCTACTTTTGAATGCGATTAAAGGGGTGTAAGGGGTTGATTTTTTAAAGCTAGTGGGTTGTAACTTATTTTTAGGTTATTGAATGAGTGCAAATAAAGAAAACGGATTGTAAGGGATTGAAAGTGGAGATGAAAGGTTGTATAAAAGTATCTTCATTTTTAAAGCTAGAAGCTTGAAACTTATTTTTTAGGCTGAGTACTAATATAAATAAATATGACATTCAAAATTTGTAAAAATGTCAACCTTAAGGGGGTAAATAAAATAGGCGATGAATATTGGGATTTTATTTATGCAGAGGGCAAATAAGGAAATACCATTTTATTTGCATTCGTATTTTTTATTAATATGTTTTTTCTTTTTTTTTATATACAATAACATATGTCGATAATACAAAGAAGTTGCATATCCAACAATGAAAGCTGGGTTTGATGTAATAAAATTTGACAAAAAATATTCAATATATTTTTTGTCAAATTTTATTACAGATTATTAGACTTGTCACATGACAGTCTCAAGAGCTCTGTTTTTAGTTGAATAATATGCTAATTATGATAAAAAGGCACGAAATGAAACTATACAATATGGTTACATTGCTAGCCACCGTTTATATGATCAGACTGAGTACTCTGTACTGTCAGATTTGACAATAAGTGTAATACAACCACAGAACACCAATATCCTAACGGAAATACAACCCCAAACTAAACTAGATCCGATTTTAGAACAATTGGAGTACCAGTTGGTTTAATAACTAGTACGTACGGGACGTACTAGTTATTAAACCAACTGGTACTCGTTACTACGTATAGTATATTATCTATGCTAGTTACCACGGTATCGTTACGTTATTTACAATATTGACAGCGCGCCATTTATTGCCTTTTAGTTCAAAATATTTATTCGTTTTATTATTTTCAAATGCAGCTATAAGGGTCTATATACAGCAGCAGTAGTATATATTAGACCTATAAATAAATTGTGTTAATATTAATAATTAAGTATTAATGATGACTAGGTAAATACAATAACCAGATGCCTCCAGTAAAAAGGTCACTACAGTTCTAAGTCAACTACAGTAACAAAAAGTAACCATTATTGCAATATTTATGTGAATACTGCAGTATTCTATTTTCGAACTATTCTATATTAGCCGCAGCTGATCTTTACCGACTTCGCCGAACGATATGGTTCCGAGCGTGGAAGGCACCCCAAACACGCAGTACGACTATGACTTATGGAGCGACTGAAGGCAGCAAGCAACTTTTGCCTGACGGATATGATTTTAGCCAAGTATAATGCCGCCTTATTATCGATGGTCACGAGTTCGATTCTCTCCAGTATGAAAACACTCAGATGGGAAAAATGTATTAAAATAAAGCATCATTACATAAAATATGCTTATATTGGAACTTGATGGCTTTGTGTAAATTGTCCAGGGTTATTATTATTATTAATTTTATTAAATACTTACATAAGCATCTCTCCCAGATACCCATAGTCATCTCTCCCTTACATAACTAGGTGACCCGCGTACGTCTGGGTCAGATTTTCCCCGTTTATGCAATATTTTTCACAGCAGATATCTATTGATTGTAGCGATGTTATATGGCGAATAGATTTCAGTGTCTAGTAAGTAACGGAGGTTACTCTGAACGTCCAAACTCACAACTTTACTACAGATATGGCAGAGAAGCTTAAAACATTCATTTAAAATAAAAAAGTATAATTCCTGCGAATAAAACCGATTCATCGCTTTCTTAAATATCAATACAGTTTATTGATCTTAGGGTTTTTCGTATCTCTTTGTTTACTATTATTTTATTTTTTCTCAAACTATAGACATCGCGGATAGGTTTATTCGCTATAAACTTAGTACTTTAACTTAATTTATATAGATATTAAAATATATTCTAGTTCAAGTATGTAATTTTCAAATCGAGATCGCAACTTATTAGGTAAACATTTTTATGTTTTAGCTTGTGTTCTATTTAGAAGTAGTACAATTTGATTCACTGCAACTGAAATGTAGATTTTGCAGTTAATAACGAGCTAGGTCGCTCTATTAAAACTTACGGTTTAAAATCTTGACATCACTACTCAGACCCGGATTTGACATGTTAGCCGTATTGTTGTTAGATAGCGAATAAAAAACTTTTGTTTAAAAGTAAAATCAATTGAATTATCCCAACAAGTTTACCGATTGAACCAAGCACCCTGATGTCAGCCCAAGAGAGAGGTGGGCGAGTCTGAGTGAATCTTGTGTTTTAATGAACAAATAAATAATTAAAAAAAAAAGTTAAATTACGAATTATTTGACACATTAGGCACAGGATTTGAACCGGCTACCCAACTGCGATTTCTAAATCTACATATTAGCTATTACAATATAAAGTTCTACTAAGACATACAATGGCTGTCGGGTTAGTACCGCTATTATGCTATGTTGAATTTGTAATCATAGCGATAGTACCCGCACGACCTACTCTCCACCGGGTGATCGCGGCGGGTGGCGGCGTTAAGCCGACTCGGCGAGCGACATACCGAATCCCGTCACACAATGCCCACAGCCGGCTGCTAGAATGCAGCTGGCCTCCGGCTGGTCGGTAAATAAACGACGCTGGTGTGGTTCATTCGAGCAGAATGCCCGGGTAAGGAGCGCAACACGGACCAGCGGACGACCCGGTATGTATATATGTAGCGATAGTAGCTCGCTTACACGAGTAAGTGGGTCCAAATAAATTACAAATACCAGTAGCTTCTTTATTGGTTTTATCAGGATAAGGATTTTACAAAATTATTGAAAAATTACAGTTATATTTAGCTTAAAATGAGTCTTGAGTTCAGTTTTCTGTACTTCATAATTTAAAGTGTTACTGTCATGGTTACATTTAAGTTAAAAATCAAAACTTACACTTTAGTATATATATATATTTAATAAAACTGATCAACTAAATTCCAACTGTAATTAATGTACACCGCAACAGAAATATGCTATCTACGTCATATAAAGTTCAAATTTCTATCAAAACGTTTTAAACGCTTTCGACATACTGCTAAATTCAACTACAAGGCGTTAGTTTTCAACCAACTACCCTCATTTTCTACACTCTGATGTTTTCCTTATATTAATAACTTTGACCACATAAAAATACTGAACTTTTTATTGAAAAAGATATCTTTAACACTATTATTTTTATAGTTTAAAACCGGTGAACATCAGTAGTTAGAAAATATCAATATATCAGTCACGGTCAAGTTATAGGGAAAACAATATTAAGAAATTCTAAAGTCCTAATATTCGAACTTGTGTTACAAATATTACGAAATACATTACTGCACTTAGTATGAAACCAAGTTATAAAATATAAACAATTGGAAAAGACATACATTACGTTTATAATATCTAAATCAAATTTGTACAGAGCAACATTGAGTAAGTCGTGTGCATTAGAAATGTTGACATGATCAACAAATTTCTTTTTATTTTTCCTCCTAAACTCCTTGCGATGGAAAAATAAAACATAACGTGCTTTTAAATACGGAAACTCAAACTTGTCAAGTAACTTATTACTAAAATAATCACAAATACATAAACTTAACACGTAAGCGTAACTGAAACGAACTAACATTAAAAATAATGTGTAATGATAAATGCATAATATAACGTCGAGGATGAGCGTGATGTTACCAGTGAAGAAGCTCCGATTGTGGGGGGCTAGGGGGGGCGGTCCGCGGCTACGACTCAACAGCGACAATGGGTACAAGTTTGTAAAGTTTAATGCAGAGCAACCATCGTCTGCCAGTTGTCTTCTTAGCTGTGCCACTGTTACCTGTATTTCATTTATACAGGCGAAGCAACAGAGACTTATGCATGGGGGGATACGTTGTGGGAGATGGGAAAAAGGTGACGTGGGTAACTGGGACAGTGGTAGAGAAAACGGCGCAACTAAGCAAATGATGGTTGCCGACTGCAAAACTTTGTTTAATGTGCCCCATAGTTATTTCTTCTTTTGGGCCTTCTCAGCGGCCTTGGTAATTTTTCCCGTAGTAACCTCTTTGAATGTTACGCTCTGTAACAAAAAACACATTCGTAGCTATTTAATCGAATAGAATTACAACAGGTAAACTGATATTTGGTCCTATAAATGTTAGTTCATGTTTGGTAATGTTACGTTGCAGACTATAGTTTTAGGCAGGCATCCAAAATTCGAATTGGCATTTGTAAATAACGTAATGTAATAAATAAGGTCAGAAACTTTTGCTAAAATTCTTGTCTATTTGAAATAAAATGTAATCGTTCTTGTCAAGATATGTAATGTGTTACCTTAATGACACCGACGGCGACAGTCTGGCGCATGTCACGCACGGCGAAGCGGCCGAGCGGCGGAAACTCTTGGAACGACTCCACGCAGAGGGCTTTCGTCGGTACCAGCATCACAATCGCTGCGTCACCAGACTTTATCGACTTCGGGTCCACTTCCGTTGTTTTACCTGACAATATATAATTTAATATAATGAACTGTGATTTAAAACGAAAATTTAATATTAATATTACTGTTTAAATAATAGTTAATGAAAAAATATTGTTATAGGTACTGAATGTTTTTAAAACAAATAAGAAGTCAATCATTTGCTATTTTAAAATATTAAGTTATTATTACTTATTTTCGACTGACCCAAAATTATTTGTTCTATGTAGATCATGAAAATAACCGGCACAGCCATTTGTAATATAGGTAACCATACAAATAAAATTATGTGACACAGTAATATATCAATGATATACGGATCCAATTTTAAAACCTTGATAATTCAATTCTCTGTAATTTCAATTAATACCAGAAATAACAATCATCATGTGTATTTAATTTATTATCTACAAGCTTGTCAGTAATCACAGAGGATTAGCTTACTATGCGGTCTGGATATCTTAGTCTAATTAGATTTTTTTACCCACCACTGTATTAATTCAAATAAGATGATAATCACATATCAGTAGTAGAAGTGTTTACTTATTTATAAAACTCTCAAAATCTCTACATTTTTTCATTTTATGGCATGAAATGTTGTTCCCGCTAACGAAACCAGTAATATTCTAGGAGAGTAATAAAAGACGATTATATGCTAATAAAGTAAGGTCCAATAAGCACACTGAAGACAGTTCTACAATTTGATGGTGGTTTTCATGGATATCGCGTGGAAAGTCAACCTGACATGGTACATTAAGCAATAGACTCGCATAACCCCATTACTAACGTCATTTTGTACTCAATATATACCTACAATTAGTCATGATGATAATATAAAAAAACTAATCTAAATTGCATTTACCTACGCCTTTCATAGTAAAACATACATACTCTTATTGCATTGTTTACACATTTTAAAGACATTTAATAGAGTACTGTGCGGTGCGGAAAAAATCTAGAAACGATTCACCTCAGCTTTCATGTTATATAAGTAGATTAGAAGACACCCTATTTAAATTTCGGGTATTAATTAGGGTTCTGTGATCATCCTTTTTGCTTGAGTAATCCGACCCTCTTCTCATGGGAAATCACAAACGAGTATGTATTGACAGTAATGCTACTTAACATTTAAAAAGTTTGGCATTTTCACAAGGTGCGAGCTTCTCGGTACCAATAGGCCTTAGTCACAGAAAGGGAGAGGATTGTCTGCCTCTCTGTGACCCAGACCATGACTTCTCAAGGAATGTGCTGAGATAATTCAGGTAAAACCGAAGTGAACTTAAAATATCACTCTGAAATATTCGTCTTTTAATATAGTCTAGTTTAATTAAAAGTGACCGTGGCTGTCGTTTCCGCTGTTTTATATCTAATGTTCATCGACCGATGCGCTATGCATCCGGAGACAAAATAGCTCCCGCTTTCTGTTCGCTTAGATCTTTTAAACTACGCAACGAATTTTAATGCTGTTTTCAGCGATAGATAGAGTAATTATAGAGGAAGGTTTACATGTACATGTACGACGGCCGTGGAAGCCTGGACGGGCGGCTAGTTAATATTATAAAACACATATGCGTGTTTGTGTGTACATACCGGTACGACGATCGCACTTCTCCTTGATCTCGGCAAACTTGCATGCAATGTGAGCGGTGTGACAGTCCAGGACGGGCGTGTATCCGTTACTAATCTGCCCCGGGTGGTTCAGTACAATCACCTGCACACATTGTTCAAATATTATATTAATTTATATTACAGATTAATTAACTACATGTATATAGTGCATCATGACAGGTTAAAAAACATTAAATCTATGTCGTGACAGGTTAAAAATTAATAACCGATTACGAATCACTAAATGTTACGCATGCTGAAATTCAGCAGTGCTTAACGAATTCAAATCGGATGATAGATATTTGTTACTCTTTCATACAAAGAGTACTGGATGGATTTTGATGAAATTTTACAGTAATATAGCATCAGTTTAGCATGCACGCAGTACGCGTGTTAGCTACTATAAAATAAATACAATATTTCATATTTGAGATAACCTCAACCACAACAGGACAATTAGACAAATCTATTAAAATTACTAATATTAAATACAAATAGGCACCCCTTATTTATACTTCATTAAGGTAAATACAACGTACCTGTAACTACATACTTGTACTAAGATACAAAAAAGAATCTTATCATCTATCTACCTGCCAAACAGGCAGATTATTTGATAATGAATGGACAGGTTTGGCTCTTAATTTTACATTTTACATAATACCGTACTAGACACGTCCCTATATTTGAAGGTCTCGGTGGTGTAGTGGTTTAGCACACAGCTTTACTTCTGATGGTCGCGGATACGATTCCTCGCAGGGTGCAAACATTTGTATTCACGAATAAGGTTGTTTGTATCGGACAGGGTGTTTTCTATGTATGTTAAGTATGTATTTAAAAAATATATATTTTAAAAAGTATTTATATGCGTTGTCTAGTACCCACAACACAAGCTCTGCTTACCGTGGAACTAGACGGTACTGTGTTAATTGTCCAGGGTTATTTATTTATATACACAAAAGACTTTTCGAATTCGAAAAATTCATTGTACAGAGAAAACTGCCTAGTCAATAAAAATAGCTTGTTCGTACAAGAAGCTGACCATCAATATATTTATAGTGTGTAGTCACGTACACTATTTTTACGAGTACATTTTAAAGGCTTTGTAACCACGAATATCCATTAATAACATTCAGTGATAGATTATTGTTATTAAATCCAGTAAGTTACCATACAAGATTATTTTCCTCGTTGAGAAACAGTTCTCTAATCTGATTGTCCACGAGAAATATTCTGACAATTTTTGTAGAAATATGACATCCCTATACACAACGGTTTAAAGTTAGTAAAACGCTTTATTTCCGATAGTCAAAGATTCAAATCTCAATATATTTTTCAATGTTGGTGGATAAAGCATTATGAAAAAAATGTATGGGCAATATTTTTTATATAGGACTGGGTGATTTCTATACATGCCGGACAGTACCCATAATATCTAGAAACTAAACTGTTTGGGTTGGGGAACAAGGTAGGTATATGGCGCTATAGCTGGGGAACTAGATGTCCTGAGTTATTATTATATATTGGTGTCATGTAGTAATATGCCATACCATAATGATAATCGGGGGGTCACTATCTTAGTTACAATTGCAGGATAGGATTGAGAAATGATAACCTATCAGCTATTATCCAATCAAATATCAACAGAAACTACGAAATTATAAGTATACTTAAACGATTTCAATTAATATCAATATTATTATTATCTACATTTCGCTGCGTATATTTGAATTAAACGAGACAAGTAGCGAGTCTACTGCTGTCACTGAGATTAATTAAGTTTGTTATTAGTGGTTTCCATCACCAGAGAGACAGAAATATATTAATATATAAATTTTTCGGCCAACAGATGTTTCATAAGTATGGATTTTATATATTTTTTGACATCTTCGTTTCTCGTTAAGTTATTATATTTAAATATACATAATGCACATTAAATTTAATTAATAAATTATTATTTATTTTTTAAGAAATGAAATGAACGATATCATTCAATAGATAACAAAACGGTTTCTTAAATTTCTAAAATGTAAATTTAGATCATAAATTACAGTAGACAGGAAATTAAGAATACCTACCACATATGTATATTAATACAATGATGAAATCATTGTTAAAACACTAATATAATTTTAATGTTCATCTATTTAAAAGCAATAAAAGATAGAATTGCACAATAAAACAAATTATCAAGGTTATGTAGATACCATTTAATTGATATGAATCTACAAAGTAGGTATTTTTAATTAAATTTACCGGATTTACTAATTAATAATAATTAATAAGCAACGATTTAAATATCTAATATATAGTACCACCAACTGGTGTATGATGGTGATGTAGAATTAAGACTCACTGTGATGAGATTAATATCTTTAATAATAATTTTCAATTAACAAGTCAAATACTGATATATATATTATGATTACAGGTGGTTCTATATGCAGATGTAAAGATGCAAATAGAAAACTTAAAAAAATTAATTTAATTTTTCCAGCATCACACATTTATACTATTATACACTACCATTACTATTAAATAAAAAACTTAACAGTTAGATGCGTTATAAATTATCGACCACGTGGTAATAGTAACAACTGATACCCTGGGTATAGTCCATTCCAAAGAGTCTATCGAGTCTAACGAGTATGGTCATTTTGGTTCGTTATGATTGTTCTCATCAGCGAGTGAACAATCAAAAAAATTTCGGACTACTCTAATACTGTTGGCCGCAGCTGACCTTTACAGCTTCATCGGAAGATAGGAGGCAAGTGCAGATGGCAGTCCAAGTTCTCAGAAGGACTTATGGAGCGGCTGAAGGCCAACTCCTGCCTGACGGATACGACTTTAGTCTGAGGACACTGCTAGTTACTGAAGTTTTCATTAACCCAGCTAAATTTAATACGAGTGTCTCAATTATAAGCATGTTTAATATAATGTTTACCTGAGCGGTGAAGTCTGAGGCACCTTTGGGCGGAGCGTTCTTAGAGTCACCGGCCACATACCCGCGTCGCAACTCCTTGACGGATACGTTCTGCAAACCCAATGATATCATTTGTATTTTATTTTTATTTTATAAAAATAATATATTAACTAAACTGACTTCAATTCTGCCGCGAAATACTTTTATATTAATAATCACGTAAGGTTTTAATAAAACTCAAGTCGACTATGTATCTCTGTCTCGCGTATTTCTGCCATCGAGCAGGTTGCTTTTAAGCTATGGTTCGATTATAGAGTGAGAGGCAATTATAGATTACGGAGGCATGACATCTTAGTTCTCTGGAATAGCAACATATAAGGGATACAATAGGCTTTAGATGAAGATGTAGTGTCTGTGGTGCTGTACCACTTACCATAGGAAGGTAATAGTCATTTCTATTTCAAATTAATGAAATATAATTAAAACGGAAGCCAAACTGTTACGCGGCTAGCAAATCTGTAATCAGCAAAAGCATAAGTTAGATGCTGGTTTATATCATGTGTACCTTGACGTTGAAGCCGACATTGTCGCCGGGCATTGCTTCTTGCAGTGCCTCGTGGTGCATCTCTACAGACTTCACCTCAGTGGTGATGGCCGCCGGAGCGAACACCACCACCATACCTGCACGGACAAAGCATTTATGAGTATTACAAATTATTAAAGCTCTTTCACGTCTACAACGTTGTGTTCAATTGTAACGTTACAAATAATTGTGCAGTTCTCGCTGTATGCGACGTAACATGGTGACTTGTGCAAATCTTTACTGTAGTAAGTAATGCTACTTTATATCTAAGAGTAAGTATAAAGTAGAACGGTTGTAGTATCTTATATATCACCTTCCGGACATTAACATACGCAATATCTAGTATTAGAAAAAATATCCCTAATAAAATTTCGTGTAAACAAATTTGTAAAAAGATGTCTACCCTTGAGACGCGACGCGGCGACGCCGGGACAGGCCGTTATTGGCTCATTTATATGAATAATAATAAAATTATAGACTTTTTCGTACAGACGAAATCACGTGACAAATTCATAATTGTTAGTGATAAGAAATTAAAACAACTTTGCTCATGTCTTTTGTTATACTGCGACGTTGGCAAACAAGCATACTGCCCATGCGATAGTAAACTGTTTCTGTAACCTATGAAACACCAGGGCTTTCGAGAAAACATAGGCAGGTGGTCCACTCCAATCCGGAATACGCAGGAGGAAGCTCCTCTGAAACCGCACTGTTCGAGACCACTTAGGTTCCAGAGTGTGAAGATGAATTCCCTGTCGAGAGCGAGCGTGCGACAGTAAAATGTAGCTATTGTTGTTCCACGCAAACACTTACCAGGCTTCAGTATGCCGGTCTCGACGCGGCCCACAGGCACGGTGCCGATGCCGCCGATCTTGTACACGTCCTGCAGCGGGAGCCGTAATGGTTTCTCCGTGGGACGCGACGGGGGCTGGATTGCATCCAGCGCCTATTGTACATGACACATGTACATATACATATATCTTTTCCATTATTCAATTCTTTATTCAAATAACCTCAAATTGAAGCACTTTTTTATTCTACCACTCATTTGTAGATCGATCCAACACAACAAAAAATTAGCACAAAACTGCTGGTTCTTGGACAAATGTTGCATTCTACATCGTTAAGTTAACATATCAGTTTGTTATTTACATTTTATATACAAAAGAGATTTGAGAATTTAAATTACAGAAATAAGTGTAGATAACATGAATTTAAGCTTATGATACCAGCTCGAAACTAAGTGACATTACATGAATTTTAATAATTTTCCCCAACAAACATTTAAAATCAATTGATACTAATTTGGTCACGTCTCCATGCTGTTTATTCTCGAATGTATCGAGAATTATATTTTTATTTCGATGTATTATTATCCCGATTCAGTATCCCAACTGAATCGGGATAGATAATAAAATGTTAATAGCGTACATTTTAATGTTTTGTAATAATGTATCAATATCTAGAGTACGTTACTACTCGGATGTATACTCGGATCAAGAGTTGTACCAACCTCCACAAAGAATTATGTATTGGATTACGAAAATTTGGGTCGCAATGTTGCTCAGTTGTTAACTTACGTAATATTATCTTATCTGTGCTTTTATTTAAATTAGTGGTAGACATCATAATTTTCTTATATAAGTACCTCAATGAGCGTTTTCCCTTCGACCTTGCCCTCCTTCCGGTCAATGGTCCAGCCCTTGAACCAGGGCATTTTGTCGGAGGGCTCCAGCATGTTGTCACCGTGCCAGCCTGAGATTGGCACGAATGCCACCGTTGCCGGATTGTAGCCTGTATTTTCCGTCGATTTTAATGGAATATACGATATCATAATCAAACTACCTAGTTGTTAAATATACTCACAGGTACACAATAAGTATAGCATAGCATTAATTTTAAACACGAACGAGAACAGCACTGACAGCAGTAATTAGAAATTTATTGTATTTTGTCAGTACATTTCAATTTTAAAATAATATTTTGTTCCATGCTTACCAATTTTCTTGATGTAGGAAGACACCTCTTTCTTAATCTCTTCATATCGCGCCTCATGGTATGGCGGTTCAGTGGAGTCCATTTTGTTCACGCCAACAATTAGCTGTTTTACGCCGAGCGTGAACGCCAGCAGTGCGTGTTCACGCGTTTGCCCATTCTTGCTGATACCGGCTTCAAACTCACCAGTACCAGCAGCTACGATCAGCACTGCACAGTCGGCCTGATAACAACCATTCATCCAATTTCTTAGCGGTTCATATTTTTAATTTTAAGTAGCAAAGGTTGTAGACTTTGTAGCCTCATTGCTTCAATAAGGTATATATTATTATGACTTTGTGTAGAGTTTACTATACCTACATATACACAAAGCTCTCGCTGTGAGCAACTCAATAATATGTACATATTATTGAGTTGCTCAGAGCTTGAAGTTTGAAGGCATAACCTACGTACATTGCGTGTAGGGTGCTGATGGGACTGTATCCTAAACCCCTAATTGGTGAAATTGAAATTGGCGTTTAGTCAATTGAAAATTGATACGTGCAAATTGATCCTGGATGATCGTATACTTTAGCGAACGTAAATATCCCCAACAGCAAATTAGGATAAATTCCGAAAATCAATGAAAATTAAATGTAGGATATTTGTAACAATATAGATAATATTACCAAACAATACTAGTCCAGTATATAGAATGTAATAATGTAAAATGTTATTTAAACCACAAAATTTGACAGAACAAAAGCTTGGCTATTTAATATATATTGGCTACCTCAATTATAAGTAATTTTCTTGTTCAACTAACATACTCAATTAAAGTACTTATTAAAGTAAAATGGAAACCAGATACCTTAACTAAATTGAGTTCTTGTTCAAGATCTATGACCCCGAAACTCTATTACTACGTATTACTACTACCACTTGCAATATTTTTCGGTTTTCGGTAGAGCTAGACCTCCGATATATTGAATACGATACTATCACTATAATACAGTAACTGAAGTTTTGGAAATTTGTAATCTTTTTATGGATCATATTTTACTGGCGGTTTGTGCACGTTTCTGATATTTTGTTACCATACACATTTAAGCACTGTCTATTACGTATAACAATCCCCTGTACTGATATGTACTCAAAGTATTATGTACAATATATCCTACTAATGTTGTTATTATTAGCCGACTTTGTAATTTATAAAAATATATTTAAACGCAGGCAGCCATAACGTCGCATTTATACTTAAATTGTGTATGAATTGAATGCTCTTTATAAGTATATTCGGTGACAACACATACCTGGGATGTGCCGGTGATCATGTTCTTGATGAAGTCCCTATGTCCCGGCGCATCGATGATGGTCACGTAATACTTGGCCGTCTCAAACTTCCATAGTGCGATGTCGATGGTAATGCCACGTTCACGCTCTGCTTTCAGTTTGTCCAATACCTACATGTGAGAATCAATTTAAAAGACACATCAAAAGTAGATACAGGTTAAATCCATCCATCTTTAAATGTTTAAGTCCATACTTAAATTAGAAATAGAAGTAGGTACCCACTTACTAAGGATCACGAATTATACATTAAATATATTTTTTATCAAAATAAAATATTACCGTTATTGTCACAGTAGATATTGTTTGTGTTGGGAATAAAATTAATTATCTATGTGTTATCTATGGTTTATAAAATTATTACATTGATATGTAGCAGAGTAGCCTCATATATCTTCTTATTTTATTAAATTAAAAACGGTAATCTTCATAAAAAATACTACCTACAACAGGATAACAAAATTTACATCTATGGCTGAAGACAATGTTAAAATGACATACCCAAGCGTACTTAAAGGATCCTTTACCCATTTCTTGGGCCTCTTTCTCGAATTTTTCGATAGTTCTCTTATCGATGCCACCGCATTTATAGATGAGATGGCCAGTGGTAGTGGACTTGCCAGAGTCCACATGGCCGATCACCACGATATTGATATGAGTCTTCTCCTTACCCATGCTGACCTTTGAGGTATCAAGAACACGATTTTATCCGTGCAATCCTAAACAATAGAATATCGAATTAATGAGATAATTTATTTATTTATTAAATTTAGAAGAGGTGTTAAAATTAAAGAATTGGAATTGTGGTTGGTTATTCAGTTTTATATAATCTATATGTACATATTTAACATTATATTATATAAAAAAAAAAATATTGTAATTCCTACATATCTATATTTTTGCGTAAAACCTTAACACAAAGATTTCGCCACGTCACTATTTAACAAATTTATAATATGTAAAGATAAATAAATATAATACGACGTTTGTTTTTCATAGTGCGTATACATAAAAGACAGAATTCCATGTATACATAATTCACTTTTAAACTAATTCATTGTAGGTCCCTTACTTTACCGTTGAATCTTTTGTAGTCAAGGGTCGCAGACAAACAAGCGGCAAATAGAGGTACAGGCGTTCATAATATTGATTATAGGTGTTTAAAATAGGTATCATAAATGATAAAAATGAAGCCTGTGATTGTTTTATAAAACAGTCGCGGTCGCGTACTGTTTACCGCTGTCACAAAGGTTGAGAAAAGTTGATAGTAGTTTTTCGTAGCACTGATTTCATAACGTAAGTAGCTGTTTCTATCCACTAATCAGATATTATCAGAAAGTAGGTATGTAGGTATTTTTTACTGAACTAAATCCGTAAATAACTAAACCTATCTAAAATTTAGGATAACAGATCATGTTGATCATTCAAATGTCGTCCCAGTAGGTTTAATATCGTCAGTTCATCATCAGTTTTTGAAGATTATAAAGTACACTCATGAAGTTACTCTCCTACAACACAATGGTACTAGACCTATTGTTAGATAGATCGGGCCTATCTATATGTATGTATGTCACTCGTAAACTATACATAAGTAATGGCTACAATTTTCATGATGTCACTGTAGGATCTAGTTTAGAAACGTTACTTTATAACCTAGGTTTACACCGCGTGTATGTAATTACAACAAATTGTTAAAATTGTAATGTTTAATTGCAACTTTATTTTATTTGCGGGCATTTTTATTTTATTTCAAACCAATGGCGATACACATTGTAGTTACAATAATGTATGTGCAAAATTATACGTATAACTTACCATATGGTATACATTATATTGACTTGCACGAAAAGAAAGAACTAAATGAAATAAGAAATGAATGTGGGAGCAAAACATTTTGTAATAAAGTTACTCGATTAAAAATTGTTATCTACAGTAATAAGACACCAGGAAATTGTAATAAACCGATTAGAATGGAACTAAATGTTACGGGAACCTTACTACGTTACACCAACGTAAACTGCATTTAAATCGGTTAAGTCGTTTCTAAGATTAGCAACTATATACTATATATGCAGGCAGGGAAATACACAAAAAATGTAAAAACTATTTTAATAAACTCGGTAAAGCTGGAACACGCACTTTTGTTAGTTTTTATTTATGTTTACATTATTTTCTTGTGCTAATATATTAAGATATATGGAGGCTCATATTTACCTATCTGTTATTATTATATCTATACAAATAAATAAATTGAAGTGTATGTTTGTAATTTAAAATTAACAGCTTTTCTCAAAATGTATATCAAAATAAATAAGGTACCTACCTACATAAGTAAGTACTTATTTACTTAAAATAATTTAAATATATTTTTGTGTGTCTGTCTAGCAGTGAGTTCTTGCTAATTTCTAATATGGGTGGACCAATTATAACGGGTCTATCACTCGCATATAGCTAATGCATTGAGGACTTTGACTTAGAAATTTTATTTCTATTTATTTAAAAAAAGTTAGGTACATTCCACGCGGACGAAATCGCAGGTAAGAGGTAGTACCGAATATTCTTTAGTACTAAGTACGTGGGTACTATAGATTATATGTTTATTGGATAACCACGAAAAAACGAATACGTTATAAAACAACTACGATTTATACTTACTTTTTTAAAATAAATATGGCTATCAGTATAACTGTAATTTTCACTCAAATCCATTGCGGAATCAAACCTATCTATTGATCAAAATATACAAATTAGCTCCTAATAGACTGGAAATAAATAATTTTAATTTAAATTATAATTCCAAACCTATTTATATAGTCTTCTGTACGATTGAGATTACGAAATACCTGTAGATAATTTCTACTTGGTTGTTAGAACAAAAATAATATTGCAACAGTCGACGTCGTAAAGCAATTAAATGCAATATTCCGGGAAAATCATAGAAGCTCTAAATGCCGAGTGTGCGCACAGGACGTCCGGGACATCAATACAGGCGCCCAGCCTTCCAAATATAGACAATTCTTACGCTCGCCTGGCTATATTAAATTATTCACGAAAAATAATATCTACGTATATTATAACAATACTTTATGTACGTAAGTACGGCTGTTTATACTTTTACCCACTACATTTTACATAACTACTAGGAGCGTAGATATGGTACTCGATGTAGACATTATACAATTAAAATTACCAATGAATGAACATTAAACTATGCAACGGTAATTATTACTTGCAAGCTGTTTTACATATTCCGTAGGTAGGTATACGATCTATTCAAGTTCTATTGAATTCGATATGTATCTATAGATATTAATAAGAACCATAATTATAGGCACTCGATACAGACTAATATATAACCACAAAGAGTTTTGCATTTAATTCATAATTAGAAATAGTTGGAAGCCATAGATCAAAAACAGAATCAGTAGCAATTAACGACTATTTTAATCAAAATTAGAATAATCATATGGCGCAATATTGCGACGTGGCTATTGTATGTAGTCTATGTATTATACCGGCGCCACATGGGTCTCATACATCCCGTTCGCGTCCATCTTGTGCACGTTTCTGCATTTTTTTCATTGAATTACTTAGAAAATCTTACATGCCTCTACGCAAAATAAAAATATCTGTGTAATTATAGTTATAATGGATAGTAGTACCTATATAGTGACAAATTCCAAATTGGAAGACAATAATTTTCTCAACTAGTAATTGAAAATGGTCATAAAGATAATGTTTTTCTATATATGGAAATTGACAGATAGTATTTTCAGTAAAATAAATAGCACTTAATTTTGATTTAATGAAAATAAGAACATCACATGTAGGTATTATTATGAATTTTATACACAATAATTGAAATTTAGGCAAATAAAATTATAATTATGATGATTCATAAAACAGATCATATTATTTTGTATTTAATAAAAAAATATCTTATTTCGTAAAACAGTAGGCAGGTCTACCGGCAGAACAACAGCAATGTGATCGAATATATAAAATTGTATAATTTTATTTTGCATCATTATTTACCATTAATGTGACATAGGTGTTTTGATTTATAAGTACCTTAAATACAGTATATAAATCAGAATAAAAGCAATAATAGTAATAAAACAAGAATCCTTACTTACCCCTGGCAGCCGCAGTCAAGAATTTTCCGAGCGATTTTCTTGCGAGCATGCGCCCTAGAAACTTCACCCGGGAAACACAATCAATAAAATCGAATACCTTCTTATTCGTCGATATTAAAGTAAAATTATATATTAAATAAGTTTCTCATTATAAAAAAAAACATTTAGAATTTTTATAATTAATTTGTTGGGCCAAACTGTAAAATATTACTATTACACAGTAAAAATGGCGCAGAAAACCGGATGCCGATATTTTCTTTTTTTGGATGAAGTTCCTAACATAGACGTAGTTTTGTGTTGTATTTCTTTAGATTGTCATATATATTTTGCTCGTATAAATTGCAGTAGTATCAGTCATCAGTCTCTTGTCTATGTTATCGATAGGTAACTATATATAGGTATAATAAAGGTATGGTTGTATGTTAAAGGATTAAAAAATAAAAACGTGCGAGCAGGACTTCATCCCTAAAGTTCTGAATAAATAAGTATAAAGATATTATATAAGTATAAAGGTACTAGTAATTTACCTCAGTATGAGGTAATTTTTACCATAATGCTGTATTGTTACCATATAATAAACATGTTTCCACGATTCGGTTTCGCCTAGTGGGAGGCCCAGCGTAGGTATAACTGTTATATATTGTACAACTATGTAATATATTAAATAAATAATTTCGTTATTTGATTACTTTTATTTTTCATGTTATTTCGAGTATTTTGTAATTTTGAGCCTCTTTCGGTGAAGGTAATAAAAATATGTTTTATTGTTTACCCGAGTTTTTTACATTTTACACAAGTACCTTTTTCCATTATAGTTGAAATATTGGGTTCTATTTAAGGTTATTCGAACCTGATGGCATTAACAATTTCTGTATATGTAATAACGCATGGGTTGATGACGATGGGAGGGATAAAAGGAAAAATATTATAAAACCTCGCCTAGACCTTGATGATTAAACGGTTTAGCATATAGAATTTTTCATGAATAGGTCTTGTATTGGCTCGGTTGCGTTTTATATAGGCAGAAATTAGCTATATCCCACGGCGTTGCTATTTGCTGACAATGATTTTCTATTCTAATCTCCGAAAGTTCTTTCAGTCATAATAATCTTTTTTTTTAAATACAACAAAAAAGTTCTCTCTTTATATTATTAAGGTAGTACAAGTCCAATACTGGCGTTAAGGTTCTGTGAGGAATTTATATTCCGAAATAAAACGGGAGTACGATTGTTCCGCTCCTCAAATTCGCTACTGAGGAGTCCGACCTACAGGTAGAGGCGTGTCTAACTTCGCCTCCTTTATATCCATCACTAGGGCCGGGGTACTAGACTTGAGGGAGGCAGCATCCTAGAAGGAACCAGGTAGTATGTGTGTGCACCCTCTCGCATCCTAGAATGAGTAGGGCGAAGAAGTGATCTTAACAGAGATTAAGTCTACATTACAACACATACAGGGCGGACGAATGCCGCTGGAGGCGCGGTAAAATAATAATGCAACCTCTCAGATAGTTTTAAAAACTGTATTTACGAAACAGTGTTGGTAGAGTGTCTCCCTTCAGCCGCTTCATAATTATTCCTTCCGCGGGTTTGAAGTGCCATCTGCACTCGCTCTATTGTTCCATGAATCTATAAAAAAGGCTAGCTGCGGCCAACTGTGTTTGAATAGTTCAAAAACGTAACAGAAAAGAAGTAGTCCGACCTTGACCAAAATAGAAAGTTCAACTTTATACTTGCGAAAATGGGAGCCGATAGGTGATACAAAACAAACTGATGTTATTTGTATTGTATGGTGTTATGTATAGGTAGGTAAAAATTTACTTTTCCACTTTTAGTCAACTCTGCCAATTCAACATAATCAGTTCAGTAACTTTTTGGAAATATTCTATATTACTAAAAAAACAAATAGATGTTATACCTGGACTATAAATTTAAGAAGTTTCACGAACCTTTGGATAAAATAACATGTGCCAAAAGCTTGGCAATGCCGTTCAAAGCATTCGTAATATCCAGAACGTCTATTTAAATATTTTGAAAGGGACAATAATTGCTTACTTATTAATAGAACCCACATTAAAATAAAACACGTTATTGCACCGTAATTATTTATTATATTTATATCACCTCATTTACATTAATCATGTAGTTTATTAATAATTTAATAATCTGTTGCAAATTAACTAAACATAATTATAATAGTATGCATATTTTTTACTTAGTCATTTAAACGGCTACCTATTATTTACTTAAAGTACGTAATATAAATCTTGCGACATCTTTAATACACCAATCAGTTTTATACTTGTCTTGGACAAAATGCTATAGTTCACAGAGAAACGATTATACTAGAATCCCTAATATTTTCATTGTGAAATGTACGACATAATTATTTTATATAAGCCAAAAGGATATGATTTATTTTCTTAATTACTCTATGATTATAATAAACCTTGTAGCTGAAAAGAAATGTATACTGCCGAAGTTGTTCTAGTTGCCCTATTAATTAATTTATGCGCTCAGTTTCACAATCGAAAATAGTGAATTAATTATGGATTATGGTACAAGTGCTGTTTTGACTTGTCACTTTCACTGGTAGGTATACAGTATAGAACCAGATAACATTAAAATTGTATATGGGATTGATATTATTCAAGGAACCAAAGTCGCTATCTAGATACTGATATAATTTCCGTTGATATAAATCAATTGAAATGAGTAACAAAATATATTTTCTTGATAATATATACTACGCTATTCACTATATACATTTATTAAAAAATACAGTAATAGGTCATATTATTTTTTTGCAGTTATACTGTTAAATGTTGAATCACTACACTTATAGGATGTAATCCTAAATAAGACCCTCACAGCATTTTCTACTATAAATTTGTTTTCTACATATTGTTCTATTCGTGTATCTATCAGTACAACAATTACAACAAATCTACCATATTCCCAAACAGCTACATTAAATAAAATATTAAAATCTTAATTAATTAACTTTTTAAAAGAACTATATTAAAAATCCTGGTACATAAAAGTGCAGCTTTAAAACTATAGTGTTAACTAGACAGACGTGTGCATAAAATTTATACAAATGGAAAAAATATTCTTATAACAAATAATAATACAAGACCTACAGATATCGGCACATAATTTGAATTTTGTAACCAAGTGACTTGTGCAGTTACCATTTCATGTACAAAATCATCTGCCGAGTTTTCAACAAAATTTTGTTGAAAACTACCTATTAATTACTATTAAAATACATTTGTATTTCTCATTAACATTTTTATATTAAAATTTATGATTACAGAATATAAATTCAATATATAACAGAAATGCTCTAACAGTGTAACATAATTATGTCAACATGGATCACAGTCGATGATTTGTATTTGACAATACGCAATACTTACGGCTTATACTTTATTTCCCTCCTGGCCATGGGAGGTAGCTTCCCCAACCTTTTGAATTTGGATCTTGACCTGAAAAAAAAAGTTGTTACAGCAGTCCTGAGATTTTATATTAATTACACGTTTTCCTTTTCTAATTCGCTTCATGACATGATTTCATTTCATTTGGCACATTTGATTTCATTTTGGTATTCTCATTTATTTTATTTTTAAATAACTGGATAGACAACCAAGCAATTAAGAACACCACAGACTTCAAAATTCAAAACACTACAAGCGATACATTGAAATAAATAATTTCATTCAAACACGACTATAACAAAGCTAAAATGGTGACTTTAACGGATTCTTATAATAAAAAAAATATTTTCCTTTATGTTTTGATCTCTTGAAAACTTGAAGAAACTATAAACGAACAAACTGAATTATATAATAGACACTGAACAGGTATTAGAAACACACAAGGCAAGTATTTCAGTTGAAGTAATACTGTTATATCAGCAAATTCTAGAACTAACATAGCGACATCTATACAATATGCATATTCAATAATAGAAATTATTAATAAATTAATAAATAATAAATATAAATTAAAACGCATATTAATATAAAAAAATGTGCAAACTTTTTTATCTAATTGGAATGGCAGACTAGCTGAAGGCCCATCTGTTGGTAAGGGTTAGTTAGATGTCACTTATTAGGATACCCTTACCATACATAATCCGAGAGTTTAAAAATGTATAAACAATACAATTCCCGAGTCTCAATTTACCTTTAGCAATAGATTGTATCTTCTGAGTCTCATCAGGTGTGAGCGTTAGAATTTTCTGCAGAACGGGCACTAGGCGGCTGCGTTCGTCACCAGGCGCCAACGTCAGGAACTATATATAAACAAAATATAATTTCGTAACTTATCAATAGTCACCTCACAGAAGTACAGATCGGAGTATGACAATAATTATCTTTTACAAAATACGTTTTGGCTTAAACAGGTAATAAAACACTTTCTAACATCAGGCGACAGTAAAATAATTTTTAAAGTGTATGGAATAGGACATTTGTGGTCATCGCGGCGGGTACGTTAACGCGCCTGATGGTCTCACGGGGAGACCAGTTCCACGAGGGTTGTTAATGGGACGTGCCCTAATGGGACATTACAAACAACACTCCCTGCGTCTTTTAATAGGTACATGTTAAAAATATTGCTTATTATTTATTGACGAATCTAATACTTATTATCAACAATTGAGACTATAACGTTAGTCAGTCCTTCATTAAAAGTCAATGATCTAAGTTCGATCGAAGGTCAAATTACCGACATATCGTATTTGCAACGATAACATGGATCGGACGTTAAATTACATATTTTATACATAAAAAAAATATAAATTCTATTATGATTAAACTATAAGATATTAACTGATATACAATTTTTATTTTGTATACATATACATTAAAAAAAAAGTACCTATACAATGTTCCAATAATAATCACTACCAATATTGACCAACTATCGTCTTAATGCAATGGTATTAAATACAAAAATCATTCAATTTCATTGAAAGTATAACGTAATATACGACACAAAAGAATCCTTCGAATTGATAATTGTATACTCAAAACAGTTGTTTGAAATATACATTTAAGTATACATACCAATCGTTAGTTTAGAGTCAAACATGTGGTTTTACTTACACCTAAACTCAAAACATTACAGTTTTTTATTTATGTAATATATTTTTACATAATTATCTTGTGCCGTCGACTAACACCTTTGTTTTTGTTTCTTTTAAACTTGTTTCCTTATTGTTTACTACCGAGTATAATGCAAATTCTTATGATAAAAGTAATAATCACAATATTAGCAGTTCGTGGTATCGATAACTCATTTGATAAAAAAAATTGATATAATAAAACACACAAATTATACATTAATAATATGTGACCTTAACATAGTTTACATTACTATTGCAGGACTCACTTCTATTATTCCATTTTTGGTTATCTAGAACTAGAGTAGCATATTTTATGTGACGAATAGATACTTATGAATGTTCTTACAAACGTTAACAACATTAACAAAACTTACTATGTCAACGATGATAACCAAGCAGATGCAGCCATACCTAATTTATTATCCATTAATGTGAACTAATGGTTCATATCTCATTGTATATAGATCATTGTGCTATGAAAATTCGTTTATTTATTTATTCAGTAATAATTTACATTGTGTTTGTAATTATACATTTTTTGCTGCTAATAAATTCATCTACACTATCAAAAGACTATTCTAACAGAAAACAATGTCTTTTAAAAGTTTCCAATTATGTATTATCTTCAAAGAGTTAAAACTGACTGCTTGGACACTGTCACTGTGCTTCACAATAAATTCTTTAATTTCTGTTTAATGCGGCACTATGTAAACTGATGAACTCACATTATGGACTATGTAAACTGATTTCATCCTTATACCTTCGGTCATATTACATATTTATTTTTGAAAATTTAAGTCACGGTTTAAAATTACGAAATTTGTTAGTTTTCCGACCCTTGTTATACAATATCGACACACTTTGTCGACGCCTTCACTTATACCCTTCGATTAATCCCCTATCCAATACAAACAGGGATTGAAATTACGACGGCCAGAGTCGAGGTACGAACACCTACCGGTGCCCTCAGATTTAAGTCGTATCCGTCAAGCGGGAGTTAGCCTTCAACCGCTCCATAAGTCCTTCCGCGGGTTTGTAGTGTCATCTGCACTCCCTCCCTATCCGGTGAAGCTGTAAAGGCCAGCTTTAGAGTACAGGCGACAGCATTAGAGTAGTCCTAAAAAAGCTTATGTCTATGTAATGTCCTTTCACTTACCTTGAGGGTGACGTTCTTCATATATTCAGTGTTGTGTTGGTGCGGTGACGAACGCACGCGCCGCAGTTCGCTCTTAAGCAGATCACTCAGCTGCGACAGCCGGGCGCATTCACGCTCCGATTCCGACAGCAACATGGTCACGTGCTTTACCCTGCCAAATAACAAACAGGCCTAATTAAAAACTTAAGACTTTTAAAGGTTTCACACTTATGTATATAGCCATGTAATACCCATCCGTTGGGTGAAAAGGGGGTTTATAGTAATGCGGTCAGATGATCTTATTGCAAGCAATGTACCATATGCGGACAGATGATCTTATTGCAAGCAATGTACCATGTCAAGTTGACCTCCACGCGGGCCCTCCTGGAAATAATCGTGAGAAATTCTTGGTGAATTTGTATTCATCGTTTCAGCCCCTACTGGTGCCCCGCCAGCGTAAACAGTTAGCGCAGGCGGGTGTACCATTCCATTATCATCAATAAAAAAATACCCATCGTTTTTTTCTGCTTGCGTTCTCGTGATAATGGTATCATGCTATCGTGATACCATCTACTCCCACATCAAATTTCATTAGCATTCCGTTCGTAAGAACTGAATAGGTAACAAACAGACAGATGCACTTTCCCATTACATTTATTAGTATAAATTAATTTCTGGTAAATTCACCACAAACTTTACTTTGTAATAAAACGATATACTAATGTTAAAATAATATCTACACAAAGTTCTATTGATTCCTCTAGTGCTTATTTTTGTCAATAAATAGCTTGTTTATAAAATGAAATATATATATACATATGAATTTTTCATCATTATCAAACTACTACGTTATTACGTATTATTTCTACCTTTATAAAAGTACATCGAACTTTAGTTGAATTTAAACCTTTGCTGTTGAGCTTGGAGCCGACGTCTCAAGTCGACAATTTCTTGATCAGACGTGAGTGCCAGCGAGGCAGAGTCGAGGGCTTCATCGTCTGGTACGCCTTCCTCTAACAACCTCTCCAGCGGCACCGGTGACCGTCCACTGCCGGCGCCAAGGTACGCCTTCGACGGCGGAGGGGACGGCGCTGACTCTGAACCCTAAGGGGATAACCAACAATTGAAATTGTGGCATGTAACAAATTTATTTTTATGGGTGATATTCTGTTACATAGTTGGGAGACAGCTAGGGAGATAGACACACTTGTTATTTTAGTTTAAGATAAATTGTTTTGATTTTTTTTAAGACATGTGAGGGGCATGTATAGTGATATTATGGACGAAAGACTTTGGTCATAATAATACGAGTATATTCCTGGATATTATATCGTAATGCGTTGTAACATTCAGGGGTATAATTGCTATTTTTATATTACATCTTCGAATTGCAATCATTATACCATCTGTAGAGGGTTTGTAACAGTGCTATTTATATAAATCAGGGGCTTTTTAAACAAGTTTCCTAAAAATTCTTTAATTACGAAAATATTTTCATGTATTAAAATAGAATATTGATTATAATTACGGTTTGAAATCCTAACTCAAATGTTTTAATTTGAAACTACGTTATACATTATAAAGAAACTATTGTTTTTCATTTCAATTTTCTTTAAAAAAAATATACAAGCAGTACATACATCAATGAATATTACCTTGGTATATACATTAATTACCGTGTACAACAATTTCCGTTATAAAAACAAAAGTTATTTTTAAGTTATACAAAACGAAAACTGTATATGTTATATTTACTTATACCTCTAACTTTAATATACTAATCTGAGTCTCTATAAATATGTTATAATATTACTTAAGTTTAAGTCAAGCAAAAATATCTGAATAGTAATGAAAGAAATTTGGTAGATATATAGTGCAATAAGCCTAAATTGAAACTACTGCATGTATGTTTGTTATATTACTATATATGTTTTCTTTATAGTGTTGCATATATATAGTATATTGCACGCAATAGGTCCACACGTTATAGGTTACTTTAAAATTTAGAATTTTAAAAAGTACAAATACAAACCTCGCCTTCTTCCCTTGGTATCATGGAGACATTAATATCCATTTCCCCGTCACTGGTCTCTTCTTTTGGTATAACTGGCAGTAAGTATTGATCTTGATTCTCTTTAGATGTACCCACTTGGCTAGTCTTAGTGCTCTCTTCGGCGATGAGCAATTGTTTTCTCAGCGCTTCCGTATCTCTTTCAAATTTAGCTTCCAGTTCGTTAATTTGAGTTTTGTAGCATTGGGTGAGTGTAGACGTCTGAAAAACAACTTCATTATATGTCACAACTAAGTTGAAGGATGAATGTTGACCCCAAATAAACGGGATAAGAAAGAATCAGATAATGATGAAGTTACAGCTGATTTGTCGCATTACTTAAAGGCGAGCAATAAAACAAGTTTAGTTTAGTATAATAATAACATACCGATCTTTGTATGTATATCGATATATATCAATTTATTTATGTAATTATGAAGTAATCATTTATATACAAAAATTGAGTATTTATTTAATAAAAAATATGCTAGACATAAATACGATTACAATAATAATACAATTTTAATAAAATTTTAAAAGGAACTGAAATGACGTGTGAATGAAATGAATGAAATACGCACGTATTTTATTATTTTTTAAATAGCATTTTACTTTTTTTATTTTTTTGTAACCAATCTTTTGGCACAAAAAATAGTAAAATGCATTCACAGATGATTTCGCGCGCGCTCCTGACTTCGCGTAAAGGCAAATTATGTACGAGGCCCGAGTACCAACCCTCCTTATTATATTCAATTGTTCCTCGAAAAATGTCCTATCTATATTACATTTGTCGATGAAAATATTTCAAGGTTGGCAACTATGGCCGTGTAAAGTAACGGCTAGTGCTAGAGTACCTGCAGCTTGTGGTGGTCGCGTTCGGCGTCGAGCTGGTGTCCGAGACGCGTAAGGTCCGCGTGCAGGCGCGCGGAACGCTGATTCGTACGCGCGGCCTCCGCCGCCGCCTCCGACGCGCGCCGAGAAGACGCTTCTGCCGCCGCGCGCTCCGTCGCGCATTGCTCTCTGCCGACAACGTACCCACGTGTTACACTTCCTACCGTCGTCAAAGTGTATCTTGCCAAAGTTATATTATAATACGTTACGACAGCCTCAGTGGTCTAGCGGTTTAGCACACCGCCTAGCATCCGATGGTCGATTCGATTTCTCGCACGATACAAACATTTTTATTCATATATGTTTGTATCGGTCTGGATATTTTCTGAATAAAACAAACTGTATCTATGTACTCATATTAGTTGTCCAATAGCTTGTATTATGACACAAACTCTGCTAAACTTGACGCTGTGTGAATTGTCCTGAGATATTACATATTATATTAATAGTCGTATTTTTAATTAGACGAAGTCAACTGACGTTTACTGTGTTGTCAGTATTTGATGAAATAAAAATAGTGTTGTGACAAAGTGAATAATTGAAAAAACTCCTGAATTCATGGAATTGCCTCGATTGTTTAGTCTAGTGAATAGTTAGTGTTACGAACTGCCGATATCGGGTACGGGGTTCGAATTTTAGCCGTGCTTTATACATACCTATACTGAATACAGAGTATTTGAAACATGAAGAAAAAAATTGCGAGGAAACTTTTAAGACTGCCCAATTTACAATACATCACGTAGTTAAAACTACAGATGTATAAAATATAACAATATATAACATAATATAGTTAGGTAATAAAAATAGAAAACTTGGCTTATTACAAAATTTGTTTTTATTCATCGTCAGATAAAAAAATCATTGTTGCTTTCAGTGACATTAATTATAAATCTGTCGGAAAAATTGATAATAATTTATCTTTGAAACAGTGTTTCGGTCCACGTTTCTCCAGAGACTTAAATTGTTCATTTTCTTTGTATTCTTTTAATACATTGTAGACAGGTCACACCAATTCCCAAAATGTCAGCTGTTTTCGAAATGCATTCTTTTATTTCGGGAGCTTCAGCAGCAGCTTTCTCCTCAAATACGTGTTTGTATCATAAGTTTTTCGGTAACGCTTAAGCGTTACCACTACGGATTGCTTTAAAGCAATCCGTAAAAATCTTCTTTCTTGGAGACAAGCTTTGGCTTGACATGCTTGGTTGAGGATCAGGACATTTCCATCCATCCATGAGGAGGATACATTGGTACGAAACAATATAGCAAATATACAATATACCCAACTATTACCACAAACACAACAGAAGGAAAAACTTATCAAAAACAATAACAAAACAGTGTGAGCGTAAAAAAAAAACATTCGTGCTCTCAGACCAGAGGTTAGAAACCGAATTACGAACAAAATGGCGACCGAAGCTCGCGACGTTGATCGGTGTTGGCACTAGTGGCTACTAGTGCCAACAGCGCGCTTTGTAATAAGCCGTCAAATAACTGATTGTAGTTACATAACACTAGTAACTTACATCAGAGCACTTTCATACAATTTTATTGTAAAATAGAAATAATATTATTTTGTAGTTTGAAATGATTAACTATTCACACTCATTGTTCATTCATCTGAACGAGAACTGAACGCATCACTATTACTTTAAATATGGCAACATTATTTTACAACGTGACATTAGCTAGTGTCAGTTAGCTTCGTCTAATTAAAAATACGACTATAGTGTACCTATGATATATTATTAGTATGTATATGTATATATTTAAGTATTTTTATAACAATATACCGTACCGGTTATCAATTTTAAACGTTATGGTGAACTCAACAGTTGATGTGCCCATATTTCGATGGGTAGGTATATTATATTTTAATGAGACGTGGCAGAGGGTACGTGGCAACGCGACGTTCAAGTCTATAGTCATATTTATGTACAAAATAGACTATTCGTTGAAAAACTAAATCAGCCTAAGTCACATTATTAGGTTTCGACGAACCATTGGATTGGCATTTCCATTAAGCGCGGACAACACAGTGTCGCGAGTTTTATAAAATAAGGATATGATAATTAATTGCTTACAAGGCAGTTGTCAATTTGGCAGTTACGGTTTCTAGCTGAGTCTTTAGAGCTGCAGTCTCCTCTTTTAACTGTTCCTCTTGACTGTGGTCTACAGTTTGATTTTGGCGCAGCACAGACTTGGCTCTCACCTATACAACATCAAAGTAATATATTAATAATGACAATAGTAGTTTGCTACCTGTTGCTCTATTTGGATATTTATCACCTAACAAGAACTATCAGGGAAAATGTACTAATAAGTTATTTTTTGTGTTTACCCCTATGTAAATATAAAAAAAAATTCAGTTACCATATCATCTTAGATCTTTCTATAAGTACTACAGTATTATAACGGTTAGTTGGGTTATTTTGGTACAATTCGATAATAAAATTTTCTATTACTATACAGTTAGTGGCGTAACAATAGAAACAAACTGGGCAAAATACCGGCTTCAGGTCGAAGGATCTCCTCCTTGAAGAACATAACAAGGAAAAAATATTAAATTTATTTAAAAACAATAATGTACAAATATAAAATAAAATATATAGATATTGATAATTTCGAAAAAATTTAATGGAAATGTCAGTATGTGAAAAATACACATACTATAATATATATACATAATTACCTTGTAACTAGTGTACTCTGTTTTCAAATCTGCCAATTCAATATTTGTAATTTTATATTTTTCCTGTATTTCTCCACACTTGAACTCTAGCATCTTGACTTTGTTATTCAAGTCCGCTTTATCTTCACTCAAATTCATAATAATCTTTTCCTTTTCACTGATCAATGATGTCATTTCTAAATCGGATTCTTCATTCTTTCTTTTTTCATCTTCAAGATCTAGTTCTAGTTTTGAAATTATGCCATTTTTCACTTGAATTATATTATCTTTTTCTCTCCCTTCATCAATCGCATGTTGTAGCTCCTCTCTTATAAGTCTATTTTGTGTTTCTTCTGTTTTTATCTGTTCTTCCAATAACTTTATTTGAGTCTTCATTGAGGTGATAGTTCCTTCCTGTGTGTCTATTGTGGACTCCATCTAAAATTGTAATATTTATCACTTTGTGATTTATGTATACTAATTGTATAATGTTGTGGTTTTTAGTAGGTAGTTGTGGATTAATTCCCTAACTTAAAGACATTAAAGGATTACGATACAATTTCACCACAACATCAATTTGTCATTATCCTAATTATTTGCTTTCAAATAAGAATTGTCATAAATAATACCCTGTTTTATTAATCATCTGTAATTTCAATTGTATTGTATGTTGGGTTATATTTTACGCATTTAACTCAGTATACCTAGATTTATATTCATAGTTAAAATTATCATTCAAAGTACATAGTAGTTTACTATGACGAGGACTAACCTGAACCATTTTTTTTTTCTTTTCATCCATTTTAGCTGTAAGTTCTTTCATAGATCTCTCATAGTCCTCCATCTCAAGACTTAATACATTCTTCTTTTTTGCATCGCGTCGAGCCTTCTCCAAGTTATCCTTAGTGACTTTATGAGACTCAATCTCAACTAACAATAGCTTACACTTATTATCTAATTCAACTGGAAAACAAAAGCTAGGCTTACAATTCTAGATTTAAATGTATCATCATAATATATAGTTTCGTGAGTAATAACTGACTAATTCAATTAAAACATTCAGACCAGGAATATACATGTCACCCTAACCTTATTTTAAAAAATACCTTTCAATTTCTCCAATTCAGCATTCGTTTCTTGTGATTCAACTGTTAAAGTCTTCACTTTACATTGAAGGTTTAATATGTCATCTTCTACTTTTTTACAGCTATTGTCAACTACATCAATGCCCATTGCAGATATAGATTTAGTATCTTTGGAATTAGTCTCATGAAGCAATTTTTCTATTCTTACTTTATCCTGTTCAGTCTGTTGTAACTGTGCTGTTGTTTCATTCAATTTCTTTTTAAGTTTTAATGCAAATATCCTTAATTTTGTGTATCTGTAAATATTACAAACAGTAAAAATAACAAACAGTTTGTTATTGTTAACCTAATGTATATGTTAACCATAAGTAATATTTTATACTTGTCTTCAAATGTTTCATCTAAATCTTTCATTCGTGAATGGTCCTCAGCTCTCGATATTGTGGATGTAGACATATCATCGTGGGGCAAATCTGCTACAAATAAAAAAAATATACATGTTAATATTTTTTAAATAAATCATGCAAGTAAAAAATGGAACAAATCTAATACTCAAAAATAATATATTTCACGGGTTCGGTGGTCTAGCAGTTTAACATATTACTTTACTTCTGATAGTCGCGGATTTGATTTCTTGCATAGTACAAACAGCAGCCTTCATTAGTATGATCGTTTGAATTGATCTATGTGTTTTCTATTTGTTTCATGTATGTATTTAAAAAAAAGTATCTAAGGAATTCTACTGGTTGTCTCATACCCATAACACAAGCTCTGTTTAGCTTAAGACTAGATGACACTGTGACCAGGGATATTACTATTATATACCATATACATCCTTAACATACCAGAAGATGACTGCTGTTGTTTAAATTTATCTATATCTTCTTTTAATGACGTTATAAGTGCTTCTTTTTCCAATAATAACTTCTTAGCATTATCTCTCTCATTACAGACTTGCTCTATCATTGCTATATTTGTGTCAGTATTTAACTCAGCATTCTTTAAGGCTTCCTGCAGATTTCCAATACTTGTGCTCAAATCATCCTTTTCTTGTTTCACATTATCTCTATCTTTTTCTAATGTTTCTATTAGTCTTTCCATCTCAGCAATAGCTTTTTGAAGTTTTGATATAGTCTCTCCACGTTCTTTCAGCACTTGATTAATTTCTTTCATTTCATTTAATAATTCTGTATTTTCAGTTTTATAACCTGACAATTTAGATTTAGCATCAACATATTCAGTAAGTAAATTATCAAAGTCTTTGACTTTTACTCTTGATTCCTTAAGTTCTGATAAAAGTGACGTATTTTCCTGTTTATAAGCAGCTAACTTTGTTTCTAATTTTACAATATCCGCTTGTAAAGAAACATTCAAATCTGTTAAGTTATCACCATCTTCTTTAGGTTGTTCTAAGGACAGCTTCAGAGTTTCCACTTCTTCTTTTAAAAGCCCATTCAAATCTTGTAACTCTTCATGTTCTTTTTTAAGTATATCATATTGCTCTTGCAATAAATTCATTTTACATTTTAAGTTATTAACTTCACTCTCTTTTTCAATTTTACTGTTATTTGCAATCATAAGTTTCTCCTGTGACAATGTCTCAACTTCAGATTTCATTTTCAAAATATCTGAATTCATTGAATCTAACTGACTAGTCAGGGCTTTATTTTTATTTTCTAATTCTAAGACATTGTCCCTAGCACAAAGTTTTTCTTTAACTAATATTGCCTTTTCACTTTCTAAAGCTTTTAGCTGTAAAATCATGCTTTCTACTGTACTATCATCTTTAATTTGAATTTGTTTTGAGGAAATTAAGTTTTGATTTTCAGATTTTAGATTATCCACTAAAATATGAAGTTCAACATTTTCTTTAGAAGTATCTTCAAAGCGTTTTCTCACATCACGTAAAAGATGTTTTAAACTTTCAATTTCATTTACATGAGTTGGTAATTGAGTGTCATGTAAATCCCGATACTTTGACTTAATTTTTACTAAATCCTCATTTAATATTAATTTACTTTTCGAGCACTCATCAAGATTTTCTTTTGTAGCAGATAATTCAGATTTGAGGTTTTCAACTAAGAGTTGAAGTTCACTATTTGTTTGTATCATACATTGAACTTTTTGAGTACTTTCATTCAACTGATCTTTCAAGTCTTTCTTATCATTTGAATATTGTGTTATTTCAAATTCATTCAATTTCTTATAATCAAGTTTCAATTTCTCTAATTCTTCTTCTAGACTATTTTTAATCTTTAAAGTATCATTTAAATGTTGCTGTAATTCAGTTATTTTATTTTGTAGTTCAGTATTATCTGGTTTTTTAGACATTAGCTCTTCTGAGAGTCTTTTTTCCACCAACTGGAGTTTCTCTTTCAGTGACGCATTTTCATTATTTAATTCATTTATTTGCTCATCTAAAATTTTTGATGCCTTCATTATATCATTTTGCCATTTCGGAATACTCTCTGAATATTCTTTTACTGTTTTTGATAAAATAAATCGGGAATTTTTGAGTTGACTAATACATGCTGCACATTTTAGTATTTTATCCTTATAACTTCTCAGTTTAATATTTGCTTTCTCTTTTTTATTTCTTTCAGACTCATATAACTGTGTAAGTTCTTTAAATTTATTTTCATAGTCCATTTTTTTATTTTCTGAGCCATCATTCTTTAATTCAAGTTTATTCTTCAATTCCAAGATTTCATTATTTAGTACTTGTATTTCTTTTTTATAGGAATCATCTGAAATAAATGAAACATGAATTTTTGTATTATATTGAAATTTATATAAATAAAAGAAATTTGTGGCCTTATGTTCATATTCATAATTAATAATATAATATAATATAATAGATATAATAACAGAAACTACATAGATCATAACTGAAATAATTAAATGGGTACTATAAAATTTTATTTATAAAAGATGATATACCTGTTTGGACTTTTCCTTCTAATATTTTCAGTTGTTCTCTTTGCTGTAAACCAATATGATTAAACTCAGTAGCCTGTGATTCTAAATCAGTAAGCTGGTTAATAAATTGCTCATTTTCATCCAACAGTCGTTTATTTTGCCTTTTAAGAGAAACAATTTCATTATCTAGATCAGACAATTTTTGTGTGGTATCTGCTACATGCTTGTTCCTTACAATCAGATCTGCTTTATACTGATTTATTTCTTCTTCAAATTTCGAACATTTTTCGTTGAGTGATTTTATTTGACAATGAGCTGAATCTACTTCAGTTATATAATTAAGCTTCTGTTCAGTGAGAGAATCTACAAGTTCTTGTAATGTTTGTAAATTTTCCAAATTAGATTTTTTCTCTGACTGACACTTATTAAGCTCTGTTTTATAATTTTCTATTTCTTCTTGTAAATCTGTAATTATAAATATAATTATTTGTTTTTTTTAATGTAAATATTATAAAGAATAGACATTTTTTGAAAAATACAATGTTTCCATTTAATATTAAAATATATAGACTAAATAAAGGGAAAAAGAATCCATAACAAAAATCTAATATCTTACAGGTAACATTCCCAATGTTTGATGACACATTACATATCTGTAGTCATGCTCAGTTAGTGATGAGCCAAGCACACTAAACAACCAGTTTATAATATTAATGCAAATGTTAAAAACAAGTTTGTTTCTATTGGCAAATTATATTTTATTAACTGCTAGCTGACCCGTGCAAGTTCGTCTGCATCACATTTATTTGACATTTATCATATTTCATATAATGTACATAATATCTTTTTAAATTATAACCTGTTATTCTTATTTATATACTATATTACTGTAAAGTTTCAAAATCAATTCAGCACTTTTTGCGTGAAAGAGTCCATACTCACAAGATTTTACATTTATAATATTACTAAGATACTGATGGCATTGAAAAAGACACCAAATACTTTCAGCTGTTATTCTGAAAATATAATTATATACTGATGTTTAATACTAATAAATGTTGCTTTCCCTAAAACTGATTGGTGCATAGTAATTAAATGCAGAGTAGAAATAGTTTTTAGACAAGACAACTGCGACTTAATAAAATATGCATTTTATTATCATTTAAATTTTAATGTTTAATTTATAGAATAACATTTTGTAAATTAACCTTGTTTTTGCTTTAATAACTCATAAGAAATACATACCTGTTTCCATACACATAAATTTTATAATTGAATAACATAGTCTATTCTTTGTAAATATTAATAGATAAATTAAATGAATAATAATTAATATATTTTACCAGATTTTGCCTGCTTGGCTTTTTGAGCTATTGCAAGGAATCCTTTACATTTTTGAATTAGCTCATCTTTATTTAAATCTTCAAAAGGACTCTTCTTCGACATAGTAACTTTGTTCTAAAATGTAGATTAGTATATAAATAAAACATTACGGTAGTAAAACAATATAAGTAGTATACAAAGAATATTGATTAATGATAGGATATTGTACCGTAGTTTCCGAATGTTTATCCATTACAACAAGACATTAGAATTGAGGAATGACTTCATTTTATAACACTATATATATATATATTTATAGCGCCGTATCACGTATGATACCATAGAATACAAACATTAATCATATAAAAACTGACAGAAACAATAATTATAATGAATTAACTTCATAAAAAAATGTGTTCTAAAAGTAAGAAATGAATAGTTCTGAAAGTTAATATTATAAAATATATACGACGATGACACAATTGACACAGGCCAAAATTATTGTCTACGATGTGACAGTTTTGACAACTAATCAAACCACAGAATACAAAACATCACAAAAATTCAGAAAGATGAATAAGTAAAAGAAATTATTATAAAACATATTTTAAACAAAATATCAAATTTCCATCAACAAACAATAACAAATAACCGAAATAGCTAGATTGAATATACATAACTTGATTTTATAATCTTACCCTATTTGAGCGAAGCATAAAGTACTCGTACATAATAACATACAGTGTATTTGATCTGTGCAAGCTTCAAAACTGGCCTGGCTGTATTAAAAAATAAAAAAAATGTAATGGCGGCTTTAGTCATTACTTCCGTCTTTTTGTGTCTCTGAATAGTTTTTCATGATTAATTTCATACTTTTGTGTTTTGTAAGTGTTAAATGTAGTTGAAATGTGATATAGATTTCATACTTCATTATTGCTTAAAAACATACTGATCCCCAAGTGAACAGGTAAATCAGCAATGCCTTCATTCATTCTGTAATTTTTGTTGCAAATCTTTACGGGGCGCGTCCATGAGTAATTTTCAAGATTGTGGTAGGTTTCGCTACTTTTAAAATAAGTCCTAATTTTTGCCTTTATTTTTATGATTTATTATTATGTACAGTAATTCTTACAATAATTATTAGTTTCCGATAGATCACTCGACCAGTCTCCATATTTATAACTTCGTAGCTTAGTATAATTTTGGCATATTGTTATAGGTGTTGAATTTAGAGTTTAAAATGATATATTATTAGTTGACTCAGAGTACCATAATGAAAACTATATAATCATAACGGGACGAGAGTGAAGAGACAAAATGTCGAGTGATGAAGACAAACCACCTGCGCCGCCGGTGCGCTTAACCAGCAACCGGGCGACTGATCGAGGAGATTCAGTAGCCTCTGTGGATATGAGACCTCTACCAAAAGGTACCAGTAAAAATATTGTAATATGACTCCTATTTACAATTAATTTTGAATTTATTTGGATTATAATGGAATGATATAGTATTGTATATATTATTATTATATTACAGAGCCAGATGATGGGGGTGATAGAAAAAAGAAAACATTGAAAGCTAAAATAAAAGGCTCTAAGAGCACTGCACATAATGACAACAAGCCAAATATTAGTTATCCAACCAACTTTGAGCATACAGTCCATGTTGGATTTGATGCTGTCACTGGAGAATTCACAGTAAGTGCCTTTTGCATTGAAATAAATAACTATAGTATAAAATAAAAAATAGTTTTGACATGAACATAACCTCTTTTGATAACAAAACTGCATTCATGGAAAAACCCATGACACACCTGTCAACCTAGTGCCCAAAATTATTCCTATTTTATATTTGTTAATGAAACCATTATGATAATAATTAGCCTATACTTTCTTTATTCTTCCTAACTCCATTTAAATTCCTTTTAAATATAACTGTATCAACATTTCATTAATATTATGAAGTATTAGTTTGATTTAATAATATTTGTTTCAAAACTGACTACTGACATGGGTGATGGTTGGGTGACAGTGTAAATGTGACAATTCTTTATGAACACCAAATCTTTTAAAAGTCTCTTAACCTTTCCGCATCAGTTACTGACCTGTCACATCACCTCATCACTAACTCTGTCCCTAACCTTCAATTAACATATTTCTCCTCTCTTGTATCTTTTTATCACTTATTTAATTTATATAAGTGTAAAAAAGGAGATACTGTTTATACAATGGTTTGTTAGGTGTTTTTATGGATTACACTACAAATGCAGTATTTACATATTATTCCTTTTCCTCACCTGTGACTTTTCTACATTGAAATTGGTGTAACATACCATACTAATTTCTAGCAAAATGTAAGTTTCACACACAACATACTTTATACTTTGTGTCGAATGATTCATCTAATAAATCTTTGTATAACTTTGTTTATACTATATAAAGTCTTATCTTAAATGACTATGTAGGTATATTGTATTCTAAAGTTAGACTATACCTACAAAATATGGGAAAATAAAAATAGCTTTTTGCTTTATTGCTTGGCTTCAATTAAGAAATGGTATACTTTATATTTTTCTTTTATTATGTTTACTTCTTTATTTTTAGTAATGGGGATTACATATTTATGTATAATAATTTATTTGATGATAACTGATGGTTTAAATTTTATTTTTACTGTAAAATATATGTTGATTATATTTAGAATACCTAAAAGAGCAAAAGCATGTCCAAAATTAGATATTATTAAAGATATTACTACCAGTTCTCCATAATTTATGTTGATGTAATTGGTACCAATACCTTGTCAAACATTGCCTTGTAAAGCGCCATGACAATACTTAGTTTTAGCAGTATATTGTACTAAATGTAATATAAAAGTAATATGGTGTTATGGTAATGAATATATTGTGAAGTCATGTAATTGAGTTCCATGTACTACCGCTTTTGTTTCAAGCTGCCTATGACAGTAAGTAATAGCTTGTATTATTACAACATTATGCTCCTTCATTTTATAGACAATGTGAAAGACTAGGAGACATGAATGTGATCATGAGCATTGTTTAATTTTATGGCTTATTATTACCTCAGAAATATATTGTTGCAATGTCCCAAATAATACTGCATTTTTGTGTGGCATGCTCTCTTGTATATAATATAATATTTAGCTATGAAGCTAATTTAAAATTTTAATTTGTGTACCTTTATTAATAGTTTGAATAGTACTTTTTTTTTTTTGTTAATATTTTGTCATAATATTATATTTAAAATACAGTATATGTAATATATTATTTACAATACTCATATATAGCACAATAGAATATTGTTAGTGAAATTATAGTACATATATTAATTATATATTTGTATAATTATTTCAATATTCAGATATACTTTGAAAATATAAACATTAAAAATTAATTTAAATATTGTTATTTTTATTTATTTTTGTTACACAATGAACACAGTTTATGATGTTGAATATTTTTAACAAGGTTTAGCATGACTTAAAACTTTTATTACTATGATATAATTATTTGGTTAGTATTTGTTTTTCAAAATTATATATGTGGAAAGATAACTTATATAATTGGTAATGTGGTATAATTTAAATTATATACTATACAATAAAAACTTGATCATAATGATATATACTTTGTCCACCACAGGGCATGCCTGAAGCATGGGCGCGACTGTTGATGGCATCAAATATCAGCAAACAAGAACAAAAGAGCAATCCACAAGCTGTTCTAGATGTATTGAAGTGGTATGATGCATCTGCGACGCAACCGCCGCCTTCCAAATACATGACCTCAGCACAGATGCATACAACTCATTCAGGTATAATTGTCGATACAAATTAATATTATAAGGATTTTCTTGGTTTTATGTTAGCTTCGTTTGTTCTTTCAACATTTCTCAAAGAAATATAAATATGTTATATTGTAATGTAATTTCTATAAGCAATTATTCATAGTAATTATTGTATATTTTATGTTTCATTGGTTGCTGTAATAGTGATCACAAATAAGAAAAATATTTTTATCACACTGCGCATTGGCTTGAGATATATGACACGGTTGAGGGAGTTATGTGATGTGAAGGCGGGTTATATCCCACCTATTTTAAAATTATCATCAACTAAATAATTCTTAACATAGGATCTTTATAATTGCTGTTGGTAAATTGTCCAATAATTTATTTCTAATTTAATTGTTTTAAATTTGATAAGTTTTCTTATAATTCAACATTTAGTTCCACAAATTTAATAAGAGAATAATAACCCTGACTATATTGTATGAACTGCGACAATCAGAGAGTAATGCAGTGTTTTGATGCTATTGTGAATATTATCGATGTTGTCATTAAAATTCACTATTTTGTGCTTTGGGGACAGGTTCCTCTGTATCGCGAGTGTCTTCAAGTAGTCCATCATCATCTACACCCACCGACACGGAGCATCCTGAGCCGCCTCCACCGCCTCCTTCGAGACCGGATCGCACCAAAAGTATTGTATGTATATGCTATTCTATCCTTTTGAGCAAATGATTTATTTATCTATATATTATTAATAATAAATGTCCAAACTTAAAACTGTTTATGCAATGTCTTGCAATATATGTGATAGCAATCTGAACAATTAATAAACATCTAAAAATGTTCATAATATTATAATTATTTTTGATAATTGACCGATAATGTGAGATTTCCATATTATTGGGCTTTTTAAATAAATGAGTACTATAATACATCTCAACATGATGCATGGAACTGAGACATTGTAAGTATATAAAACACAATTTGTAGTATAAATTTTTAATGATTACATAGACCATTAAACTTGCATAATTTCTAGACGAATGGTAAGATGAATGGAGAATAGATATATGCAAGTTTTGTGTGTGACAATATAATCTAATATAATAAAGAAATTAAATGAAATTACTGAATAATATTTATTGTCATAATCTAATTAACAAATGTATAAAATTTATATAAACCAAATCTATGTTTATTTACTATTATTTAAGTAAATTTAGTGCAGCGGCTTCACTGGATATTTTTAATTACCCAGGTTAGAGATCTCCCTAATCTGTGTGGACAGTAATCCCTAGATGTATTATATTGATCTTTTGGATTAAACAGTATGGTAAAAGGTCTTTGGTAAAAACTTTACTATTCTGTTGTTAGTATACAAAACCTATAGAAGAGGAGGAGCCCCCACCCCGGCCTGTGCAAGCGTCCGCTTCGCCTCCACATGTGCCACATCCGACGCTCACAACACACTCGGTTCGTAAATATTAATTCCCTTTATACTTGTAAATATAATCTCCTAAAAACGTAATTTGAATGTTACCATGCCATAATGTAGGTTTAACTCAGTTTTAATTTATTTTAATATACAAATAATGCGCGCGCGTCATGGCCGCCGTACGGTCTGTTCTGTCATAGGTAGGGTGGAGGGGGGAAGGGCGGGAACAAAAACTAACGGACTCTAATGTAATAATATGTGCTTACGATGGTACAGGGTATATTTTAAACACACAGTTTTGTTTTTCAAAATTAACATATTAGACTACATTAGAATTAGATCAAAAATCATTTACTTATGTACAACATTTTAGCTGCTTATGTATGAGCTCAAGTTTTTTGTACTAATATTGTTTCTCTACTGTCTAGTCAGTACACAGATTCAATTGAGAAACTCGCCTGAATTTATTTTTATAAAGGGCAGTTTATTTACATTGTATATGTATACAATGTAAATAAACTGAAGAATTTATGTGTAACATTAAATGAAAATCCTGTGCTTGTATCTAAGCAGGAGTGTGTTTTAAATTTATTTTAATTAAATTTCTTATTCTTGTTTATGTTATTCTATGTGAACTCACATAGAATTAACGTAAACTACGACTTAAATAAAAGGCGAAGTAAGTATACCAAGGTATCCTGTTTGAAATTACTTATTAAATTAGTTTTAGTGCAGGCGACACTCATCTTCTGGGTATTGTTATTTATTGTTATGCATATTAGATATGCAGCAGAGCAGAAGTGGGCAGTGTTCCACTGCCGCTGGACCGCAACAAGAACCCCGCTTCGCTGGCGCCGTCGACGCCGCCCGCACCTCTCGCGCCGCTCGCGCCCGTCGCACCACCAGCCAATGGCGCGCAGACCACCACCGAGACGGGGTATCTGTCCAAACTTTCTGTACACATTTTCTTTGAGTTATATGAATTTAGATCAATAAATTCCTATTTTGTTACAGAAGAGCAACGGGGCAACAACAAAGGAAAAAGAAAATGTCAGATGAAGAAATTTTAGAAAAACTAAGGACCATAGTCAGTGTTGGTGATCCAAATAGGAAATATACCAAAATGGAAAAGATTGGACAAGGGTAAGAGTAATTATAACTCTACTACTGATATACACTTCCATCTTCCACACATGAAGTTCTTTGTGAAAACGATTTTTCGGAGAAATATAATCTAACCTTTTATTACAGTGCATCAGGTACAGTGTACACGGCAATCGAGACATCTACCGGTATGGAGGTGGCGATCAAACAGATGAATCTTAGTCAGCAACCAAAGAAGGAGTTGATCATCAATGAAATCCTTGTCATGCGGGAGAATAAACACAACAATGTGGTTAACTATCTTGATAGCTATCTTGTAAATGAGGTATGTCTATTTATATATATTAATATAAAAACTTTGGAACAAAGTCGAAAAGGGGTCTAAATACATAATACAGATTTTTATGATCGTAAAATACTTAAGCGAGCTGTATAAGCTTTATAATGTCAGTTGCAGTTCGATGGTTAGTTTGAAGAGCAAAATCTTTTCAAATAACAGCATAGTTAGAAAAAATTTACATAATACAAAATATACATAATTTTCTTACTTGATAATTGATTTTGTGACTGTTTAACTCATTCTAAAAAGACATAAAAAATGAATAAGTTTCTTGTAAAATACAGAGAAAATTATTTTATATTTATGTATAAAATTTATTAGGAAATTTTATTTTCGGTATTTTTTTTCCATTCATTTGTTTTTACCTTTCTGTTACTGGTAGCTTGTGTTTCTTTTTATAAACTTTGTATTTTTTATTGTCAGTTTTGACTTCTTCACTGTGAGCCTTTTTGGTAAATATACACATTTTTTACTGTTATTTTGATTTTTAATAAAATAGTCATTGTGATCCCACTCTAGTAACACCTTTCCATGGCGAAACGGCTTAGCAGATCTTAATGAAATATGTGTTGTTAGATTGTATCCCGAAGATGGACAGATAGCAGACGCGGTTTACTAATGAAAATGTTTCTGTTCAAATATGTAATTTGTTTGTCAGGAATTATGGGTGGTGATGGAATACCTAGCGGGTGGTTCCCTAACAGACGTGGTAACGGAGACGTGTATGGACGAGGGGCAGATTGCGGCCGTGTGCCGCGAGGTGCTTCAAGCGCTGCATTTTCTGCACACCAACCATGTTATACATCGAGACATCAAGTCAGATAACATCTTGCTTGGACTTGATGGACAAGTTAAACTCAGTATGTAGATTTTTATGATTAAACATTTCAGTAAGACATTATAAGGAAAAGAAATTAATTATCGCCTTTAAATGCAATAGTAAAATTATAATTAATGTTTAGATATTTCCATTTCTTATAAAACTGTATTAGTAGTTCATTAACGTAATTGGTACTGCAACCAAGCTGATAGTAAGTGGCAATTATTACCTATGTTGCCAAATTATTAGCCTTCAGAAATAAAATAATCTGTAAACACAGATATGAATAAATATAGAAAAGAAAGAAAAAAAGAAAAAAGATCTCTTGAAAGGATCTTAAAAAATCAACATTTATAACAATTTCATACATAATATTAATATAATATTGTGTTATACTTATATTAACTATGTGCAGAGCGTTTGTTGTTCCTGCACATATATTTTCAACTGCTTAATATTGTACATTTCTATATACAACAATGCTTAACAATTTTTACAGTATAGCAGTTCGCCATTTTTTAAACTTGTATGATATTTCGGTTTGAAGGGTGAGATTTGGCAGTGAAAATATAGAGCATGTTATCTGGCAAAACATGCGGGCTATCACGGGCGTTACACCACGTGAGCCAATATCTGTGGTGCTATTGTATTATAGGCAACTGATGTATATCAATTTGATTACAGCTGATTTTGGGTTCTGCGCTCAAATATCTCCTGAGCAAAATAAAAGAACAACAATGGTCGGAACGCCTTATTGGATGGCGCCGGAGGTTGTTACAAGAAAGCAATATGGTCCAAAAGTAAGCATGATACATTTATGTTTTTTAAATATAGTACAAACCAATTTTTATTTATCTAATGTTTATGCGTTAAGCAACACTAGAATAGTATTACATTGTAAAGAGATAATATGAAGTGGTGTTCAGCTCAATTGGGCCGCTCGAACCGGGAAATACCACACCTCGGCAGAAAACCGGCGTTAGGCGTTATCGCGTTTCGCATGGTGAGCTGTAGGTTCCGGATGCCCCTCCCCTCCCCCTATCCCTTTCCTACTTCCTCCTACCCACCCCTTTCTTACATACCATGGCAGCGGAATATAAGAGATTTTTACCCCAGAGTGGTACCAGTAACCGTGTTACTGGAGAATCCACCCCTGAGATATCACACTCAGGCTGCCCTGCGTATTCTGGGGTGGGCAATACTCCGCTCAATTTGGCCAACAGGAAACCGAGCATATCTCCATCGGCATTTCCCTTGCTCAGAGTCAGTTTTTGCAACATCAGGGGAATTCATTCCAATCTCAACGCCGTCCACCATCACCTAGAGACGGCGAGGCCGGTTTTGCTCTTCCTTACGGAGACGCAAATATCCTGTCCCGACGAAATTTCGTACCTGACCTACCCTGGATATTAATTGGAACACCATTTTATTCCACGGGCCGGTGTGTGCGCTTATGTCAGAGGATATTTGCTGTCGCCGTCTTGGTACACTTGAAGGTACTGACCTGTCCATTTTATGGTTGCGTGTAGATTGCGATGACCACCCCCGCATCTATGCATGCTTATACAGGTCCCATAGCGGTAACACCGAAACTGACCGACTCATTGAACACGTCCAAATGGCTACAGATTTTTTGCTCCAACAGATTCCCTCCGCTGAGGTCGTGATTCTATGTGACTTTAACGCCCATCACGCTGAATGGCTCGGTTCACGTACCACCGACTATGCGGAGAGATCTGTTCATGGCTTTGCATTGGCATATGGTTTGACGCAACTGGTATCCTCGCCTACGCGAATTCCTGATGTTGTTGACCATATACCTTCACTGTGGGACTGTTCTGCTGACTTCTCATCCGGACGGATATCAGATCTCTGTGGAAGCCCCACTGATCTTTGTTTGATACGGAGCGAAGTGCCTCTCACGCGTCCTTCTTTGCCGCGATCGCGACCGCGATCTACTGGTCGACGTCGTGTTTGGCATTTTAAGTCGGCAGATTGGAATGAGATGCGAAGTTTTTTTGCATCTTACCCGTGGGGGCGAGTTTGCTTCGCATTGGACGATCCTGATGTAATAGCTGAATCTGTCACCGATACTACATCGGTGACAGATTCAGCTATTACATCAGGATCGTCCAATTTGGAATAAACATCTCCATTCCCTGAAGTACTAACTTCAGGGAATGGAGATGTTTATTCCAAATTCCCAGGAACCTGTCGGTGGTAGATCTCAGTCCTGGTATGGCGGATCCTGTAGATCGGCGTCTCGCCATAAGCAGGAATGCTTCCGTGCCTGGGTTGCAGCTGTGAAGTCGAGTGATCCAGATACCAGTGCCCATAAAAGGAAGTATAACTCCGCTTCCAGGTCCTTCAAAAGAGTTATTGTCACAGCAAAGTCGGAGCACATCAGCAGAATTAGTAAGAGACTAAACAGTCTTCCATCTGGATCCTGGGCTTTTTGGTCTCTTGCCAAAGCTGCTCAGGGATATTTCTGTCAGCCATCTTTTCCACCACTGCGCAGAGAGGATAACTCGTTGGCCCAACATGCTAAAGAGAAGGCCGATCTCCTTGGTCTCTTTTTGCATCCAACTCGACACTGGACGATAGGGAGCACCGCCGGTCATCTCGCGGTGTGAGACTTTTATGCCAGAGGTAAAATTTACTCAAAAGCTGGTACGTAAGTCTCTTTTCTCCCTTGATATCCACAAGTCGAGTGGGCCTGACGATATTCCTGCTATTGTGCTCAGGACGTGTGCACCTGAGTTGGCTCCGGTACTAACGCGTCTTTTCCGGTACTGCTACTCTACAGGTGTAGTCCCGAAACTTTGGAAGACGGCTTTGGTTCATCCGATCCCTAAGAAGGGAGATCGCTCAGATTGTTGATGTTAGTCTGGATATTGCGAAGGCCTTTGATCGGGTTTGGCACAAAGCTCTTCTTTCAAAGCTACCATCCTTCGGGTTGCCTGCGAAGTTATGCAAATGGATCGCCAGCTTTCTCGCTGATCGGAGCATCAAGATCATTGTCGATGGTGCTTGCTCCGACCCACACTCTGTGTGAATGCTGGTGTTCCACAAGGCTGTGTGCTGTCTTCGACTCTGTTCCTTCTGCATAACAATGACATGTTACAAATCAACATCATTCATTGCTATGCGGATGACAGTACCGGAGATATCTTGTACAGCGGCCATGCTAATATGTCGCAGGCAAAAGTTATAGAGTACCGGAACAAACTTGTGTCCGAAATCGAAACTTCACTGCAAATCAAGTTTCGGTTTGGGCTCAGGAAAATTGTGTTCAATTCAACCCCAAGAAGACACTAGTTTGCGCGTTTACCGCTAAAAAGAATCCATTTATCGTATCTCCTCAGTTTCAAGACACTCTCCTTGATGTGAAGCCAAATCTCGAGGTCCTTGGCGTTGATATATCCATCTGCACATGGAATACTGTTCTCACCTCTGGGCGGGAGCACCACAATACCAGCTACTTCTATTTGACCGCATTCAGAACCGAGCAGCCAGAATCATTGGTAATCAACGTCTATGTGACAGACTCGGCCCATTGGCTTTGCGGCGTGATATTGCATCTCTGTGTATTTTCTACCGCATATATCACGGGGAGTGTTCTGAGGAATTGTTCGGATTAATACCAGCTGCTGAGTTTCACTACCGTACCACCCGCCAGAAACTGAAATACCATCCTGATCATCTGGATGAATGGCGGTCTTCCACAGTGCGGTTTTCTAGAAACTTTTTGCCTCGCACAACCACATTGTGGAATCACCTTCCAGCAATGGTATTTCTGAACCGATACGATATTGAAACCTTCAAGAAAAGAGCATATTCCTTTTTAAAAGGCCGACAACGTACTTGCAATTCCCCTGGTGTTGCGGGTGCTCATGGGCGGCGGCGGCACTTACCATCAGGTGAGCCACATGCTCGTTTGTTCCGTGTTATAAAAAATAAAATGAAGAATTGTATCGAAAATATACCGTATTAAAAGTCCAACTATTACCAATTTTAAATATAATATTTGAATTATGATTTATCTAATTAAGAATCTAAGTGTTCTAAGTTTTTTATTTTTAGTGAACATAGAATCATAATTGTAAGCATTTGTGATTTTATAAATTCCAGGTTGACGTATGGTCGTTGGGTATAATGGCGATAGAGATGATAGAAGGTGAACCACCATATTTAAACGAAAATCCTCTCCGTGCTCTATACTTAATAGCCACTAATGGCAAACCAGACATCAAAGACAAAGAGAAACTAAGTCCGGTTTTCCAGGATTTTCTTGACCAGTGCCTCGAGGTAGACGTCGACCGACGCGCCACTGCGCTCGACTTACTCAAGGTATGTGATCTTCGTGGCTCTTTATGCTACTAAATCACTAGCAATATATGAATGTAACAGGATGTAAGATGTCTACATGCCATATAAAGCTAATAAGCAACTATGCAATGTATTACCTTCACGCCAACTAACAAGAATATGTTATAGTTCATATGATAGGGATGTATTATTGTAAATTAATTTCTTTTGCTTCAGCACCCATTCCTGAAATTAGCGCGACCACTGGCGTCTCTGACGCCGCTGATAATGGCGGCGAAAGAAGCAGCCAAGGGACATTAGCATCGGCCGCCGGCGCCCCCCGCCGCGCCGCGCCGCTAGCGCCCCCGCGCCCCCCGCGCACCCGCGCCCTCTAGTGCCTACAACACATGTGTACTTCGTGTGCGTACATACACTCCATTATATTAGACATACTGATGCTCCGGTACGGTACATACTGAAACTATCATCGTGTCGTCGATTAGCAACGTGTATATCTATCGATGGAGCCATCGTGTCTCATAAATTGTAATGAGCATAAATCGATTACAGAGCAATATTTTATCCGTATAAAATGGCTGCCGATGAATATAATAGAATTATAATATTTTTACAAGAAAGAGATTAGAAATGCAGTCCAGTAATATAAAAACTGTAGTGTCGTTTAGTAGTGTTATTTATTCTAATTAGCGACGTAATCTCTTATTGACGTATTTCATTCGACTGTTTATTCTATAAGGAACAAGGAGTCGAATAGAGTTATAGATAATACTAGAGACTAGATACGAATTTGTAAACGATTCAGCTGCGAACGAAGACTGGCAGTTAATGTTTAGGTAACCTTGTAAAGTATAAATAGTAGAATATGTTAGGTCCATTATTTTAGTACCGACTCAGCTTGTTCACTGTGATGGTAGGATGTTAGCTGATGTTAGGTAGGAACACATATAAATAAGAGTCGAGTGGTTCGCGCGTATCGCGCTCTACCGAGTTCCTTCGAGGTTGGCGTGATATCGATTATTATGTATTACTATGACTGGCAAATTGATTTTTTTATTTGCATTCATTAAATTATTGCATATTTGACTATTACTGAATTGAGCATTCAAGTTTTACAATATTTTTATGTTACTGATTTAAATAATATGAGAACTGATTTTATAATTATTATAATTAATGAGTGAATATTTTAAATAAATGTTAAATTAACATGACTCTAGAAACTGTTAGCTTGGTTTGCTTACATGCTTACAATAGTTACTAGTTAGGTTTATATGTAATTGTTAATTTATTGAAATTGCTTATTGCTTCTAATCAATATATTGTAATTTGAGATTATTATTATTGATGTGGTTTACTTTATTTTCAAAATCTAGTTATCTTTTATGATATGAGATATATTTCGTGATGTCCTTTACCGTCAAAGTTTTACTGTAAACACCACTACATAGCTAGCTTGTTTGGTGAAACTGTATGAGTGATGGTATCATTTGTTGTTAGTCATGGAAGTGGAGCATTTACATAGTATTAAGTTTATAAAGTTTATGGGAGTGATGATGCATAGAAAAATAATTTTCCTTTATGGCACAAACAATAGCATTTAAGTTTCATTGAGTTTTTTATTTTCGTTAGCTAAAGACATGGAATATAAATAAGATATATTTTTACCATCACCAATAACCATGACAATTTTTCAAACAAAATTAGTATTTGTGGGCAGATAAAGATGAATAAAATGTTGACTGTCTCATGAAAATTTGTATTGCCAAGCAGCTTGCTTGTGTGCCCTTATATTCCAGTTTCAAAGCATAGGCTGGATATGTGGAGAACCAGGTCAGTCTATTTGTTAATTGGTGATATGAAAAATATACTATATTTTTTTTTACTCCTATAATTTGGCAAACAATATCGTTTTATAAATAAGTTTGCTCTGCCGCACTCTTGAGATCAATAGCAACATATTTAGAAATTATATTGTTTGCTGCTCTTAAAAATATTGCGGACTTCTCAATATAACCGAGTGATATAAATTGAGATTTATATCATTTTATATTATATATAGGTTCAATCTTCAACTCGTGCAAATTTGAATGAAGTTTCACAATAAAAAGCTGCGGTGCTTCTTTTCAAATTAACTTTAATTGTATAATACATAAATGCGTAATAACAACGCGTAAAAACCGATTAAATATTGAATAAGTATTAAACTATTTTGTATCCATCAGTAGTATTTAATAAAAATTATTAAGTAATATAATATTTAGCTAGATGATTGAACCTCTTTGAACAACACTTTATTTATGACAATAGTAGCCCACTAAGTATTTAACAATATCGATTTATTCATATTATACATACAAAAGTATTTTAAATTTGTGGACCTCAGACCACATGCTTTTATTATTTAGGTTGTGCCAACAGATGCTGTTAATTGTCTTTTTAATTTGCATTAGTGTGATTGTGGTGTGAATGTGACGCGTGCTACGAGACGAAGAAGTGCAAGCTCCTGCTGAACTGTATATTGTACAGACACAAATTAGAGAAATGTAGATTACTTGTTGACAATATGAAACGACCAATTAACGCTATGTAGACAGACTCCATTCAGATATTCCAGGTTGGTGCAATAGAATTATATTATTTACTGTGTTATGTTATATATATTGTATTATAGGGTGTTTAGAAATGAACTGCAAATATTCAAAGTCCATGTTACAACGGTATCTGTAACTGAACTTATTTTTCGATAGATTCGATTTTGAAGAATTAATTTTTGGATTCATAAAAATACAATTTATTATTTTTGACATTTTAGACAAAGCACCACGCGTCCATTTTTGTTTATTATAATATAATTAGCCGTTTTCCGGCAATTGCTAACTACCAACATGAAATAGTTATATAAGTTGATCAGTTGAACGTAATGTAATTAGAGAAAAACCGTATCATTTTTCTGACGAAGGAATAAATTGTCTGTTAAATATTTTTTGTGCATGAGTGAACAACATTGGATTGTTTGCAGTACATTTTTTTTACACAACTTACAAAATGATATATTGGTTAGCAAAAAACGAACAAAAGTTATAAATTATGTGTGAGATGACAGACAATGTCTGAAAAATGGTACGTTGATTGTGTTCTGTTGAAAAAGCGGCCTAAAATGTAATTTTCTTTTACTGTAAATTGTCAATATATATAATTTTATTATGGCCTATCAAATGCACAGAGCAACAGGCACCGACCCTAAAAAAATACTTGTGCAATATTGTAGAAATGTAAAAACTATAGCCAAATCTTTAAGAGAGCTTGAAAAAAAGTTTTTCAGTATCGAAACTAAATATTGTAAGAAGTGTATTAAACTATGTGATCATGAAAATGAATTTGAGTATGCATTAGAATATGTTAAGAGGAGAATAATTGTAATTATGATCATAGTCCTAAGTTGAAAATGTATTAATAACAAGTAATAGGATATTATACAAGAAATATAAAGCGGTTAGAACATTTTTCATGAATTTTGTCAGTTGTAAAACACCAGTGCCATGTACGAGCAACTTGTGCATATAAATTACAACCATACTATAATAAAAGACTCACCACGAAACCTTAGTTTTATTTGACCTTTGGTTATACAGCTAATGTTAATACGTTTAATGGACATGAATAGGTGACAAACTGCTACATAGTAATAGTATCACAGTAACAACATACAATAAACATTCTTTTTCTGGGGCAATCGGGTAGTGACAAACAAAATGCAAATAAATCCTTTATTTTCTGTAAGATACATGGACGTAACATAGCATTATGAAGTTCTGTATGAAAAAATAAACTCGTACGTTTCCTATTTTATCTGTAACTAACTGCAGCCGCAACTTCGTACGCGTGGAATATAACTTTATTTTTCTAAAATAAAAGTAGCCTAAGCTACTACTTATTATAACAACTACCTGCCAATAAAGCTCTGGTAAAACAAACTGTTATTTCAATATTACAAACAGACACTCCAATTTTATTTATATGTATGGATTGAAATAGCTAAACAAACAGACGACCCATCTGATGGCAAGTGATAAACATACATATATTATATCAACCAGGACATCATTAACCATTATTAGATGCCTTTTTGAAGGACAGAGATGTCAATCGTATTCACTATAATTTGACTGCCTTATCTCTTCAAACCAAACATACTGTACAGAGCAAGCGACGACTGCTTAGACTACTTTGTACAAAGTCTAGTACTAGTTTTCTTTCAGAGACATTTTCATAGGGCCAGCTACGAGTATTTATGCCTGAGATACATAATACCAAAAATTTCTTTCCCTTATTTGTTCTATTACTAAATATGTAGTCATATTTTTTTTATGATAATATTTACAGTAGAAGGAATATACATAAATAAAATTGCTGACATTACAGAAAATAATCTATTTATTTTGATAATATTCTTACAAGAATAAAATTGCTTAACACAGCAGCATTGTTTTGTACATATTTAGTTTATAGTTAAACAATTCAAATAATATTAAACAACAAATAAATAAAAACGACTTAGTTCGGTAACTAAAAATTAATGTAAGTCCTTATTAGATGCCCTGTTGATGGAACAAATATCAATTCTGTACGAATAATGTAACCATGTATAGAAATCTACAATGTAAAAAAAATTCTGTCAAAGAATAATTCATATGTTAGTTACAGAGTCACATAGTACCAGTTTTTTTTTCTGTAAAAACCAAATGGATTTTACTCACAAATGCGAGCTTTCTTGGATTACTAAACGCGCCGAAGCATATAAACTAAGAAAAGATTAGGGAAGTAATGATAAGTACGTTTTATAATGAATTTACTATTCATTGTACTGTAATGTTCTTGAGAACAGAAAAGAATCTGGTAATACGTATGGTCCATAAGGCCTTTTACGTAGAGGCGGAGTTTGGCGTTATATACCAACAGAAAATCGCGCTATTTTCTGATTTTACGGGAAACTAGCTAATCGAAATTTCGATCTCTCTTCACTGTACTGTAGAATGTTGATTGTCTTGGATATTATTTTATTAATCCATCGAGCGATATTTAGTATCTCTGTCTTATTAGCTCGCCGCCAAGCCAAGCAGTCGAATAAAATATTATAAATATTGGTAATTTGTTATTGTCTGTACGTACTTATATCATTTAGGCATTATACATATATACCTATACTACGCTAAATATACTGCTCATTATGTTAGATGCGCGTTCCGAACTCCAGATCTTCGTAAAAGTCTTAATACGTTTACACAACACAACACGATAGTTTATCGATAAGCTAAGTCAGTTTCAGCATTAAAAGCTTACTTGTACGGTTTTAATTAATCAAATCATAATAAAGTGCCCAGGTATTTTGCAAAATCCATATCAATAGCTAATCTGTCCGGTAGTTAGGCACAATAACATAAATATTAGTCATTCCTTTCTTCAGCTGGTATGAAGTCCATGGATGCGGAATTAATGCAAAATCGTTTCTTGGTGGGCGCTGGCCCATCATCGAACACATGTCCCAGGTGAGCAGAGCACTTGGAGCATCGCACCTCAGTTCGCACCACACCTGGTCGTGTTAATACCAGTAATAGATTTGCTCCGACTATTATTTCAGCACACATAGTCAATCACCAATACCATTTATTTACATAGATATCACAAGAAACCAATGATGAGAGTATAAGCGTCCCGTATGATATTCATAATTTTGCGTGACGTCACAATGTCGTCCAAGTGTCGAGGTGGTCGTTGTCCAGCCGGCAGCCATCCAAGGAACCAGACGGGAAGGGAAAAGACGAGTAGGCAGAGGAAAAAGGACAATGCGTATTATTGTCATGCACATTCCAGAACATTACAGTGGTAATGAGAAAACATGAACATAGTGATCATTAGAGTTAGTGAGTCAAATCAAAATCCAGAACATATAAAATGTGTCCATTGAAATCATCGGTGTATTGTTTGTGATCATTGAACCGATATACGAGTTGAGAATACAATATTTTATGTAAAATAACGCAAGTAAGTACATAAATTATTATTAGCGGTGCATAACGTAATGAACAGTGATTTGTCACACATTTTTATAACAACGTTGTCATATGAAATAAAGCGTAAGAATAGATACATATAGTTTACCAATTGATGCCGACTTACGTTTGATGTTGAGTCAGGATTGTATCGGAGGATGATCAAGGGTACGGGAAAGATAGACAGAAAAAAAAGATAAATATGCATTAGCACCAATATCCTCTTTCCCGGCACCATATACATTATATACATAAGCAATATATGTTTGCATGTAAAATAAACGTAAAACAAACACAAAGCTACCAAAATTACATTAACGTCTAGTAATCTCAATTATCAAATAATAAAGAAACTTAAATAATTATAATCTGTAAATTAAATATTTAAAAAAATCTATTAAAATGATTGGGCAATATTTTCATTAATATATTGGGATATTGGCTTAGATTTGGAAATATAAATATTAAGTTAATTAGTATTATTCATTACATAATTTAAGTTACACCGTTTATCAATCAATTTAAACGTAACATGCCAATCATGCATCATAGTTATTTTTAATTAGACTGGTTAATTATATTTATCTTTTAATGCCTACTATAAATAAATCATTTATATAATAGTGCACTTAACGAAGCGTGATAATATCTATCAATATATAATATTAATTATATATATGTTCGCGATCTCAAACATTTTTTGGCTAATATTAATGTGTTTTTCATCCATCAACTGTAATTTCTAAGGAGAGTTTAGGTGTGAAATAGCTTATGGTTCTGTGTAAACTGAGTGAATCTAAATAAACCCATAAATAGTCCAAAGAAACGTCTAATAGGTTAGGTAATAATACATGGGTCGTATAAATGATGTTATCTACAGCGATAACATTGACACTCGCAGTAAGATCGCTCGTATTTACATTAGACAATTTCACGTGCTATCTACTCTTATTTTTCCAGTGTTTCGCACATAATTTTTTCTAATTAACCGGAGCATTTCTAGGATATTTAAGCATCAAGAAATTCGCATTAGATTACATTATTGCAATAGTTTAACTGTGTATACTAACTATAATGTTAAATATACTCTACAAATAAATAATACCAGTTTTGAAACTAGTTATTTAGACTGCCTGCATACGATGTAGGTAGGCACTTAAACATTTCATATTTTAAGTAACTATGTAAATACACATTATATAATTACAAAATAAGCCTTTATGGATTAAAAAATATAGATTAACATATACAGGAACAGCGGAATAAATAAATAATTATTCTGACAAAGAGATAATCAAAATAATATAATGATCATGAGATATCGTTGCTATGCGTTTTATTATTTCAGTCTTAACTAACTCTTAATAACATAAAAGAAAGTTTATTTTCATGTATATCCGCTATACTAGGCAACAAATTGTTATGAAGATAATAATGAGAGAACTGCGTAGGTCAGACAAATGATTCGGACTGAGTCGGACGGATAGTTAAGTATAGTGATGTGATCGATCACTATAAATACAAAAAAATGTAATTAAGATTATTAATTTTAATAAGAATTTCTCTGTTTTTAAGACAATGTTCTATAACAGAAATAAATATCTTATCTTGCTGACATATATATCTGAATAAAATTTCGTTTAGATAGCCAGATGTCTAGGTATAGTCACATGATGTTATTATCTAAGTTGACAACCAAATATTATACAAAATTTCGTCAACTCATAATAAATAGGTAGGTTTATAAATATGTGTATAATATCCGTACAGATCAACAATAAATTTAAATTATTATAACTTCTACATTTAAGCTAAATAAAGACCAAGCATGGAGTACGATGCAGTCTTGACAACACTATATAAGAACTGAGTTCAAAATATGTATGATCGCGCTAATAGCTATGTGCTAATAAGGAAAGGTCATCACGTGAATTGCCATTGTATCCACGCTTATATGAAAGTAAAGGTCACATGAAATATGGATGAATGAGCTACACTGACCTAGCAATTCTACACATACATAAATAATAGGCAGGAAGAGAGGTGTCAGGGATTTATTTTATAACCGAACTGTGATCGAGATTTCGTAAGTTCGTTATAACTGTAAACCTATTAAAATAAAACTAACTTTTCTAACATTACTCAAGAAAAACAATTTTGTAGCATCGATAATAAAAATGCAACGTGTACATTTTTTATTTAACAACAATTAAGACGATAAGTTATTCAAAAATAAGCTAAAACAATAAGGAGTCTACAAAATATACTGTAATAAATTTTCGTAAACGCACCTTGTAGAGAACTAAAGAAAAATCTAAAATTATTGCAAATGATGCAAAAATGCCATCTATTTTTTGCTATATGACAAGTTTCTGTATCCAGCGAGTGCATACCTAAATAACTTAACACATTAAGTAAACGTGTTTAAAATATCGATTCTTAACTTTCGGCGTGTGAATCCTACGCGCACAATACCAGTTTTTTTAAATTCACATCAACAATCTTGATCTTATAACATATCGACAACAAAACTAAACGGCTACCAAGAGAAACTGTGTACCTACAAGTCAATGATATATCTGTTTATTTAGTTAGTCACAAATATTGCATTGTAGTGTATGGTCTATTATTCAATGACATTGAATTTATGTTTCGCATGGATTCATCCGATAGACGCCTATAAAGGCTAAAGATCTACTACTATACAATATTAGCATGTATATAGTTTTCAAATAGCCTCATAAATTAATTTCGAATTCTGTTAAAAAAATAAATAACATAATACTTATTATATTATTTAGCATTAATAATAATTTTATAATAAACAAATACAATGCTCAAAAATATACAGCAATAAATATTTCTTGATGTCATTCAAGACCTTAGATTATGACCTGATATACAAGATGTAAAAAGCAGCTTGTTCTACTAAAATAGTAATTATTTAGTAGCGCTATATATCTGATAACTTACTTACTACATGTAAAATATTCGACGTCACACTCTTCCCTACGTGACGTTAAGAATTTTGTCTAATGTGACCACCAACAACAAGTACGAAGGAGGAAGAAAAAAATAAAAACGTGACTTACTTTATGGAAAGATGATTAATATAATTAATGTTTAATTAATGTTACTAATAATATATTAATTAAACATTCAATAAAAAGGTTTAACATTGTTTAGCGATATTTTTGTACATCGCGAAAAATGTGACAGTACACATTGTAGAACCTACAAAAAGCTCGTTATTTTTATTGTTTTTGCTGTATTATAAGATACTATTATTCTATATCATTTAAAAAATTGCTATATATTTTTGAACAACATTTATACTAGCCTAAAAACTATTATCAGCCAGCAGCCATGCTTGCAAAGACATTGCATACAGTTATATAAGTAATAGGTTCTAATAATACAATTATATATTTTATTTACAGTATATAGAACTATTTAGTCAACAATTACATACCTGCACTTGTGTCTTGATGCAGAGTAACCTTGTCCTTAGCTAAAACATCATTGAATGCGGGCCAACCACAACCAGAGTCGAATTTTGTATTGGAAGTGAATAGCTCTTGTCTGCATACTATACAAACATACACACCCTCATCATAGAATTTGTTGTAGCAACCTTAAACAAGTAGACACATAATATAGACTACTTTGAAATGTTTAATAATATATTTCATATATTTTACTATAGCAAATGTCATTATTATATTATTCTTTGATATCTAAATTAAAAAGATACCATGATAACAGATCTGATAAATGTGTTATAAAAAGTTAATAGTTGTATGTTAAAGATCATACATTTGAGGTATTCTATGACGAGTCATTGTCACACAGGACAATGTATATGATGAACTTAGAATGTATTAATCTCTTATACATTGTATTGCCCCAATAATAAATTAAAATAAAATCTGGTATAATAACAATATTCTCACTAAGTAATGTCTGGAGGCCAGACAACCTTAAAACTATAAATATTGAAATTAAAGAATATTGATTCAAATACAGTAGAAACCGGCCATAAATGGCTTTATTTACAACAGTAATAATCAATTGACAAAAAAATATATTCTCATTTTCTTTTTTATTTGGTGTATATCTATAAGAATATTAATTGTTAACTTGCTAATTTTAGAGTACAATATTTGTTAACAATTAACCAAAAAAGCAAAAATCCTTTAGCATAGCATAGCATATAGTACAAAAATATAAAAGCACTTTGTAGATATTTATATATGTAAGCACCATGTAGATAGATATGATTGCAGTGCTATAAAGAATTTGGAATATTTTACTGCTGATATTATTAAACTTTTACTGACTTATTAGTAAATAATAATAGTTTGAATTATTAAAATTAGAACTACTATGTTTTAAGAATATGCTTAATTTTTCTGTGACTGCAAAAAAATTCACCCAGTATAACATTATATAAAAATGCAGTATTTATTACTTACATTTAATACACATGTACATAATTATGTTATAGGGTTCATATTTTAACATCCTTAAATGTTGTTAGGTCCAGTTTCTACTATATAACTAACTTAATCATTCTATTACAAGGCAGTATGTTTCTACATATTATATAAACAGGATATTCACCAATTTTATAATAGTTAGGATCAAGATTATTGCAGAATTATAAATAAGGTTCATATTAAATTCTGTACTATGCCCTACATGGGCATAGAAACAAGTTATTTCTAAATTATCACCAACACAGATGTATGTTCAGGACAACTCCTACTGGGTATACATTAATTGCTCTCTTTCTCATGGCATATAGTTCAGTTTGAAGGTTTTACAAATTGTATAATTGTAACAAAGTTAATAAAAAAGTGTGTCATCATAATCATATTATCAAAAGAGAAATATATAAACAATTGTTAAATGTTAATACTAATTTTGAACATCAGTTTCTTATCATATGATCTATATTTTACCACATTCAAACTATAATTTTTATTTCAAAACACTCAATTTTTGATTTATATTTAATTTAGAATATAAAAATGACACACATTTTTATTTTTTAATTAACTCAAAGTTAGTAGACATCCTTAACAGCTTTAATATGGTAGTGACAACTTTTTAGACTAGATAAAACAAAAAAAAAGCAGTTTTCAATCACTTGTATTTAATCATATCAATTATGTAAAACGTTCAAATTTATCTACAGTGTTTATGTTATATATTTTAAAATAACTATCAATGTCATTACAGTCTATTAATAGATAAGTTTCAGCATACCTGTAAAAGGCCTCTCAGTGCCGGCCTCCTGTGTCACATGATACTGTAAGGGCGTTAAACGTTTCTTCAACGCTTCCTTATCTTCCATGGCTCGCCAAATTAGTGCTAGTGTAAACAAAAATATTGTGATGAAATGTGTCTATAGGCTGTTGGCATCTATCCAACATGAAACGCAAACGACGTGTTTCCGTGTTTATATACTGATACACAGACGCACACATGGAGTGTGAAGAAACGAAAAGAGCATAGATTATTGATAGGTAGGTGTATATATAGTGGAAAAGAGTTTAGAACTATCGTACTGTTGACAGCGGTACCTGTTGTAAATGGATGTTGCAGCTGCAACCGGATATTTCTGTTTGGTAGCACTGGCTTCCTAAATGCTAATATAGATCTGACTAGAAAACGCATAACTTACATTGTCTATTTAAAAAAAAATACAATTAAAAATGGTTAAAATTAATTTAATAAATTATGCACAAAATTGGACCGAAAAGTCACGATATGTCAGAAATTGGCAAGCTGGGTTAACAGATTAAGGTAACAGATTGTGCTAGTTTGAACAAAATTATGCTAAAATGTAGAGGGGTTTTTTAAATGCTTAAATGTGGAGTATACATTCAAATAAGATGCTATTTATCTGTAATACTAATACTAATTGAATGCTGGGATTATTTGATGATATTAACTGGAACACTACCTATTCAGTGGGTGGACTAAGGCTAAAGTGGGTCCTAAGGAACATTGTAATTCCGGACCCGGAATTATCAATCAACGATATAATTTAAAAAAATATGTATAATTAAATAAATTTATTCGAAAATCAGAAAATTTAGTGAAAAGTCATAAAAAGTGTTTAAATCAATTATTAATAGGAAGCAAAAATTGACTTATCAATAGAATTAAATAATTGTAAAGAAAAAATATATAACAAAGATTTAGAAATAGATGAATAATCACAAAAAATTAAACTATTAGAGAACTCGTTGTCCAATTTATCTTTGAAATACGAATCAGCTAAGAATGAAATACATGAATATTCTGATCAGTTGGATAATTTAATAAAATTAGGTAACTACAACATGGAGCGGTTTGTTTCTCTTACGGATAGATGTCACTGTAATTCACCAGAGTCTGATAACTATATCCAACCGTCCCACCATAATCAGTTGAACATTGATATCTCATCCGTCACGGAACCAGACGTTTCATGTTTACCCACACGAAACAGTACAAAAGTAAATAAATGCAGCACTGTACATGAAACCATCAGGAGAACAATTATTTATTCAGATGAATTTGGCAAGGATTTAGGTAGTTTATTATCGAACTGCCTCTCGCAACAAGTAATAAATAATTGTTTTCCGGGATCAGGTATATATAAGATTATAAAAAATATAGTAAATGAAAAATATGATGTTCACACGATCCTAGTAATAGCGTTAGGGAATTGTTTGCATATGCGTAAATCTGATATAGTTAATTTAATAAAATCATTATATAATATAGTGGAGCTTGGTATAGGTAAAATATTATTATGCGTATTTCCCTACTCTCAATCCCTGACTAATGAACAGAATAAGTTCATTTATAGTATAAATAATTTAATTTATTCGATGACATATCATTGTAATGATATATTTTATTTTGAAAGTAACAAATTTGTTACAAATTGTTATATGACGGGAGGTAATTTTTATCTTCCTAAAAAACAAAAAAAGACTATTGCTAGTTTACTAGCGTATAACATTTATGATCCCATTATAAGTAGTATAACGGATTTAATTAGTAATATTAGTAATTATACTAATAATGTGACATGTGTTAATTTAAACTAACATCTACGACATTGGTTAAGCCACAGGATATGGTCATTATTCATCAAAATATTCGTGGCTTCTCCAGCAAAGAATTAGAATCAAGTCTTTTCTTAGAATCTAATAATGTACGGGTGTTATGTCTGACAGAACATTGGCTTAAACAGTATGAAATAATTTGTCCTTTTGAACATTATAATATAGCTAGTTTTTTTGCTAGGAACAATGCCATTCATGGCGGTTCAATTATTATTTTAAAAAATGATGTAGAATATAAAAACCGTCAAGACATTGTAAATATTTCTATTGAGCAAACAATTGAACTATCTTGCCTAGAATTAGTTACTTGTATAATAATTTGCGTTTATCGTCCGCCATCGGCTTGTTTTGATTCTTTTGAACTGGCTATGGAGGAAGCATTGAGACGAGTCGCACGGAGGAATAAAACATTATTTGTATGTGGCGATTTTAATGTTGATTTATTATCGGAATGCTCAATAAGCTTAAGATTGATTAACTTATTTAAATCATTTAATTTGCACAATCTTTTTTTAGAACCCACTAGGGTCGCAGGAAATTCTGCCACTTGTATAGATAATGTTTTTTGTAATTGTGAAGTAAAGGTGAAAATGAATTTCGACTGTCTTGGATCTGATCATTATGGCCAAAAAGTTATAATTGAAACTAAGGGATCCAAAGGGACTCAAACAATTCCATGCAGAGAAATAACACAAAAGAATTTGGCACGTTTTAAAAATAAAATTGAACATAAAATATCTTGTGCCGTATTACCTCAATATGACCCGGATATTGTATGTGAACATATTTTTAATTTAATTGAACATGAAGCTAGCAGTGAATTTAAAACAAAAACATTTTTAACTAGTGTAAAATCAAAGTTTTGTGACTGGGCCACGTTTGGTATTTATAAGTCTAGGGCTAATCTTTACGAACTTTACAAAAAACGAAGCTATATATCCGATCCCTTATTTCATGAACATGTAAAATCTTATTCGAAAATATTTAAAAAGGTTTGTCATACAGCTAAGTCTCTCTATTTAGGTAAAATAATAACTAAATCTAAAGATAAAATAAAAGCCACTTGGAAAGTAATAAATAGCGAAACTGGATAAGTTAATTTTCAAAATAGCAAAATAGCTTTAAATATTAATAACAAATTGGTAAATTCCGACACAGAGGTCGCGGATACATTCAAATCTTATTTTACTAATATTCCATTAATTACGACACAGGCTCTAAAATCTTCCCCGTCTGCTGCTGAAACTTTACTAACAGACAATGTTAGCAAGTCATCAGCTGTATTTAACTTTAGACATACATCATCAGTAGAAATAATGAAAATATTCAAACAGCTTAATAATAAAAAAACAGAGGATCTATGGGGTATATCTGTTAAAATACTGGATAGTACAATGGAAATTATTGCGCCCTCTCTTGCTTTTATTTTCAATAAATGTATAGATGAAGGTAAATTTCCTAACATAATGAAAATTAGTAAAATCATACCGCTTTTTAAATCTGGAGATAGGAGTGACCCAATAAATTATAGACCTATATCTATACTCCCAGCACTCAGTAAAATTTTTGAAAAAATAATCCTTATGCAACTTGTCAGTTATTTCAATTTAAATAATTTAATCCACAATAATCAATTCGGTTTTTCCAAAGATCGTTCAACTACAGACGCAGGTGCAGAGTTGCTTAGACACGTATTTGCTGCATGGGAAACTAAAATGGATGCGACAGGTGTTTTTTGTGACCTTTCTAAGGCTTTTGATTGCGTTGATCATAATACATTGCTAAAAAACTTGCTTTTTATGGTGTCAAAGACAATGCTTTAAATTTAATAAAATGTTATCTATCTGATAGAATACAGAAAGTGAAGGTTAGCAACGCTACGTCTGACGGGTCACTTGTGCAAATGAGTGTACCTCAAGGATCTATTCTCGGTCCATTTTTATTCCTAGTTTACATTAATGATCTCCCATATGCCAAGCAGGATAGATGCGGCATAGTATTATTTGCAGACGATACTTCATTGATTTTTAAAGTTAATATAATGACTAATAATTATGACTATGTAAATAGTGCTTTGCGGCGTCTCCTGCACTGGTTTACAACTAACAATCTTATGTTAAACGCTAAAAAAACAAAATGTGTTAATTTCTCTCTGTCTAAAAGTTTTAATACTAATTGCAACATTAAATTAAATGACGAATCTCTCGAATTTATAGAATCTACTGTCTTTCTAGGAATCACACTAGATAATAAAACACAATGGAGTGCACAAATTCAAAGCCTTGCAGCGAAACTAAGTTCAGCAGCTTTTGCCGTGCGTAAGGTTAGACAGTACGCTGATACTGATACTGCTAGATTAGTCTATTTTAGTTATTTTCATAGTTTACTCTCTTATGGAATATTACTATGGGGAAAAGCGGCAGATATTAAAAATATATTCATATTACAAAAACGTGCCGTTCGAGCGATCTACTGTATGAAGAGCCGTGACTCATTAAGAGAGAAATTCAAAGAGGCAAATATTCTCACTGTTGCTTCTCAATTTATATATTCAAATATCCTATATGTTCATAAAAATCTTGACTTATTTCCAAAAAACAGCAATATTCATAATATTAATACTAGATTTAAAGACAAACTTGCTGTCCCCAAGTATCGTTTAGAAAAAGTTAATAGGTCTTTTATGGGAATAGGTATAAAAATTTACAATAAGATACCTGATAAAGGATATGTTGGAATTACCCTTAAATAAATTCAAAACATCTGTTAAATCATATTTACTGAGCAAAGCCTATTACTCACTAAACGATTACTTGAATGACGAGTGTGCATGGCAATAGTTGTTCATGTACTGAATTTTCATTTAATGTTAGACATAGACACCTATATAAAAATACATTGTAAATAAACTGGCTTTAAAAAAAAAAGTAATTCAATTGAGTTTCTTGCCAGTTCTTCTCAATTGGATCTATATACCGAACTGGACGGTAGGGAAAAAAAAATTATAATGTAAAAATTTGACGTTCATAAGCGGCTAAAATGTCCTACATGAATAAATGATTTTTGAATTTTGAATTTTGAATTTTGAATATAATTATAATATATAAATATATAATATATTATGTAATATAATTTATTGGGCAGAGCATTTGCCAGTGGATAATGTAAAATAAACTTGTGTTTAACTGCAATTGTTTTATTATTTTTATAATACTAAATATACAAATTATGGAGAAGGTAAAAAACGCGGGATACATTTACGAGGACATTTAACAGAGAGAGAGAGAGTGTGACGTTTGACATATTTTAGACAAGACGGTACTGACATTGACAGATACATGAGATTGAGTAATAGAGCGTGATTACATTATATATTTAACATAATTATATAATAAAAAGTATATTAAAATTGGAAAATAACTTATAATGACAATTAGGACTACAAATTTTCTTATTATGGTAATTAATATAACCAGTAGAAGATGCAGATTCACAATATACTAGATATGTTTTCGTCGATAGTTTATAAACCTATTTATAAGAAAAAGTCCACGGTAAGATAACTCTTAGTTTGAGAAAATATTGTTGTTCACCAGTTTCTGTTGGAAAGAGTAGCAAACATCTGTACAAACAAACTTTTGTGTTTATAATATTAAGCAGTGTTAAAACGAGGTTTGCAATCGATGTCTAGACTGGCTGGTATGGCAGATGAAGTATGTTTAAATATTTGAAAAGAGAGTGCGTTTTGTCATCTTGTCTGTCGTCGCGTCGTATTGATGTATCCGTATAACTCATCTATATTATTGTATATTGTATTAAATGTGTTTTTATATTAATTTATCTTGATTAGAAATATATTTTGTTTATCTTATTCTACGTTGTTTACTTGGACACCACTATAGTTACTCTGTTAAAGTGAGAAGTTCAGAGGTAACTTCCCTCACAAGCAGAATACAAGATGAATTTAGTTTACTTATTTTCTTTTGTGATTGTTCATTAAAACAGGCTTAATCCGGCTACAATCGCTAATTTCTACTAGATCTGGTAACCCTGGTTACAGATCACAAAACCTACCACAGAGATACTGATACAGAAATAGTGGTACCATAATGCTTATAACTCTATGCTATCGATGTGAAAAAAATTTCGAATAATGTATAAACTGTAAAACCTATTAGAATAATAATTTCTTTGCATATTATTCCAACCTACCTTAGGTTGGAATTATTGATGCAACGAACACACAAAATATCAAAAAGTAGCTCTTAGGTGATTTATCGATGTATAAGTAGATATTTATTTCCGTTATTATAAAATTAAATACGACAATATAGATAAAGTGCTTTTAATAAAAAAATTTAAACACTACAAATAAACAATAATAATTAAACAAATTAGACAGTAACAAACTATAAAATAAGGTAACAGTCGGTTTCATCAGTTGTTACTACAATGGACTTCGTTTTGTTTTCGAGTCGACATAGATTTAACATTTGAGTTCGATTGAATTCTCTGTAAATTAATGGTTGGTGAAAAAGAATTGTGCTTAATAATAATAATAAGGAAGTAAATATCAAATAACGAATAATTAAATACAATATTGTATATTCTTTTTGTCGCTGTATCATAAAACTTTTAGTGCGGTATAGGAATTTGCACTGAAATTTATATCTTTGGTTGACTATGGAATATATTATGTAGTAGTAGTAGTTAGTATGTTGGTCAAAATTTTATTCAAGTTGCTTTTTTTATTTAATTGAATGTGCAAAGTAGGCATATGCCGACCCCAAATAAATGGGATAAGGAAGAAGCAGATGATAATGAATTGGCAAACTAGCTAACGACCCTCTTAATAGTAGGTTGGCATACATATTCATGTGTGAATACACATCGTGCACTACAGCATCAAGTTAGCACGTGACGCCCTTGATATTATTACGAGGCCTCTTCTGTAATTTCACTTTCTGATCTTACCCTACAACCGAAGTGCGAAATATAGATTAAACGCAAACTGTCGCTGCAGGTAGGTGAGATAAAGGCATCCACGCAGACGACTTTTTACTAAGTTTACCTCATTTTATTTGAAGCGATCGAGGTGGAAATGATTTATTAGTTGGAATGCTACACTTGCAACTCTAAGTAGGTACATTATTTGTAGAGGCAAATTGATACCATTCTCGTTTATAACGTTACGCAAAGAAATATAAACTGACTGCGAGAGATTCTCGACTCTTTTGCATTTGCATGAGTACATATTCAGTGTCATCTTGCTCAGAGTCCACACAAGAAGAGTGCGTGTCATCTGGTCTAGTTTGGTTCTCTTGGCGAAGTAACGGCCGCATCTATTGTAGATAAGTAGAAATAAAATATATTAATAATTTTACCTGGAGATTTGATTTTTAAAATGCGGTAACACCATATTATAATGCGGACATACGTAAAACAAAAAAATAGTAATAATAATAATAATCTCAGGACAATTCACACAGCGCTATTTAGACCCAAGTTAAGCTAGCTAAAGCTTGTATTATGGGTACTAGATAACTGATACATATAGGGGAGGGTGGGGCAAGACGTGGTAGCGAGGTAAGACGGGGTACCCCCCTTACAGAGAAAACCAAATGAACCTCAGTCAAAACAATAATACCAGTAATAAGCTATTACTTGACCCCCTCGGTCGCCTAAGAACCACCGCAGTGAGACGTCGCGTTTAGATGTTTGAGCGAAAAAACTAGTTTTGACCAGTTTACTTATTATTTTCAATTGTTATTAACTACATGAAAAATATATTAAATTGATCAGTGGTTGCTGTTATTGCCATTTTTTTGGAAGAGTAAAAAACCATAATGTAAAGTGAGAATATTTCAACCGCTTAAATTTATTATTCCTATTTTTTATTATTTTTTTATAAAATGAATACCCGAAGGGGCACGATGGTATATGGGATACCCCATCTTGCCCCGTCCGAGTCTAATTTTGTATTTTTGAAGAATGGTACGGACCAACGTGCGGAAAACCAGTAGGGTGAGACAGTTAGGACTGGGGTATCCATCGTTCCTAAAAGTAAATATAAAATTATCGCCAGAACAGGGAGTAAGCAAGTTGGATCTTTATCTTCAGCTAAAAGAGGAGCTACTATCTATCACTGTAGTGTTTAATTTCAGTGCATTTGGGTACTACATGCTACCAATGATTCTATTTCCTCATAAAACGATGAAACCAGAACTGATGATAAATTCTCCCCAAGGTACGTGGGGTGTTTGCAGTGAGGCAGGCTGGATCACAACAGAGCTATCCATGCAGTTCATCCCCGTAGTAGTTTAGTCTATTATTTATAATCGTATTAAACTTGAGACTGTTTTGTTATATTTTAAAACCATTTGTTTTTAGTTTCTAACTGTATTTACCGTAGCAGTTATTGTTATTTTACGTACACCGTCGTGCCCTATAGGGTACCCCGTCTTACCCCAGGTATGGGGTAAGATGGGGCAAAGTGACCTTTTCGCTTTAACTATTGATTGTGAGATAAATAATAAGCTAATTTGAGTCTATTGTTATTTAAACAATAAACCGATTACCAAAGTTTGTAAAACTAAAGAAAATATGGTTGTCCCTATTTAAATGTGAGTTTTATTCAGTGTCAAACCTTAACTATCCCGTCTTGCCCCACCCTCCCCTACATAGAATTTTTTTTTAATTACATATATATTATGCATCGCAAACACCCAGACCGACACAAACAATCATACTCATGAATACAAATGTTTGTGCCGTGCGAGGAATCGAACCCGCGACCATCGGTCGTAAAGCGGTGTACAAGACCGCTAGACCACCGAAATTGTCATCAGTAGTAAATAAGTACATATTATTGAAATAGAACCAATTCTCCAGTACAACTTGGCTATATAATATATTTGTGGAAGCATTAAGACTACCTATGAAGATCATAGCCATGCCGGTGGTTTAGATATGGCTACCTACTTCATTCGATTATGTTAACATTTGGAATAAAAGATCTTACAAACTCGATACCGTTGACCGTTCTTTGTGAAGTTAATCCTTTACACCATATATCAGTTGAGAGGTCTTCAGCTTGTGGTGTCATCCATCGTCGTAGACCTCCACGTCGATATCGCCATCTCCGCTCTAAACCCTATAAGTAGCAAGGAATTGCACTTAAGTAATGAAACTAAATTTCATTTTAATACTGAGTACAAGTATAGTTCAAGTAATAAATTTATTAAGTGCAATTCCTAGCTTATGGAGAACATAACATTGCCTGCCTTCAGGCTAATAAACAGGTGACCATTTAAATTACTGTACACTTATAACTTATAAAATACCTGTAAATCTTGTGTACTAAAACATTTTTTGGTGTTCATATTCTGTGACTTAGATCCAGTATTTTTCTGTAATTTGTGCCACTGAGACGCTATATGCTTCAGGGTATCCCAGACTATCAGACAGGGAGCCACGATGAATATTATCATGTTCAATATGAACTCTACCCATCTGTCAAAATCATCATAATTATAACAGTTAGGTACGTACAGTATGTTCATTAGATTCGACTATTTTTGGTTGATTACCGGATAAATTATATAGGACGTCCAACTCACTTGTTTATAAGTCTTACAGTACGTAACTTCGTATCTGGATGGACAGGCCAGCCCTGCTCATCATAAACAACGGGTCGGTCACGCAAGGAGTTTTCGTAATAATGTTCGAGCTTCCGTGGCATTAATAGCAGGCGATCCAAGCCCCAGGCGCCCACTGATCGAAACACCAGGCCTACAGATGCCTTCAGAAAACCTACAAAAGTTATTTAATAATATTTTACGATTCGAAGTAAAGAAAATCATTTATGCTAATATGCTTACATGCGTTGTCACACGAAACACTAAAAAAAATCATTGATGTGAGTATTTTGTTTCTTATCTAGCAAAATGATGGAATGAGATGTTTATAATTGAAATAATAGGCACGAAGATTTTACGCTGAACCACGGCACAGACAGGAAGACTATAGAAGTAATAGCATTGAAGAGTATTTGATTGAGGAGTATTGAGTAAGCCATCACAGGGACTTTTTTAATGTTAGAGATAGTACGTTAATTATAATATATTAATTTAATGAGATTGATTGCCAGTAGTAGCATCAGCATAGCATCTAGATGAGCCGCCAAATAGTTTACTTATAAAAAGTTGTGTATTTAAGTACTCCTACAGGCAACGCATGAGTGGGTGACGTGCGAGACGTGCAAGAGACGATGCCGACGACCAATTACAATCAAATGGGCCGCTAGATAGCTTAGCTTGTTTCCAATTACAAAAAAAATAAGTATATTTACAAACCAAGAAACCATAGTGCTATAAGTACACCGACTGTAATAACACATAGGTTCAAGTAAACGACATCGGGATAGCAGACAGAGCGGACTTGACGAGATTTAATGCTGGCTAAAATTCCCGCTGCTACACGTTTAGAGTCCGACATCTCTCTACACAGCAATCTGGGATCTTCGCCTAATAAATTTAATGATAACAATTTTTATTGTGTTCGATATTCATCAGACAAGAAGACTATTGAAATTGATGATTAATATAGTCAAACCTAATTAAGATGGGATAATGCTGGACGAAAGTCGATATTAATTTCTTATTGCCACAAAACATCGCCATCGACTTATTATATTACCTACTAACATCACACAAATGGAAGGTATTGTTTTCAATTCACGTGGGCAGAATTAAAATTGCCATTTCCGTAAAAAAAGTCAGTATATATGTAGGTATATACATTATAATAATTTATTATTTAGTCACTATGTTGAATAATATTTTCATAAGCATAATATGTTAATTCTGAAACGTTATGCTGTTGTTTGGTTTTTGTTACAATATCGTATATTCATATACCTATATAATGTGCATAATAATACAGTATCTATATATAGATAGTGTAAATTATGTTTAAAATAATAAGTAATATACTCACTCATACAAACGCAATCACAGTACCAAACGCAAAAACAACGGTCACCTTTCTTTATAGTGACATCTCTTATAGCTACTGTTTCCTCATCATCGTTCATTAAGGCCACTGTAATTATTTAATATATAACGAATGTGGTACAGAATAATTTACAAATTTAAGTACGAAACGAAACATTAATGAAACTGTCACCTGCACCATGCTACAGCGCACATGGTATAGGTACCTAGGTGTAGTTATAGTATCTAATATTTTCTTAAGATAATGTTGTTACTTTGCAGATGCAGCTTTATGCACGTCGCTACAAAATTATGAAATATATTTACATCGCTGATACAGGCTTTTAAAACTCACCTTTCATTATTCTACCACCGCCAATTTTGCCTATGATCCATAATTGCCTATATTGTTATAGATTTTTTATTTAGTTGTTCACGGTACATATACAAATACTGCAAATTCTGAGACATAATCATGTCATTAGGTGGGGTCTATGTGCGTATAATTATAACTTACTAGCATGCATATTAATTTGTTTTTTTATCATAGAATTTTATTAAGTTGCGTTCAGGCATGGTATATCGTATATTGTAAGTTTAATTTTTAATAAAATAAAAAGTAAGAAACCTGAGCAATGAGTGACATCCACAGGAATATCAATGGGTAGTTCAAGACGAAACTGTTTGGTGTACATCGGAGCAAGCACCACATAATATTCATTATAGCCATCTCTATCTCTATCAACGTCTTTTAATAAGTTCTCCAAATCTGGATCGCAGTTCCGTGTCTTGACTCTGAATTAACACAAATACTTAAGGTTTTAACTTGACAAGTAACTGCCAAACATTTACATATTTTATTTTTATATATACATATAAATAAAATTTGAGTGTCTGTTTATAATATTGAAATAACCGTTTTTTCCTACACGCATATGTATATAGATACACATACACCAAAATTTTTTTTTTTAATTTTTGAGTCTATCTTTTTATTCCGGCTAATCTCTGAAATGGCTGGACCGATTTTGACGGGACTCTATTTAGCAGGTAGCTGATGTAATAAGGAGTAACTTAGGCTATTTTTATTTTAGAAAAATATAGTTAAATTCCACGCGATTCGGACGAAGTCGCGGGAACAGCTAGTAGTACATATAATTGTAGGTTCGGGTACATCGGTCGTTTAGATGATGAATCATCTAACTATACATACCTGAAACGTGCTGCTGCTAAACCTGTATTAGTCGCTTGAATCGTTAGTATAGTTCGTGTGAGTCTGCTGCTATCAGCTACCACAGTTGTAATGCGACCAGAACAACTGAATGCAATTAAACCATTATAAATAAAATACGTTTTAATTCTATTATATTCTTGATTTCTTCATATAAATTCTAATCTATTCTTGTGTAAATTACTAATTTATACTCTTACTTTTTCTTGCAGCAAAAAGGAAAATATTCTCAATTAGTTTAGCGAACACTTATTGTATTTCTTTAATAAAATATAAGTATGTGATACGCGACGTCCTATTCATCATACTGTCTTAGCATCATATTACATATACTGGTTAGAATACATTGAAAATGAAATAGAATACACTGTTTGTTACATTTTAGATAACAACCAGTAGATTCTATAGCGATAGAATTGCATGAAATAGGTAGATACCCACACAGATGACTTTGTATAAAATCTCTGCTAAACTTGCTGCAGTGGTGAAGCAGAATAATATCAGTGGTGAATCATAATATTCTGCGCTTACATATTTGTGTTTTGTTTGCAGATGGATACCCTTTAGGTTATCCATCTGTAAAAACACGTGTGGCAAAAATTAGGTCCCTAGTTTAATAATAACTCCCTCTAAAACCACTTCCAGCAAATCAAAATTGCAAATTAATTTATGATCCTGTTTGCAAGCTTTCTCCATAATGTTAACTAATAAAAATAATTTAGACAAATATTGCAACTTTGTTTTAAAATCAGCTTCTTATTTTATAACAAAATTAATTCTATGTAGAAATAGTTACTTACCCCACGAGAATTAATTGATTTTCGTCAGCTTTTGCTTCTAAATCTATTTGTGCTTGATGTGGTTTTCGATATGGTAGAGTAAGATAAAGTTCAGATGTTTTGTCTAAAATGTTCACACTGTCTTTTGTAACATTCAATAACTGTCTCGATACATGTACTAATACTCTCCGCTTTCGCTATAGATAAGTACAATAAAATATAAAATGTTATTAAAATAGTCTTGCTAGCCCAAGTGATGTACATACTTTAAAACCGATTTTTAATTATTTTTATGCCACCATTTAGTAAATTAATCATTAACTACAATGTCCCATTGAAGTTTTAGATTAATTTTCTATCCGCGACGATTTTGTCTCCCCTAATATAAGTAGGAATTGCCATATAACAAATAGTATACTGAGATGCCTATCGTGTACCTCAGTATGTGATCCCAAATTTAGGAACTTATTACGTACGATTTTGGCGACAAATTTTAATACAGATTATTAAGACAGTCCTTACTTACAACTTAAATACTTACAAGCTACAACTTAGTTGCTAGAAACTTCGATTCTGAATACCTAATATATAATTATATTAAATATGTAAATAATTATTAAGATAACTTCGACGTAGATATAAGTATAAGTGAGGATATCTTCGGGGTAGCTTTTAATGAATCGATTTAACTTTCGATTTATTTTATAGGATGTGCCCACTGTGCTCAATTATACCAAGAAAGGAGTAACTACTAAGTAGTTGATGGCAAACTCCACAGATTGTGCAATCTAGTTACCGGTTTTATAAATTAACTACCGGTTTATATTGCAGAAGGAGTGTGGTCAATAGGTTCAGAGGTGTTGAACAGATTGCTCTTTTTAAAAGACTATCAAATGTAAATAACACACCTTTTTATTTTGGGTATTAGATATTGCAAAATCAGACATATTTTCATAAGGGTTGATTGAAAAATGTTCATCCTCATCACTACTCAAAACATCTTCCATAGGTATAATTATATATTCTCTATCATTATCTATAAAACAGAAATATAGTTTATAAACAATATACGTAAAGTAAAAGTAATCAAACTATATCACATTATCAATTAAACTTGATGTACATATAAACTTACCAGATAATGGTACAAAAAGGCGTAAAGACGAAGTAGAAGGCAAGCTAAAGTCTTCTCTTGGTATCCACTTGGCCAGGCGATACTGTACGTGCATATGCTTATTTGTCCACTGAGATGATAGCGAACCGATACTGCAAGTTAATTCTATAACTTTAAAAAAAAGGATAAGACTTAAGATATCCACTGTCTACTGCAAATTTGCAACATGCAAGAGAAGAGGAACTCCTGGATAATCAAATACCTAAATCTTCTTTGAAGTAGGTATTTTATTATTGTAATAAGTAGGTACAACGCATTTAACTTTATATGTTACAATGTTCATATATTATTATGTAATCTGAAATGCCATAGAATAAATATTACTACAATATTTATTTTATGGTAATAGAAAGGTGTACTATTATGATGAACTATCTCATTATCTGCTTTCGATACCGCCATCAGATAGTAGGTACATCTTCCATCTCATTAATTGATTAATGTGTCATCAATCATTTCATTCATCTAACGGTGTTGGTGGTATAGCGGTTTAACACATCACGTTACCTACGATTGTCCCGTGTTCGATTCATAGTACAAGTTCTCTCTGCCTATCACATAATTAAAAAAATAAAATATCTGTGCGAGTTTGACGAAATGTTATGAATAGTGTATTTACCTCACGGGTTCTCCCTTTGTTATATCATTCCAAACAGTTTTACCTTCAGGTGTACTCCGTTTCTCAAGTAGTTGTACGTGAATTGTATTCCATAAGTCTGGATTATCAATTTCGAATAATGCAAACTCTTTTTCGTTAGCTTTCAAATTATTATAATTTGCACATTTTTCTATTATTGTAACCCTATCTGATTGCGTACTACCTTCAATTTCATGAAATTTCAAATTATTTGATGCTGGTCTTGTCATTTTAAGATTACTATCTAAATATATTTTATTTGTTACATATTCCTGCGACATTGGTAGATCACTACTGTATAATTCAGAAAGATAATTTTCACCAACTGCGTTCCTCTTATTTTCAAAATACCTGTTAGTATACGGTACAGAACTATTGTTAAATTTATAATCTTTTTCAGATATTATACTTTTATATGAATCAATATCTGAGCCCCATGAACTATCATCTTCACTGTGTTCAACTAAAATATTATGTTCTTGACGTTTATCTCGTTTCAAAGTGGCACTTTTATCACCCACTTCATGAGCATTTACTAAAAAATTTAAATTGAACAATAAATATGCATATGTCAAAATTTAGTATATAATATGTAAGAACTAAACAGTCGTCATAATTATGGGCAAACAATTCTTTTAAGCAAGCATAGAATTAGATAAAAATGTACGTGATTTATAATATACTTTTTCTTAGAATCTGACTATATATTACATCTATATAGTATATATGTAATATATACTGACCGCTTTTGGATGAAATTTTGGGTGTACTTGAATAGGTTCCTAGTTCCAGTAGGAGTGGACAGTTTAGATATATTAATACGATACGATTATAACTAAATATTATATATTTATATAGATAGACGTTCTCTGTGGTTTGCAAGTTTAGCACACCGCCTTACTTCCGATGGTTACGAGTTCGATGCTCGCTCAGTACAAACATTTGTACCTTTCTATTCATGAGTATCATTGTTACTATTGGTTTCGGTGTTTTCTATGTATATTAAATATGTACGTATTTAGAAAAAATGTAGATATGAAAGTATTTTTATCAGTAGTCTAGTACACAAAAGTTCTGCTTAGCTTGGGCCTATTGTAGATGGTGTTGTGTGAATTATACAAGATTAGTATTATTAATATTATACATATCTATAAAACTATATATAAAAACAGATAATATAGATGCAGTAGGTATAACTTGTTCAAAAACATTGAACAATCTGTTTTCGGTTAAGTAATAACTATACATACATATGAAAAAGTGGCAACTCTTTTAAAAATTTATAAAATTCGATCCAAGAGTCATACCAACAAGTACGACATAGTAAAGCGGTATGTGTACGTTCCGTAACAGTTGTATAAACCGGTTTCATTGTAATGGAAGGACCAAGTCGCGCGGGGAGAGAACGCGAGCTATCGCCGGAGTCCGAGGCCGGCAACCGCCGACCAGTGCTGTGGCGATTCCAGTCCGGTTACAAGTTACAACAGCACGCATGGAAGCATTTATAAAAGGTGTGCGATCCCAACCCTGCCTATGGAACCCACTGCATCCTGATTACCGGGAGATGCAAGTCCGAGACAACGCATGGCAGAATGTCGTAAATATCAGCAAGAACAATTCTATACCGAATAGTATGTATTTTTTCATTTATACTTATCTAAACAGGTAGAATAAGAGTTCTACACTCTGCAGGTAAAAGAGTATTGTCTATCACTCTTGTATGGGCTTGATTTTTATTATTTTAGATATAACTACAATTTGGAATGGCAAGTGACGCCTCTATCTGATAGAAAATGCTAACCGTCGTATAGACATGAACACTACTCATAATATTAATGTCAGTGAGTAAGAACAGTTTATATAAGTACATGCATTTTGTGTGTAATTTGAAATAAATATATTACTATTAAATACATAAGTATAATACACTAAAATACCTAATTAGGTAAATATATTGGCAATTAAAAAACAACCAGGGGACTTTCTTGCCAGTTCTTCTCAATTGAATCTGTATACTGAACTGGATGATAGGAAAAAATATTACACACATGAATAAATGATTTTTGATTAGATTTGAAATGTATTGAATTGAAAATATAATTAGTACAGTACGAACACAAGAAGTATTAACTACTACAGAAAGAATCATCAATATTGGTTCCACTTTTTTTCTTTTCTTTAATTTCATGTTTTTATTGAATAACTAATGTGAATAAGCAGGTACGGTAGTCGGTATCTGCTTATTCTTCAATATTTGATTTTGCCGATTTATCGCTTGTTGATACGTAATATTGGATACACATACCTATGTGTTTATATCATGTAGGTATATATACTTGTACCAACCAACTAAAGAATTAAACATCTAAATTGAAAAAATTTAAGTCAAATTCGAATCTCTTTCTTACTCGTATCTGCACCTCCAAAGGTTGGCTGGTAAATAATGCTAATAAAATTAAGTCCTCTTTTTACCTAATTTAAAAAACTAAGACATGAGTAGGTCGTTTTGTTAATCATCTTATCATTAACACTAAATAAAAATATTTAATAATGTTAAATTATTAATCTGACATTAAATGCATCCCTTTCAGTAAAGGCAGCAAGAAATGAATGGAAAAAACTTCGTGATAACCATCGAGAGGCTCTAAAACGAGCTAAATTAGGACAAAACAAATTATTACCAGCTCAAATAACAACTTGGAAGTACGCTAAAGCCATGCAATTCTTAGAACCTCATATGAAATATCGAATTACAGAGAACATTGAAATGGATCCTCCCGATGGAACGCCCTCCAAGTACGTTGAACAAGATGTGTCCACGACAGAAAACGCCGAATTAGAAACCAGAGATAGTCCAAAAAATAAAAGACGTTACATTGATTGTTACACAGACAAATCAAGTCAGCACAATAATACAGACGCATTGGGCTCATTTTTTAATTGCATGCTAAAAAGTACACGAGTAATGCCACTATGGATGCAAACGCAAGTGAAAAAGAAGATATTCGCTGTAATAATAGAAGCAGAAGAACATCTGTCTAGTGATCAAATTGATACTAAAGCCGAAAATAATTATTTTACGATAAATAAAATCAAATCAGAAGTTTTTTCAGAGGATAGTTATGATTAATTCCGAATCAGTATAAATATTGTAATTATAATAAGTATACAACAAAATCTTTATAATTTCAGTAGTTTTCTTGTACATTATTTGAAATAGTACAATCACCATTGTAATTTATAAACATCATTTGTATGAAATTTTAAAATAATTACGGCCTTAAGCAGTGAAGGGATTATATATTTTTTGTTCTGTATATAAACATATATTATACTTAATACATATCTCACTCATATGGTGTTACAACAAATCACAATGTTTTGTTTAGAAATGTCTACTATAGATAAATAGAATAGTGTATAAGGAAGATACCTATATACCTACATCTTATTATAAAAAAATACCTGCTTATTTTTATAAAAAAATGGACATTTACCATCCTTATGTATTTTTTGTAGAATATCTATTGCAGATGCAGTAGAATAAAATTGCCAATCTTCAAGCTCAACAGAATTTGAACGAATGCGTAATTGGCAATCTAATCCCATACTTTCAGATTGTTTATCAGTTATTAAGGAATTATTATTACGTCGTACACGGTGGCGAATCTGTAATGTATTTTGTCTTGATAAACTGAGTGATGTAGAGGTATGGTACGCTGACTTACTTCCGGATTGTCACGAGTTCGTTCTAGTGCATTACAAAGAGGTTTGTTGTTTAGTGTCTGTTTGTATTGATCTAGTATAATAGTATTTTCTATTAAGTATATTCCTTTACAAACTATAGAATTGTATCAGTTGTCTGGTACAACGGAACTAGATGACTTTGTGTGGTTTGATAAGACTCCGTTATTTATTATGAAAAAAAAATATATAACCGAAAATAAATGTTTGTATGGATGATGAAAGCCGTTAACCCTATAAACATAATTCAAGTATCCGTATCAGTAGATCATTTACATAGATAATATCATACAGACGCCAGAGGAATGCTAGCGTGACTACTAGTCATTGATATAATTATAGGTAACTACGGCCCAGATCTGAAATTTTACATCTACTTAACCTTATGGAGGTTCTAAATATGTACAAATTTAATAATATGACTTACTTTATTTTTTGCGTTTTCTTTATCAGAATTAATTATAATACCACTAACAGTCTGAAAGTAAAAGAAATTTCTAGTAATTGAAAATGATCAAGCATTTATTCATGTGTAAAGCCGTTATCCAATTAAATCAATGATGTGATTTGTTTAACTGCGATACTAAACTGCATATCAGGCCAGAAGATATAGTTATATATTAAATGTCGGTAGATTTAATATATCATAAGAGTCTGTAACAATCCTACATCACATGAATAAAGATATTTTGATTTTGAAATTTCAATTGTAGTTAAGGAATAAAAACAAATTACTTATTTTTAAACTTTTAGATTTATATATATTCTATAGAATTAGATGTTCTTTTATCAATTTCATCTAAAAATTCCATTGCTTAATTCCGCTATCAGTAGACTGGAGAGAGGTAAATACCTTATTCTAATATTTTTTTATCAGATAAAGTATTTTTCCAAATGTTAAAAATAGGCTTACTAGCCGAAGTGTGTTATCATATGAAGGTGTAGGTACAGGTCTAAAATTGGTTTCAATTTTCTTTATACCGCTTAATTCCAATTATTGGTGGAAAGAAATAAGTACAGTGAATAATACAACGCAACAGAATTGATAAGAAATATGACAAAATGATAAACATACATCAAGTCGTCTTATTTTGTATGCTTGGAGTGGTTTTTCACGACGCAGCCGCAACACGTATGGATTGAGGAGTCGTACTCGTTTCTTATTGGATCCATCGAAAACGTGTTCAATAGGAATGTACTCGTCATCAATGCCGAAATTTTGCTAAAAACGTATTTTTTATTAGATAAAATATTAAATTGTTTTTTCTCTTTATATCTAAACTATGTCTTATCTGTGTGTAAACTAACATTAAATTAAGCATTCAATTTTTTATTTGTAATAGTTAAATGAGAAAAATACTTTTCTCGAAAGCACCGCATAGAATGGGGTATACTTATTATAATTAAGAAAAATAAAATAGAGATCTCTGCAATAAAGAACAACCCTCGCGCTGAAGTGGTGTAGGTCTCTACATACTAAACCACGCAAACTTAAAAGAACAATCTGGTTAATAATTCTATATATATTTCTATTCTATTATTCGACTCCGTATGAGATTAAATATAAAAAAATATTAGTAAAGTATATTCACGAATCTGTTATAAATATTTTAATAATTACATATAATAACAAATTTTTTGTTTGGGGAATAGTATCGACTGACGACTATTGTTTGGAAGAGTAGTTCGAAGTCAGCCGTAGCTGAAATGTTATAACGGCTACTCAAAACAAACATGACATTGATAGTTACAGAAGGATCACTAGATAATTTGACAGTAAGTGCTAATTTCTTCTCACAATCACTCAAGACATTGTATTTGAACAATTGCTCTAGTTGAAATCGCTTGACTCCATCGCCAGTGTCACCTTGACTCTCCTACAAATTGAGTTTTATATCATTAGTAAGTACCTGTACTATATCCACAGATATGAAAGTTCAATTAGTTACATGAAATTGAATAAAAATAAAATATATCCTTAGGCCTATAGAGCCTGAGCTAACAGCGGCGATAGTTACTGCCTCGTTAAATTAGAATAGCGTTATAACTATTTTTTTATACATAAATGAAACTGACGACCCACTCGATGGTAAGAGCTATATGAACCTACATGAACAGCACTGTTGAAATTATGTTATGATATGACGCCCGTGATACCCACTGATGCATTACCATACCGGAGAACCAAGATATCATGCCTCTTATACTGTATTCTAACTACCTTATCTTGCCCTACATCTGCGATACATCAAAGCAAGATGCTTGTCCGCTGAAATAGGTAAGACTGAGATACACATGCAAACTTTTAACAAAATATACCTCGGACTGGTTGGATTTTCTTGATTTTTTTGGTAATTTTCAAGACATACCAAAAATAGCCTGCAGCAGCATACTACTTGTAAGTAGTAGTTGTAAATTATAGTTTTTTATGTATAAAAAAACTATAATTTACAACTACCTTATTATGGGTAGGTATGTAAAATAATTAGATAAGTACAGTTTACACAAAATAGCTTTAATTTGGACAACATTAGTAAAAATGTAACGAAAATATAGTAAATAAGTAGATATAACATTCCGATCACAAAATAATGACGGAAAACGCGACGTAATTAATAAACGTAATAATTGAGAATCTACTTCTGTTAAAATCGGTCGAAAAGCAAGCACAACATATAATAAGATAAAAAATGTTCAGAAATATTTGTTTGTCACATACATCAAGTCGGCAGTTGATAAACACAGCCCTCACTTCTATGTGAGAATTTCCGTTTGCAATAGAACTTCTATAGTCCTTTTCATCTATTATACCAATAATCTCATTCATTGACAAGACAAAAATTACAAACGTCGACTCTAAAACCACGAAAAATCTATTATTTAACTAACTTAGGTTAGTAGATGCAATAGCATAAGGTACCGATTAAAAAACGAGAAAGCACCAAATTTCTAAGAGCCAGCAAACTCAGAAAAAAATCAGTAATCTGTAGTTATGATATACAGACATGCGCAGACACATCTACATATAGATTGTAGTATGTATCGGATTGCCTTTATATACCAAATTCTTATAACTACAACAATAATTTGGAAGGAAAAACAGTAAAATGTATAAAGATAAAAATATTCCGAAAAAAATTTTTTTGGCCGTAAACTTTGATGATGTACAGCTACTTACTGGAAAGAGATAGCAAATTTAGTAAGTTTCTAATCATTTAAAAGAAGAGTAATACTTAAGTACAATAAATTGTTCACTTTATAGCTATAATCTCTGCACTTTCTCAACAGTGAGAGAATATTGGTTTTCAGTTAAATATTCACACTACCTACTGACAACTTTGACAATGAAGACTGCTTTTCTATCTGCCAATTGTCTATACTGTAGTAATAGACAATTGGCTCAAAGACCAATGAAATTGGCAGGAAAGTTTTCTAAACCTATTTAACCTCCTAGTAACTACCAAATCGATATATAGAAAGATGTAGATAATTAGGCGTTGCGTTTGTATATGAGAAGGTTGACAATTACTATAACAATTATATCAAACAAAAAAAAAAAGAAACGCTCTTATAATGTGCATTTTCTTGTCATTGTGGATACATTTAAGAATTTTTTTTTTTTTTATATTCTTGCTTCAATAAATGTATCATAATCACAGATAATATAATATTACATACAGATACCCCATCCCATACAAGAAAATGGTTCCTTCCTAACTCGGGCTATTCTTCGGGCTATTTTATTTCGCCGCCGTAGGCGCTAGATGTCGCTATATCTGAAGCAGTTCGGATTACTAGTGGGTGATTAGTAATAAAGCATGAAAATAGATGGCAGAGAATTCGGTCTACATGACATCTGTTTTGCAAAGATACGTACATAATAGATATATAACTGTATCGAACTCCTGATTGGGTACAATCGAAAATTCAATGTAGGTATAATATTGTTCGCTGACAGTCTCCAGACACGGCTAATGTACCTATGTATCTATGTACTATGTTACAGTTACTTTTTTACATGCCTACTTTTTTTCTCCCGACGAAGGTATGTCGTAACGCGTCTGCACTAAAATCGGGCTATCGGTTAAGGAGCAATAGCTCCTTAACGAATAGCCCGATTTTAATACGGTTTTTTTTATTTAAATTGTTATGTGATAGTGATAGATTTTAGCTATAATCAATTGATGTGCATATGGGTACCTCATATAATTTTCAGTGTATAATTATTTCTCAATATATAGTTAATTATGGTAAACTGGCAATTTGTAAAACTGAAAATAATATCTGCAAACCATCAATCTGTTATATGTATAGGTATGACATGTAGGTACTTATTTTGATGTTATACCTATTTGTAGAACCTTCGATATCTACAAACTACGCCTTTACTGCTAGTTTTTTTGGTATTTATGTAAGTTGTTATTCAGTTGAAATTAAGCTGCGAAATTACAGGATATTTGGACATAACATCTATGTTCTCCGGAATGATAACGTATGCGGGATATAGCGGGCACGACATGATGACGTAATGCTGTTTAATAATATATGTGTATGTATGTACGTCGGATAGCGTCGTGGTTGGATGGATCGTCAGCTTATTTACCATTTCAGTTAATAATAGTAGGTAGTAACTTTTGACAATATGGATGAGGGAGGGTAACGTTGATGATGATGAGATCAATAATGACTGTTGACGATAGTGACGATGGTATTTATTTATGACCACCATAAAATTCATCATTGGCAGTATTCTCAACATTATCATCATTGTTCATCATGATGATTGAGATCAAATTAATTAATTGATTAAAAAAGTAGCAAGTATTAGGTAGGTACTAAGTCCTTATATGACTTAAATACAAGGTTCTGGGATGCTGTGATATACTACAGTCTCTAGATTTAGTTTCTTATTAGTATTCCACGACCAGTTGTCTATAGACAGAGAAATATAGATTTACACAAAGTTTTTTGATGTAAATGGGAATTATTATACACATTGCATTAAAAAATATATATGATTACCATCTAATACAAAATCATTATGTAGTAAATAATTCCTGACATTTTAAATCGAATGAGGTGAAACTAACATTGCATGAACACAACACTTGAAGATCATAAAATTTTTATTTCAGGTAACAAAACACTTTTAAATAATTTATTAATCACAGAATAAACAATTGTTAATAATTTACAATAATATTTCTTTCACTGCTTGTCTGTTATACCACTAAAACTTCAAACACTTCTGTTATTTTTATATTATATTCCAAATAAATCAAATTCAAGACATAATATTTCATCAAAATCATTTCATAATTAATTCCTGGTACACAAAATATTCCTGGATTTGTTGATGAAGCAATATAATAATAATCATGTGTTTAAATCATAAACTTATTTGCAGTCGGTTACACATAATATAATTACTTGGAATTTCTTCTCATCACTAGTCCATTGCTTTCTTACTTATTTAATTATATTATTAATTGCATTGTGATTAATAATTTACAGATTTTTCTTCTGATTTTTTCTCTTATTTTTACTTGCATTATTATTTTATACAGTAAAATGTTCATATGTATATACATATATTCATTTCTTATTCTTTTGAACTCCTGTTCTTCACAGTAAAAATGTTACTTATCTTCATCTGAATGACTAGGAGATTTAGAATATCATCTCTTATTTGTTTAAACTTTGTTCAGTATTAAGTTGTTGATGTCAGGAAAATCTGAAAACAATATCATATACCTATGTTACATTTTCATGAACTTACATGAATGAATTTACATGAAAGTAACTAAACTGTAACCTTATTAGCACAATAAACATATTATTCATACATCATATTCATTCAGTTCTAATAAAATATAAAAATAATACTACTGTTTAGTACTTTATTTTGATTAATAATTTTCAGTATTTTCTCAATCAATCAATAATTATAAAATCAGTGTTAGTTTTTTGAAGTTACATTCATAACAATAATAAAAACATAATAATACCACATTAAAGCGGTCACCAAGTACCTATGTTTATTATATTTTAATATGAAAGATACACACGCTACATATGCAAGTTTTTAACAACTTATAGTTATACCTGGTATAAGATAATCCTCAAAGACACGATAGTTTACTAAATATTTGTAGTATTTCTTAGACACATTTAAATTATTGAGTTTGACAAAAAAATAAGAAGTTCAATGAACTCTGAACAGGAACAATTTAAAAGTTGAAGTACCTACTTAACTTAAATGATGAAAAAAGAGAAAAAATCCAATGCTAGTGAAAGTATGTTTTAAGCATTTGACTTAAAGTCGTTTATCCTATTCTTTTATTCCTATATTTTATATTTTTAACATTTCATTTATGTTGCCAGTACTCGTTGTCATTTCGATATAATAAAAAAATATGGACCAACCTACGATTTTAAATCGATATTTTTATTTGTGATGAAATCTAATAATATAAATTATGAATAACCTACCCTCGAATGGAGATATTAAAAAACTAATTATCATGAATAGTAGGTACTAGGATCAGTAATATATCATAGTATTATGAATGATTATCGTTTCAAAACCTTGTACAATTTAGTAAGGTTGAAAATATCCTTCTACAAAAGCAAAATTCGAGTATTTGTAAAGTTTCTTATGAGTATTTTAAAAAATTCGAGGATCCTCATATTTAGCTATCAATGTCAGTAATTTAGATACCATATAACACTTGTTTATTGAGGTTTCATAAAGGTATAGCTGACCTTATATACTCTATACCACATTCAATTCTCATTCGGATGGGAGGAGTCCCACCCTGCTTATGGGCGACCTAAACGCGAAGCACACGGCTTGGGGTTCCCGTCTGTGCTCGCCGATAGGTCGAAGACTCCTCCAGGATTCGCAGATCCACGGGTACGAGGTGTTGGGCCCAGCGCACCCAACCCACGTACCCTCAAATCCCACACATAGCCCAGACGTTCTGGACATTGCCCTAGTGCAGGCTGTGCCTTGCCCGGTCTTACTGGAGGTGCTGTACGACCTTGACACGCAGCACCTCCCAGTTCTAGCCACGCTTGACCTCTCCACCACCACCACACCGACGAGACCGTCGAGGCGGCGGATGGATTGGCGTGTTTTTCGCGCAGAATTGGAGCATCTACACCTCGACGGCGAACTATCATCGCCAGCGGGTGTCGAAGCCGCCTCCACACTCATAACGGAGCGAATTCGCACCGCAGTGGAGGCGGCAACTACCACAATAAACGTGGCTTCTCGCCGTCGAGAGGAATTGCCACACCATCTGCGCGAAAAACTCGCCCGGAAAAAGAACCTCCGTCGCCTATGGGCCCGAACCCGCTGCCCGCGGGTCAAGCGTGAGCTCAACTGCCTGGCTGCAGAGCTGTCGGAGGGAGTGCGGGATTGGCGTGGAGCCGCCTGGGAGGGTGTCATATCCCGGGCCGGCGAACACGATACCGACCTGCACAAACTCAATCGACAGCTCACCAATGCACGACCCCCGTCTGCCCGTTGCTTGACGAGACGGGCAGACGTCGTTACGCAGCCCAAGACCGGGCAGAAATCCTGGCACAGCACTTGGAGGGGCAATTCACGGCCAATCCAATCGCCGCCGACGCACCCAGCACTGTCGTCGAGCACCACGAGCGAGTCGTACGTCGCGTAGGTGAATTCCGTACCGCTCCGTCGCCGGACGTTACCGAGGTGAGCTTCGTCTCGCCCGGCGAGGTAAGGCGGCTCGTCAGCCGCCTACCGAAGCGCAAAGCGCCCGGAGCGGACGGGATCAGCACCGCAGCGCTCGCACAGCTGCCCCGTAGAGCCCTAGCGTGTCTAGCGAGGCTCTACAACGGCATACTCCGGACCGGCCACTTCCCTACCAACTGGAAGTTGGGTAGAGTCATAGTCCTCCCGAAACCCGGCAAGGACAAGCGCCTGCCGGCAAGCTACCGGTCCATCACTCTGCTCTCGCACGTAGCAAAGTCGTTCGAGCGCCTCCTGCTCCGCCGCCTGAGACCGACTCTGTCGCCTCGCGACGAGCAGTTCGGTTTCAGAGGCGGACACTCGACGACTTTGCAGCTGACGCGCGTGCTCCACCATATGGCTGTCGAGCACAACCGCGGCCACTACACGGTCGGCGTATTTCTCGATATAGAGAAGGCGTTCGACCGTGTGTGGCACGACGGTTTGGTGTCGAAGTTGCTCGACACCAACACGCCGTCAGCATACGTGCGAGTAGTGGACTCGTTCCTCTCGGGCCGGAGCTTCTATGTTTCGGTCGAGAACTGTGACTCTACCACACGCCCAATTGCCGCCGGAGTCCCGCAGGGCAGCTGCATTTCGCCAGCGCTCTACGCGACGTACACAGACGACATCCCCACCTTGAGGGATGAGCTCCGAGAGGGAGAGAGGGATGTCGTCCTCGCTCTTTTCGCCGACGACAGTGCCTTTCTTACGTCGTCTCGCCGAGCCTACGCAGCCGCTCGCAAAATGCAGCGGCTGTTGGACCTGCTCCCCGAGTGGCTGGATAAGTGGCGTACCACCGTTAACGTGGGTAAAACGGTGGCGCTGCTTACCCGCCCCGGGTGCAAATGCCCGCCGCCCCTCTTACTGAGAGGCCAGCCCATCCAGTGGGAGCGCACAGTGCGTTACCTAGGGGTGGAAATCGACCGGTCGCTGCGTATGACGCCGCAGGTGGACCGGGCTGTTACCCAAGCCAAGGCTGCGCGCGCTATGCTGCGACCGGTCTTGCAATCCAGGCTGCAGCTGCGGACGAAAGTAGGCATTTATAAGACCTACATTCGTTCGCGGCTCACATATGCCGCCCCCGCATGGTACGCACTGTGCTCGGCCTCACAGCGGCGGAGACTGCAGGTCCAACAGAACGCCGCCCTCCGTCTGTGCACAAATGCCGGACGGTACGTCCGTAATGACGTGATCGCCCGCGACCTCAAGGTCCCATCGGTGGAGCAGTTCGTCGTCCGGTTGACGCGCGCGATGTTCTCGCGTGCGGACAGCGGGCGCGAAGCGCACCTGCGCGACCTCGCCCCTCTCCACGCGCGCCCACCGGACGCCACTCGCGCGCTCCCGCGCGACTTACTCTCCACCGAGTGATCACGTCATTTACGTGACGTGGCGGCGTTAAGCCGGCTCGGCGAGCGACTTATAGAGTCCCACCCACTCGACCCCCTCAGCCGGGTGCTGGAAAGCAGCCGGCCGGCAGGCCGGCCGGTAAACGAACGACGCTGGGGTGGTATACCCCAGCAGTATGCCCGGGTAAAGAGCGTAAGCTCGGGGCCCGTACCCAGCGGTCCATATAAAGGATCAGCGGACGACCCGATAATAATAAATTCTCATTCATTAAATTATAATAAGTAGGTATTTATTTTTTTAATAGAAAAACAATGTCACTAATGTCATTAATTGCTATAATTACCAGGGTGACCGCGTGGAGGTTGATATAATAGAGTACACTTGTATCAGATCAATCTAATTAATATTTCCCTCTTCAAGTTTTGAAGTTATGAGCGAACAGATAAATATATAGTACTTGCATACCTGTCAAAATCTCTCTATTTTGCCGTCGTCGAGTAAAAATTATGCATTGCAATTCGTTCCAAATAAGAGTATAATACAAAATGATGAAATTTTACTGTTTGCAAAGACTAATTAAAAGCACCATCGAATAATGCGTTGTAATATCCTGTTATCGATTATTCGAAAAAATCGGTAATCTATGCATTTATTTTTGATATGGCAACGCTTTCTAAATAAGTATTACTGGCATAATATGGTTTTCTTGTTTAGCTGTTTTATATTTACTTAAACTTTTTTTATGTTTAATTTATCATAATAATATAGTAAGTACTTATTATTTGAAAATATAAAATAAACATTTAAAATACGGTGATACAAATGAAAACAGCGCCATCTATGAAAGTCTTTTGGAAACAATAAGCCCCAATTAGCAATGATTAAATTGTAAACAAATACAGGGCAACAACAAAATGATTCATTTTAACATCTATATATGACTTTTTAAAAATAGATTAAACCTTTTTAAAAACATAGTTTTGGGTTTTAAACGATTACAAAACAATGTTGAATTCCATTCGATACCAATGACGCCATCTAAATCCGTTTTTCGAACTAAAAATGGCTACTATGCCATTGTTCCCCACTGATCATAATAAAAGGGCTCGCATAGAATATGTGAAGAGTTACACTTATTCCAAAATAAATAGATATTGGATTTAATTTTTAATTTATTTTGCACGATTATTCAGATAATAAGTTTTCACAGTATCATAATTCAAATGAGAAAAGGAAATACTTCCGAGTCAAATAATTATTTTCACCTAATACACATTAATAAATTAAACATTTCAACAATACTATTCTAAAGGTAACAAACTTCCTTTCTCATTTCAATTCATTTGCAGTTAATGTCATAATAATTAGCCCTTAGGTACTCATTATGACTTCAATAAAATCCATAAATATCCAGATTTATTGATTTTCTAATATAACCCAGAAAATGTCACTGGTACACAACTACTTTCTTTTGATATTTATGAATTTAATAAGCAATATAGGACATAGACATAAAAAAATAAAGCTATGAGAGAGTAATCTCTTCTACCCTACCCGCACAACACATCGAAATCACCATAAGTCATAGCTTCATGTTTATAATTTACTGTCCATATAAAAAGATCTAATCAATTAGGAACACTTCTATGTTAAAAATAAATTTATTAAATAGGATTTAAAAGGTTCTTAAATGAATACGTAATTAAAATATTGATTAGATCTTTTTTAAATCTTATGTTATAAGTTTTTTACATACTTACCTAATCTGCTATAACAAGTATTTTAAAAAATTCAATTTGACATTAATAACTAACATAGTGACGTATAAACAGTGACAGAAACCAAATAACAACATACAATTCGTTACATTTTATTATTACAACATAATTCTTGATTCTAGCAAAAAGTTTGTTTGTCTTTTATATATTTTAGAAATAAAATAACATATTCACAACACAAAAATTGATAATTAAAAAAATAATAATACCCACAACAAATATGCAACTATTAATCAATATAAAAAAATTAATACACTTTTGTTCACGAGATCTAAACAAACTAGGTAACACGACTGGAGTTTATTTTTAATTTAAAGATTTATACTAGATCTTAAAATCTAATCAAAATTATATAGCGAATAAAATTAACTACACACTTATAAACTAAACCCAGTTAAGATAATAAAGTTAACCCAAAATTACTATAAACTTTTGCTCAGAGCATTCAAGACTTTATGTGTGACACATTAAATTCACAGAATCTCTACTGGGGTTTAACTAAAGCACATCATCGCATCGCTAAAGCGGGGGATTAGTCTCAGTTATAATGGATAATAAATAATTAATTATATTTAGAGCTTAAAGCCTTTCGGCTGTAGGATAATATTCGAATTGCATTCAAATGCAAACTTGTGTGGCACAAACATGATTTTTAAGCGGGAATTGGTGGGATGTGGGTAGTTTTCCTATAACATGAGTTGGAGTTACAAATACAAATATTAGAGAATTAGAATCACAATTCAAATAATCATAGATAGCAGACTCATGATTCACTAAAAATTACGGCATGTTTTATTAAATAAGGTATATGTTATGTTCCAAGTTATATTATATCTGTGAGATTTACGATTCCGGATCTGTTGAAGTGTATGTGGCCGCTTTACTTGTCTGAAAATAAATAATGAATGGTTATCATATTTTAACAAACTCAGGTAGCGATAGACATCATAAGTATCTCAATTTATAAAAATAAAAAAAGCAAACTATTAAACTTTTACTCGAAATAAAATGGTCCTGTATGATAATAGGAGACCAACATCCAACAGTTATCTGTATATAGCATTCCTTACCCGCGTTAGTAAGAATAGATAAGAATAAGAATAACTTTTATTTTGAACATAAGTAACATTTTAGACTTTATTGTAGATGTGTGGAAAGAGATTTTTTTTATATACCGTTGGGCAAATTACTTTTTAGACTCATACACAGGAACTGTATAATTCCTTCTTCCATATATGTGTGTTGGAAAGGTTCTTGCACATTTACGTATGTATACAGACATACGCATTACAAACAATTGCGCACGCTCAGTAAATTGTTATGATAGGTAATGTTTAATAATATGCATGCTTATTATTAAGTCATATTTAATAATAGGCACATAATCTGCACTTCATACAGATGTCAAAGACATCTGACGACGGCAAAATATAAAAACTATAGAAAACTTACTTCGCAACTATCATAGAACAGCATTGCAGTCTCATTATCGTGAAAATTTACGGTAACGGTTTTGAAGACGGGGTCGTTGCTTGTGTAGTCCGTACCCGACCATATGCACGAGTCACCAGACATCTGACAATAGAAAATAATTATTATATATAAGTTTCTTGTCATTTCTCTTGCTCGGCTGGCATACAGATGTATTTAGATTATACAACGAAATAATAGGGCAAGGTTCGTCAGCTTGTATTAAGACATAGGCTTCCTATAATAGTAGGCTATCCTATTCAAGTCAGCCAGCTCACTGCCCATATATCATCTTCTCACCTCTTTTTCCGTCACCCTGTTTCCTTTTTTGATCTCTTGGATACATATCTAAATTGCTAAATAAAATATATTTGTACAAAAAATAAACTACCAAAAGACTTTAATAATTAATTACAGAATATTTTTTTTTAGTATATACTTATATCAATTACCTGGAATTCTGTATCCGTGTGTATTAGCATGTCCGCGAGTATTTCACCAGTGGCTGAATCAGTGATGAGGATCTTAGGCGAATAGATATCTTGATCATACAGTACTTGTATATGTCCATGCTCACATGCGGTCTCTGTGTCGCCTTGTCGCACAACCACTTCGCCGTCACATGAGTAGTACGATGATGACTCATCTTCATCCTACCAAATAAGAAAATAACATCACTCATGTACATACATACACACAGTCTTTCTAATTCAGGTACAATATTCGTAATCCCATTATTATGTAAATAAATAAATGGATTGAATGAATAAATGAATAAATAGATAAGTAATTTTTAATTTGTCACTTTGTAACTACAAATATCTTCTGCATCCCCATCATTGCGTCAATTTCCGAATATATATTGTACTTTCTTTATCTATATTAGTGAAATGTCAGTAAAATTACATAGCAATTGCAATTGCACTTAATACATGTTCCATATAAAAAAAATCTCAAACATTTTTCAATTTCAACAAATAGGACATTACTTTTCTTACTGCCAAAGCTATCACAGACGATAACAACTTATTGCATCCATTCCAGGGGCGGATCGTAAATTTGTGGGGCCCTGGGCTGTCTACTTAGGGTCCTACCTAATTATATAACTTAACTAAAAAAATACACCGACCAAAAACAAACGACCAGAAATTCCCCGTTCCTTTCTATAGACTCGCATGGGTCAATTGATCTCAGGGTTGCCAACCTTATGATAGGTTTTTTAACATTCTAAATGTAGTTTCGGTGGAGACTGGGTGCCCTTTGTATCCTCGGGCCCTGTGCTGCAACCCAAAAAGCTCTGAGGTAGAAACGCCCCTGATCCATTCAATTGATAAAAACTGATAATACTCATTATAGTAAAACAAAATAATACTATACCTCATTATAATACCCATCATAGTCTTCATTATGATCATACTCATGTTCATAATCTTCTTCATCTTCCTCATCCTCCTGATTCTCCTCTTCAGGGTCTTGGAAATGTACTTGTTTGAATATCTCAGTAACTGAAGATCCTTTATTGGCGTCGCCGTTGGGTTTACTACCCGTAGTTACTTCAGTTGGTGTTTGCTCTGTAGTAGCCGACGCACCTGACTGCGTGTGTTCAATCACTTTCGTTAACATTGAGTTGTCAGCGCGGACACTATCTACCAAATGCTTTGGTAGTCTTAACGGTGCAACTGTGCTGAAAACATTATCCTTGTTCTCCTTTTCTTCTCTTATAGCTTGTGCAGCTTGAGCTTGCAGTTTCTAAATAAAAAATTATGATAGATATGATACATATATATCACTGAACGGAATTTGCTCGAGTCAGTTGGTATATATAAATTAGTAATTTAAATTACAAATTTATTAATTAAGACATTATTAATAAATCATTTAATGCCTTGTAAATATTTATATATGTAACCTACAGCGCCCGAGATTTCACGCGTGAAATTTATGTAATTCCAACATAAAAAAATAATAAACACAAAATAATTAATCATTGCTACCATATTACAAAATAGAAATCAACTTCATAGAGAAAAATGAACTTACTCGTACACATTGGACAATTTTGTCGTGGAAAGACGTGGCTAATTCTGAGGACTTGAACCTCACAGCGAGGGTTTCCTGTTCGCCGACAGCTGTTTCCGCGTAATTCCGACCTGCCCACGTCCACGCACGATCAGAGTTCTTCATTGGTAAAAGTTCTAAATCCATGAATAACAGCATATTCAGCACAGCTTTATGAACCTGAACATATAAAACAATATTTTACTATCAGAAACATTTACAGTTGACTGTTTGACAAAATACTTCTTTGAATGCCTCACCATGGGTACACTAGCCCTTATTTATTTGATCAATTGTATAAGAATATTTGTAGTCATTTATAACTTAATAAAAATTGTGTAGCTAAGGATGAACTAAAGGTATGTATAATAATAATAATAATAAACTCAGGACAATAAGAATGAAATGAAAATGAATGAAATGTAATGTATATACTGTGCTAACAATATTTGGTATCAACATGTATAGTGCATCACACTAACAGAATAGAGAAAGCATAATCTTATATAACTGATTATTATTTATTGTTTTGGGTGATATAATTTTAATTACGGAGTAAGTAGCCAAAGAGCTTAAAAGGAATTTACCAATGGCGACCCTTTTCATATTAATTGTATAATGAAGACAATATGTTCAACAATTGATCTAAATTTAGAATTTTCAAATACTAGGAAATATTGTTGTTGAAGTATGTCATAAAGTTAAGGAAGTGTTTTAATATACCTGTTCTCGCCGGAGCAATAATCTGTAGCTTTTCTTTTCAGGATGATATAAAATCTTCATTTCACCTACACCGCGTTCCTTCCATTCTCGGGTTTTGTCGTCATAGCGATACAGTTTGCAACGTTCACCAAATATTTTTTCCTATAACAAGAATTACATGTACATACAAATAATAAGCGAACTTAAATATGGAGACAGCAGTAAGTTAAATGCTACGTAAAACTTTCATAGGACCGTCTATGATAGATAATATCGACTACCAATAGTAGTGATAATAATCAATGTTTGTAGAAACTACGTGGTTAAATAGAATTAAAAGTAATCTGAGAATGAACAAATTAACCTCTTACATATATGAACCACATTTAAGCTAGTAGAACTGTTAAAATTACGAAACACCGTAAGCCTTTATATGGAAAGTAAAATTTTCTAATTTTTTATTTCTATTATGATTGCGTCGACAAACAATAGCAATTCAATAGCATTTGTACACTCAGAAATAATTTATTATAGGTTCTAGAGTTATTCCTATATATGTATATAACAAAATTTATTTTCAAGATGTAAATCTTGGACTAACTTAACTTTTAGTATGATTTACCTAAATATGCTGGTAACATAAATGTTATTTTTATTTTAAAAAAATATTTAAATGTCTACCTTTCCGGTTTCCCTAATTAGTGAAAGAGATAGAAGTTAAATTATATGCACTGCAAAGCAAATGTGTTGATTATAATTAGTATTAGCTATTTTATTTAAATGCAGTAATTAACACTCAATACTATTTTTAGTATGTTGTTAAATTTACCTCATCTTCTTCCCCAGTAGTAACAACAATTTTCTCAGGCAATGGTACAATTGGTTCATAATGAGGATCATATTCTTCATCACCGCCATTATTTCCACCAACCTCATCACCAGCACCACTATCGTTTTTAGATGTATCAGCACCTATTCCAGATTTAGTTCCAAACAATTGTTGTCCAGCACCTTCCCATTGAAAATTAGTTTTTTCTGAAATATTTAATAAACCACATATTAAAACATTCCCTAAATGCATATAACATCAAATACCAGTTAAAAATTATTACTTTGAAATCCAGGTGCGCTAGAAGACAGTGCAGCAAATGATAACTGATTATCAACTTTAAATGGCGTCTCTTGTTTAATATCAGCAGAGTTTGTATTGTTGGTAACATCTACTTCTTTATCTCCACAGTTTTTTGATGATCCAGTATTGACAGTCCATTGATTATTTGGATTTGGATCAGCCGCAACTCCAAATATTGATTTTCCTGTACCCAAACTTTGATTTTGGGTTACATTTGCACCAAATATAGAATTTCCGCTCAAACCAAATATACCTGCACTAGGTTTATTTTGAGTATTAGTTAATCCACTCATTCCAAATATATTACCTTTACCAAACCCAACTGGTTTGTGATCATCTGTTGCAAATATTGATTTTGCGCCTGGTTTTTCATTTTCATCCTTTTTTTCAGAAGATATAGCGAAAATTGATTGACTTATTGATGTCCCTGAATTTCCACCACCAAATATTTTACTTCCAAATAAGGGATTAGCTTGAGAAAATACAGATTTAGACTCCACATTTCCAGTTTGTGTAGCATCTAATATGGATTTGGTTTCAATGGCCACCTTTTCATCTCCCGAGGTATTTAAGTTACTCAACTTAGGAGCTGCTAATATTGAACTTTTAGATGTTGTTTGACTCTGTTGTTTTTCATCACTTTTTTGTTCTACTAATGTATCATGATGCAAAGAATTTTCATCAAAAGAATTTTCTTTGTTTGTAGAATTAAGTCCAATCGTGGAGGTGTTATTGCTTGTAAGGATTGTAGATTTGGTGTTTGTACCAATAGCGCCTAATGGCGTTCGGAACATAGAATTATCAAATGATTTGTCGACATTGGTAGGAGTTCCATACAGTGATTGAGCTGGACTTTGAAAAACGAGTATTGAAGTTCTAGTTGGTGTAGATACAGAAGTAAATGGAGAAAATACTGAAGCTACAATTCCTGTTGATGTAGATTTAAGATTATCATCATCATTGCAGCCACGACAACCAGAACAAGGCTTTTGATTTTTATATGTAAAGAAGTTTTCAGGCAACATTAATTCCTTAGCTATTTTCTTTTCCTCGACAGATGCTTGTATTTCACTAACAAAAATAACATCGTCAGAATCATCAGTTTTCTTTTGACTTGATTTATTAATATCGACTTCATTTTTATTTATCAATTTTCCTTCTCTCGCCTCATCAATGGCTGCCTTAAATTCTATAGCAATTTCATTTGTTTTAAATCTCAGACAAAATTGTTGAAGACTCAACTCTCCTTCACTAAAATCATTAGCAGCAAATAACCAAGTCTTATCATCCTTAGGTGTATATGTAATATCTGGCGATAAAACATGATTCAAACAGATCTTCAAAACTTGTTCCCGGCGCATAACAACTCTGAAAAAAAAAAGTTATAGCATTAAATTAGTATTAGTCAGGGATGTAACATTATAGTAACTTATCCGGTCTTGGGAGCACTACTAGTATTCTTCTATTACTGCAGTGTCCCCTCTTCCCTCATCTTCCCCACCACATACAAACTTTATTTACTTCCAAAATACAATATCAATCAACCGTTTATCTCTATTTGTTCTTTGTTTTGGGCATGGTTAGATACAACAAATTGGCTCTCGTATAATATATCGTGCGTGTATTATGCGTCAATCAATCACCCAGAAATATTAGAATGAATGTAGCTGTGGGTACCAAACGATAACGGAATGGGATTACGGCACACACCCCGTAATCCCATTTTGTTCAGTATTATGTTAGCCAGGACTAATTTACTTCAATATTTCTCTTTATCCCGCGTTTTAGTAATAATTAACAATATCAGAAGTGATATTGATGTATAACGTTATATAAGTATTAACCTATCCAAAAGGAATAAGTGTAAGAAGACATGTATTATCTCTGACAACAAAATATAGAAACAATATTAAATAAGAACAGCGAATCATTCGAAGACCTGGCTATGCAGAGGTTTCATATACTCGCGTTGTCATTCGCCTTTAATGGCGCCATTAAAGGTACTACAACAACTATACAATATGAACACACTTATTTATAATAATTATAGCTTACCTTACTTTGTCAGTATAATTGTGTCTCAATATTTTGACTATACCAATACCCCTTTCTTTCCATTCACCAGACATGAATCTGAATAACTTGGCCCTGTGACCATAAAGCTCTGTCTCGTTTTCCTCCCCAGTAACTACTTCAACCTAAAAAATAAACATATTACAATTTAACTTTTTTTTTATAAGAAACGCATAAATTTATGTAAAAAAAAATATTACTTTATCAGGCATTGGTATGACTGGACTGAAGTGGATATGATGCCCTTCGTCTTCCGAAGCATATTCATTGTCATCGCTATCTTCACCTTTTTGACTATTAGGTGACTTTATTGGACTTTTTCCTTTGGTTGGTGTTTTGGGTTTAAAAACAAAACCGAATGTACCTCCTTCTTTACCGGGAGGAGTATTTTCATTATTAGGAGTTGGCGTTGGCAATAGTCCTGGTTTCATTGTTGCAACATTTTTAATTTCTTCACTCTTATTTGTAGTAAAATCAACTGGTTCTTTCTCATCACTCATTTTTAGAGATCCAAAACTGGAAGTCGCTGCCTTATCTCCAAAAGATACATTCGTTCCTTCATCTTGTTGATTTGAAGGAATTCCGAAAGTAAATTTGTGGGCTCCAGTGCCATCAAAAATTGAAGTAGACTGAACTTCTGTTGAAGACCCTCCAGTTGGTTGGTCAGATATTGGTATACCAAATGTAAATTTAGAACCGGAACTACCAAGACCAAATATAGATTTTGGTTCTTGTTTAGTAATAGATTCTGGATTTTTCGGATTATTACATGCAATGCAGTTTTCATTACTAGCTTCATTTCTGATAAAACATCCTTTACACTCCCAAGTGCCTTCTTTTGGTTTAAATTTATCTCCCCAACCTGAAGAAACTGGCGTAGTTGATTCTGGAATAACAGTTTCTGCTTGTGCAGTGGCATTTGTTTGTGTAAATATACCAAACTTAAATTTTGGCGCATTATCAGAACTAAGTTTTACTCCAGTTTGTTTTGTTGTTGGATCTTTTGGGGTATTGCATGCATTACAACATTCAGAGTTAGCCTCATTACGAATTAAGCATAGTTTACATTCCCATGTTCCTGGCTTAGGCTTGAAAGTTTCTCCCCAGGTTGAGTTAATAGGTGGAATTGAATTATTTTCAGAAGTAGAGCCTTTGGGGTTAGGTTTTTCGCAACAAGCACATTTATCAAAACTTTCTAAATTATTTGTGTAACATGACTCACAATACCAAGAACCTGCTTTTGGTTTAAATTTATCCCCGAAACCAGTTTGACTTATCTGTTTTGCAGCATTTTGTTCTTCTTTTGCAGCCTTGGATCCATCTTTCATTTTTAATTGCGCTGTTTTTATGGCGTCGATGAAACTATCACAAGTTTGGGCAGTTTTAAATCGTAGACAGAATGTTTCAGCAACTAATTCACCGTCCGAAAAATCGTTCGCTCCCCATGTTACCGCCTTATCCATATTTGGCATTTTCTGGAAAATCATTTCTTTCGTGACTGCATGATTACAGCACACCTTCATAATTTGTTCTCTCCTCATTAGTAACCTAACTTTTTGTATATTATCTTTATGCACAAGCACTTTTATATTGCCAAGTCCTCGCTCTTTCCATTCTTTAGTAGAAGCATCAAATCGCAATATTTTAGCCCGATGTTCGAACATAATATTCTCCTCCTCTTCGCCAGTTTTCTGTTCTATCAAAGCAGGTAATGGTACAACAGGTTTAAATTCCACTGTAGGTTCAAATTCCTCTACACTATCAGAATTATTAAAAATTTTTGATTCTGTAGTCGACTCTATATTAGTGGTATCTGTGGGTACTTGGTTTGTAGATGGCTTAAATAAGCTATTAAAGGGTGAATTTGTTGAAGTTTTAAGAGTCAAACCACTGAAAATATTTGATTTTGTTGTTGCTGGCTCCAATAACTTAGTATCAGATTTAATATTAACCTCAACAGGCTTAAAAGTCGGCGTACTACTGAAAGTAAAGCCTCCAATAACTGTTTTTGATATCTGAGTTTGTTCTGCAGTTATTTTTACAGGAGTTGTAAATAGTGGAGTAGAGGATTCAAACTTTTCTTTATTTTCAGATTTAGGAGTGCTTACTACATTAAGTGAAGATTCCTGACGAGCCTTTTCAAACGCCTCATAAAATTGCAGTGCTATATCAGCAGTTTTAAAACGTATACAGAACTTTTCTAAGACAACAGTTTCATCTGCATAATCATTCGCAACCCAAAAGTAAGCTTTTGTTTCATTTTTCATGGGTTTTATTTCCATTTCAGGTGTAATAATATGATTGGCACAAATTTTATGAATTTGTTCTCGTCTCATTAAAACCCTTACCTTACCCGTGGTTTTATGTTTAAGCAATTTTACATCGCCAAGTCCTCTCTCCTTCCACTGTTTATCAACGAAACGAAACAGTTTAGCTCTTGAACTAAATATTGATACTTCATCTTCTTCACCAGTTGTCACTTTTACTTCAGCTGGCAATGGTATGATAGGTTTGAAATCTGGACAAGGATCATAATTCTCCACTGACGTATTACTTCTCTCAGATAAAGTCCTAGATTTGTTGAGAGTAATATTTGGTGAATTTCCTGTAAATACTCCATCCACAACATTTTTGGAGTTATCTAGTGAATCATTAACATTTGTTGAGTTTGATAAGGTGTCCGTGGAGATATCTCCCGCATTAGAGACGCTTAAAGCCTGAGTTTTAAACACTGTTGATTGGTTCCAATTCGTGAAAGGGCTTGATGTTGTATTTACAGTTTTATTTCCGGATGGGAAACTAAATATTGGAGGATTTATTACTTTAGTATCATTAGTAGAAGGCATTGGTATTTGATAGTTATGAGCAGTTCCTTTGATATGTTTAGAAGGAATTGTCACGCTAAGTATTGGCGCTGGGGTTGTTGTGCAGGTAGGCAGTGGGTCTGACGAAGTAATTACAACGTTTACAGGTAATGGACGCGATATTTCTTTTGAATCTGTTGTTTGAACTGACTTAGAAGGTATCATTGAACATGTATTAGTAGAAACAACTGATGCTGCTATAGTCGCAGCCGTAGAGGCCGTTGAAATCGTTGGTAAAATAGGAATAGTTGGTACTGCAGATACCGATGAAACTACTGGAGCAGGAATATTTGATGATACTAGCTGAGATACATCTAAATACATTTGATCCGGAGTTGTATATATTCCGGGATAATTCAATGGAGCTCTATTTGGATCAAATATTGGTGGAGCTCCCGGCATTTGAGCCGCCTGTGCAAATTGTGGATACTGGCTATAGAAGTTATACAAATTTTGACCGTACAGTTGATAAGGATTTGGTGGTACAGCAAACGGAGGCACAAGACGTTGATTAAATGAAGGAATGACATGTGGCGGTGTAAAGGGTAGCTGTGCAGCAAAAGTGGTATTGTCACTAGTTCTATAGTCATCATCTAAATTGTACAAATCACTTTCGTCTATTGCCTGTTCTGATGAAGCTTTTTTAAGTTTATTGACTTCTTTCTTTAATTCCGCTATTTGTTTCTTCAAGTCTCCTACATCCTTACATTCATTCCTACATTCATCAATTTGATCTGTAACATGGTCTACTGAAATCTTTAGGAGTTTAAATTGATCTGTAGTATTCTGAATATTAGTATGAATAGTACTAATAATTTGATTACTTAAGTTCCTGTTTTCTTCAAACCAAGTTTTACTCTGTTCCATAAAATCACTAATAGTATTATCTCTTTTTTGCAAATTCTTTATTTCACTCTCAATTCTTTCTAAAAATTGTCGATCAGCCCTTGTGTTATCTGTGTGTAAAATATGCGAGTCCATAGCAGTACGGTATTTAGTGACGTTTGAACTGAATTGTTTTGGTGTGGAGCTTATATTGCGGTAAATGTGAGAACCTGGTTGTCTTGAATTACATTCACTTCCAATAAATGATACATAATCATCTGAAGAATATTTATCAGTTGCATCATTAATAGCTGTAATTGAAAGGTCTGGATCTATTTTATTTAAATGTGTTTCTATATCTTCAATCATGATTTGTGTATCAGAATATAATGAATTGTCCTTATGTATACCTGAATTTTTGAGACTATCTAGTGCTTTGTAAGAAAAATTTCTAGCCCTAGTAAGCAATGACGCGCATTTGGTTTTTGTATCAATTGAATTTACATCTTTAGATGAATTGTTCTCTTCAATAGCAATTTTTTTGTATGTAAGTCCAAGATAATAATATGCTTGTGGAGATTTCAAATTAGATAAAATTTCAATAACTTTATCATAATCACAGTCATTGAGGTAATTTATAGCCACAAACAATTTACTTTCTTCTATTAATAACATCAAATCCTTTGTTCCGATTTCTTTATGCGTGTAATCAAACAAACGTTTTTCAGGCATTTTCATTACTATCTTGCTCTTTAATCTTTCTAGTAAAGGTATAGCAGAAGAATAGTAAAGACCAGCTCTTATTTCTAAACTATTCTTTTCATTAACAACTGTTGTTAGCTTAGCTTTTTCACTAAATATTCGGCCTAAAGTACATAGTAGTTCAGGATCTAACCCATGGCTATCAACACACCTTACTACTTCTATACCTCGACTGAGAGTTGCTCGTATATCTGTTAATTCTGTACCCAACTCATTTTGATTAAACTTATAAGCGCAGTCCCACCATTTCATTTGAGGTAGAGTACATAATAAGTCAGTAATAATAGCTGGTAAAACAGTTGGTTTATCAGGAATAGCATAAATTCCTTGATTATGCTTTTGCTGTTTTGCTGTTAACGCAGCACAATAAAGGAATGCCTGAATATCAAATTTATTTAATGTTTCAGGACCACAGTCTGATGTTGTTGGTGTTAGCATATCGAAGAGAGTGCACTTAAAGTGTGAATAGTTTTTGTAGTTCAACAATATCCAGACAAAATGATGGAGTGAGTTAGGGTATTCTCTTTGAGCGTTAATGTCATGTGTTTCTACTTCTATTTTTCTGGGCAACCTAAGAACTGGTGCACTAAAAGAATTAGAAATGATGTGCGAAGATTTTATCTTGGTCAAATGTTCTCTACTAATAAATATCTTTTCATATAATTTGTCTTTCCAATGAGTATCAGAACAACATTGGGAAATGCGGTCTAGCAAGAGCTGACTTTGATCTTGTATGTTTGAAAGTAGGTAGTGGCCAGATTGAGAACATCTGTATGCACCTTCTGTAGACCAGCGGCGAGCAGCTTGTTGTTGTTTCTCTGTAGCATGCATTAACCAATTCACTTTAAGGTCCTGAGGATCTGTATGCCATGCTATTAACATTAGGGGAGCTGCGAATTTTACAGTGTCACGCCAGCATAGCTGATCCTTTTTAGCTTTTTTTAACAGAAATGTAGCGACAATGAATGATAATTGACCTCTATGATGTTGTAATAAACATGTGTGAAATTCAGCATGCCCTGGGGTTGCACCAGCTCTAGCCACAGTCTCTATAGCTTGATCATAGGCATGAAGAAGTTCATTTGTTTCTACTAAACTTTTTGAGGATCCACTAGGTGTTTCTGTAATACTCAATACACAAATCCGTTCTCGAATAGTCAATAAAATTAGCTGGAAAACCCAATCATTCTGGCTGTCAGAATAATGTTTAAGAAGATCAATTAGGGTCTCATACCAAATATAATTATTTGAGAAAGTTTTCACACCAAACTCTAAATTACAGGCATGGTCAATTGCCTTTTTGATATCATTTGTTTGCATATAATGTTTAAGTAGACGAATATGAAGCAGTGCATCTTTTGGTCTTGCTGCCAATTCAGCTGTTAGCAAATTAACAATTGCTTCTGGGTCAGAATTAGACACTGTTACCAATCTTTCACGGATTTTAAATGTCACAGGATGTCTTGGGAATGTTGCCTCTGCTTTCTCACACCAGAATTTTGCACGTCCCAGATCAATGCTGACATCATCATCTGCAAGTAGCTCGCAAACTGAAACAAAGACATAATAAACATATTATTATACATATAACCTTATTAATGATACCAGCAGTCAGTGGCACATGAATTATATGTAGTTGTACCCTAACCAAACCAAAAAAATAAGTTTAGCCTCGCCCACCCTTATCTTATTATGTTACTATGCTATATATATATATATATAAGTATAAGACTCTAAATGACAACCAACAGCAACTATTTTTAACATTCACATAGTACTAAAGAGAAAGTGAAATTATAGGATGGTGGTGGGATCTGTAGTGTTTTTAATGTGTCTAACACATGGTGTGTTAGACACATTAACTTACCATTATGTGGCCAGTCAGGTTATTTACTATTCCATTGACATTGAAAAGAAGTAGTTTCATTTTGAACACACATACCTTTTGCGGGCATTGTTAAATGTCAATAATTGTACATACAGAACAATTTTTACAACCTAATACATGAGTTGCAGTGAAAATACCAGGTTGTTACATATTAGCCAATAAATATAATATTAATATGTATTGTCTATTACATAAAATGGATAACATAGATATCTTTAAATTCTTTATTAGCTGGGTAATGCTAATCACATGAGAGCACTTGAAAGACATGGGAGTCCTTGAAGCGGTTGCCGTAGCCAGAATGGCTAAGACAGTATCAAGGATAATTGAGACTATTTTTATTTTAGACTACTTTTATTTTAGAAAAATTAAGTTAAATTCCATTCGGATGAAGATGCGGGTACAGCTTGTTGTCAATATGATTGTAAACTTGCGGCAGGGGCAAGCCTACCACTGTTTCTCTTATTAAGTTTTAGTCTTTTTATTATAGGATAATAATGAGTCTTAATAATAAGACAATGGAACACTATAGTCAGTTTGTATATTTATCTTTACATACTAGGAAGCCTATATGCATCCGTTCATTGACACTGTATAAAGCAAGAGTGATAATCTTACAGCAGTTATAAAGAAAAATATGTCAACCATAATATAAATATATATAGGTAGGTCTATTTCGTCATTCAATCAGTTTGGAGGTTAATTTGTGCATTTCAATACAATTAAAATCGACAGTTATGTATGTTTTCCTTCACTTGAGAATCCATCAGAAATATATATATTTCAACACACTTTTTTCTTTTGGGTAGATTTAACTCATAACACTTTCATGCATCCAATGTCATTGAAGTATGGTGATATTAAATGCAAATGTGTACAGTATTAACAAAAGTATTAGTAGGAGCAAGAGCTAGTGTTCATTTCACATAAAATTTACATCTGAACAATGGTGTTACGAAATAATATAAAAAATTAAGTAGCCAAAATGTATTATATCAATAAATATTTTGAAGATATGAATTTAAATATTATCAATTTTTGCTTTTCACAGCAGGAGGTATCGCGGTGTCACCATCTAACAACTACCATCCGTAAAATGGTAAACACGTCACTAAGGCAATAAAGAAATACTGCTAAATACTTACTGTCCAAAATAGTGCTGGTTTGTGTTGGGTCTATATCCAATGATGTTTTATACTGCTCAAGAGCTTTTTCTTTCTGTCCTAGTTTTTGTAAAGCTTGTCCAAGCAGCTTGTACGCCGCGGCATTATTATCTTTTTGAGTAAGATATTGCTCCACATATAATTTGCAACTAGCGTAATCCCCCACTTCAAAATAGAGACGACCAATTGAATATGCTCGTGTTTTAAACTGAAAACATACATTAAGGAATTAGAAATACAATAAGAAATAATCATGATAATCCCAGAAAATATGTCAGATTTTGTAAACTCACCTCTTTTACAGATAACTTCGCTATCAAATTTTCCACGTGTTTATCCACATCCTTTTTATTTCTATACATTCTTACAACTTATCTCCAAAACTATACTATGCTATAATGCCGCTAATAATAAAATTACAGGAAATAAAATAGCGTGGACAGTAAAAAGATAGACATTCGGTGATAGTCATTCTCTTTTTTTTTTAAGGGTGGCAGTTACAAAATATGTTTACCCTAAAATGTTGCTTAATAATTCCATTTTATTTGTTGTCTATTATTTGGTTTAAACGAAACAAAAGTAAATTCTTTAGTAGAAATTTAAAATAAAAGACTAAAGCATAGTAAATTTTATATTAAATAAAGAGTACTTATCTCCAAAGAAAACATACAGATTAAATGAATTTAATATTTGAAAATAGTCAACATCCGAATTAACTTGATGATGATTTAATGAAAATAATTCGATATTATTACCACTATTTTGAATAATTAGTATTAAAGGTCTTTTAATTGTAGCGCGGTGGTTAACCTCACCACTGTAGCGTTGTGATGAAGTGGCGCTACATAATATATTATTTATTTTAGTGTGTATGTAGTGAGTATAGCGGTGAAAAGATTGCACGTTTTATTGTATATTATTAAGTTTATTGGTAGTGTGCTACATGCTTTATTAATAATGCGTACAGTCGACGCGGAGTAGGGACGTAGTGAGTCTACACTTAACTTAAATCAATTTTAGTGGAGACGTAAACTAATGGAAGGATCTCAAGTGTCGATAGAAATATTACAATTGTAGGCACATATTTATCTATTTAAAAACTAGAAAGTACTACTACTACGTCCATGTGATTATTATTATTTGTTTAGTATTTGTGTTTCTATACATTCAAACGTATTTTATTATAAGAAATTCCAGTATTTAAATTGATAGAAATGTAACTATTTCTATCAATTTAAATACTGATACAAAAATTTTAATAGAGATTTGTAATATTAAATTAAAATATATAAAAATCAACAGCAACAAATAAGTCTTTAGCTAAGGATTAAAAGTTTGAAATTATTTTAGACATAGCTGATAATTTTTCAGTCCATAGGATATTTATTTACAAAATATCCAATGTTCCCTTATTTTGCAATTTTAATGGGTACTATTTGACTTTATGGCAACATTCTCACTGATTTCATAATGTTGGCCAATAGGGCTTCCTCAAAAGGATTTTTCAAAAAGGAAAACGTTGACATCTCGTTCTGAATAAACTAATTTTTGGGTCGCTTTCCAATTTGTTGCTTGCTGAGTTTACCGTTGGTCGTGTGATCCTCTGTGAGATTCCGGTTCGCCGTCGAGTCTCCAGAGTGAGCCCCGCAACTGGTGCCCACTTGCGCAAATTGTTGAGAGCGATACAGTGCGTAATCCAACTACACAGAGTGTACTTTGTTTAGCGAGAGAACGCGCTAGGATTGCAGACCGAATTTGTTGACGCAAATTCGTTGCTGCAATCCACTTGCGACTGTCTTACAGTGCGACCACCTGCCCTTTCAGGGCGGAATTCCCTACCTTTCGGTAGGTTCGTCGTGGGGTTCCAGCCCCCACACCACCCTCTTCCACCCCTCCAGTCCCCTTTCCTAGTACATCACCCTTTCGTGTCGTGATGTCGCAAAGGGGCAAAGCCCCCAGGAAACCTCCTGACAGGGGAGCTCCCCGAACTGTTGTGCGTCGGGATTTAAGGAACCCGACCAAGCTGGTCCCCGCCACTGAGCTGGGGACCTTCCACGCTCGCCCGGCATCCAAGGGCACCCCCTCTGCCCTCGCGGGAAGCGGCAATGATGCCGCCGACCGGGAACCAGGCAGAGGGGAAAGATGCGCGCAACCTGGCCCATCTAAAAGACGCGCACCGCCGTCGCCGACCTCGCCCGCTAGAGGCGACAAACGGAGGGACGTAGAGGAGTCCCCCCCCCGCGACCTTGACCTAGTGAAGGTGCCGCCGACGCCGAGAATCCGGCTTGTGGACAAGGGCTACCAACCCCTACCGTCCCAGTCGGGTACCGTGCGGCGAAAGCCTTCACCCCCTCCGCGCTCACCCTCCCCCCGCCAGATAGCGGGAGCGAGGAGGGAGGGGAAGACAGGCGATTTTACGGTGACGCATGCTCGTCGCCGTCACCAGCGTCGTCGCCCGAGACATCGCGAGCACCCTCGCCACTACCCCGTTCCTACACATTAGATAGGGGTGGATATGACGCCACTTCTTATGTGGCACTCGAGGCGGTTTCACAATCGCCCGAGCCGATGCTCCCCCCCGTCCCCTCGCCGCGACGACGAACCCCGCCGTCATTCGCGGCAGTAGCGGCGGGTCCCGCCACCGCGGCCCCCGCCACCCCAGCCCCTGCCACCTCAATTGCCCCGGCCCTCGCTCCGCCCCTCCCCTCTCAGACGAGGAACGCCGACGCAGGCGCTGAACCCGCCACAGGGCGAGGAAAATACCCCCCCATAGTGGCAGAACGCCTCCCTAACTGGACGCGCCACTTCGACCAGCTCAGGCGCGTACTGGGGGAGGCACCCAACGCAAGACCCTACGGCACGGGGGTCAGATTCCTACCTAGGACGGACGAAGAATTCCGTGCCGTCCAAAGGTATTTGGTAGAGGCCAGCGAAAAGGACCCAACAATAAGTTGGTACTTTTATAGTCTGGCCTCCGAACTGCCCACTAAGGTGGCGATAAGAGGACTCCCAGCCGACACGCCCAATGACAAGATTGCGGAGGCACTGCAGGAGAAGGGGTTCGGAGTGCGGCTAGTGCGGGGCATACCCGCGCGTCGCGGCCGCCCCGGCTGCATTTTCCACGCCCAACTCGACCCCATGGACAGGGACGAGCTCACACGCTTGTACGCGACTGATGAGCTCCTGTACATGCGGGGCGTCGTCGTTCAGGCGTGGAAGCCGGCATCGGTGCTGCCACAATGCCACAGATGCCAGGCATTCGGCCATGCATCGGCCAATTGTCACCGGCCTGTGAAATGCGTTCGCTGCGGTGGGGAGCACCCGGCGGCGAACTGCGACAGGCCGAGGGACCAAAAACCGACATGCGCCAACTGCGCCAAGGCACATACGGCCAACGACAGAAAATGCCCGGTGTATAAGAGGGAGGCACGGCAGAGGGGCATCAAACCCCGCCCCCCCGTCCCTACCGCGACGACAAAAACGCCCGTGGCGCAAACACAGCGTCGTAATAAACCCACCGCGGCGCCGCGTACCTACGTCGCCCAGGCCCCTCCTCCCGTAATAACGGTCGAGGAAACAGCCGGCGCCAACCTAATGGCGCCGGCCAACGAGCCGACGCATCGCGGCACCGACACCGGTGAAAATAAAAGACGCCGCCGCCGAAGACGCGGCAAGAAGAGGCGCGGTGATGGGCCAGTTACGGCCTCAACTCCAATCCCCTTCTTACCGGATCCCACCCCTACAAGCTATGCGTACATCGCACCGGAAGGGTGGGGCCTTCCCACGCATGCCGTCCCAACACAGGGTCCACGAGTTGCGCCACGTCGCCGCCGGGCGGCGCCACCGGCACATAGCGTGCCGAGAGTGGCATTCGAGCCGCCACAGGCGGACGCAAGACGCGCACCTCCCGCGCCCCCCACACGGACCGCACACCCAGAGGCGCGAACGATATACACCGCACCCGCCCCCTTCACACAAGCGCCCGTCGACAGAGCACTGAACATGCTTATTAGCCTGTTGACGGAGCTGCTTACTACGCTCGCGGCCGGCGCAGATACTAAGTCGGCGGCATTAAATGGATTGGCCAAAATCCAACAGTACACAAATGGCGGGTACTAGCCTGCGCATTGTGTACTGGAACCCCGGGGGAATAAAGGATAAAGTCCAGGACCTCCGTCTCCTAGCTCGCACCCAGGATGTGCACATCATACTCCTGGGTGAAACGAAGCTCACAGAAAAGGAGACGTTGAGGGTGCCTAACTACCACGTGTATAGGCGCGACGAAACGTCACCGGCGGGCATTGCGTACCGCGGTACGGCGGTACTAGTCCGTCGGGACGTAGTCCACGTGGAGTTAGAGCACCCCGAGTTCCGCGTCATGCGCTCCATAGGAGTCAGCATCAACGTAGACGGCGCGGAACTGAAGGTCCTGGCAGCTTACCGTCCCCCGGGACTGGATTTCAGCCCCTCCGATGTCCGGAACGTTCTGGATGGGAGGAGTCCCACCCTGCTTATGGGCGACCTAAACGCGAAGCACACGGCTTGGGGTTCCCGTCTGTGCTCGCCGATAGGTCGAAGACTCCTCCAGGATTCGCAGATCCACGGGTACGAGGTGTTGGGCCCAGCGCACCCAACCCACGTACCCACAAATCCCACACATAGCCCAGACGTTCTGGACATTGCCCTAGTGCAGGCTGTGCCTTGCCCGGTCTTACTGGAGGTGCTGTACGACCTTGACACGCAGCACCTCCCAGTTCTAGCCACGCTTGACCTCTCCACCACCACCACACCGACGAGACCGTCGAGGCGGCGGATGGATTGGCGTGTTTTTCGCGCAGAATTGGAGCATCTACACCTCGACGGCGAACCATCATCGCCAGCGGGTGTCGAAGCCGCCTCCACACTCATAACGGAGCGAATTCGCACCGCAGTGGAGGCGGCAACTACCACAATAAACGTGGCTTCTCGCCGTCGAGAGGAATTGCCACACCATCTGCGCGAAAAACTCGCCCGGAAAAAGAACCTCCGTCGCCTATGGGCCCGAACCCGCTGCCCGCGGGTCAAGCGTGAGCTCAACTGCCTGGCTGCAGAGCTGTCGGAGGGAGTGCGGGATTGGCGTGGAGCCGCCTGGGAGGGTGTCATATCCCGGGCCGGCGAACACGATACCGACCTGCACAAACTCAATCGACAGCTCACCAATGCACGACCCCCCGTCTGCCCGTTGCTTGACGAGACGGGCAGACGTCGTTACGCAGCCCAAGACCGGGCAGAAATCCTGGCACAGCACTTGGAGGGGCAATTCACGGCCAATCCAATCGCCGCCGACGCACCCAGCACTGTCGTCGAGCACCACGAGCGAGTCGTACGTCGCGTATGCGATTTCCGTACCGCTCCGTCGCCGGACGTAAACGAAGTGAGCTTCGTTTCGCCCGGCGAGGTAAGGCGGCTCGTCAGCCGCCTGCCGAAGCGCAAAGCGCCCGGAGCGGACGGGATCAGCACCGCAGCGCTCGCACAGCTGCCCCGTAGAGCCCTAGCGTGTCTAGCGAGGCTCTACAACGGCATACTCCGGACCGGCCACTTCCCTACCAACTGGAAGTTGGGTAGAGTCATAGTCCTCCCGAAACCCGGCAAGGACAAGCGCCTGCCGGGAAGCTACCGGCCCATCACTCTGCTCTCGCACGTAGCAAAGTCGTTCGAGCGCCTCCTGCTCCGCCGCCTGAGACCGACTCTGTCGCCTCGCGACGAGCAGTTCGGTTTCAGAGGCGGACACTCGACGACTTTGCAGCTGACGCGCGTGCTCCACCACATGGCTGTCGAGCACAACCGCGGCCACTACACGGTCGGCGTATTTCTCGACATAGAGAAGGCGTTCGACCGTGTGTGGCACGACGGTTTGGTGTCGAAGTTGCTCGACACCAACACGCCGTCAGCATACGTGCGAGTAGTGGACTCGTTCCTCTCGGGCCGGAGCTTCTATGTTTCGGTCGAGAACTGTGACTCTACCACACGCCCAATCGCCGCCGGAGTCCCGCAGGGCAGCTGCATTTCGCCAGCGCTCTACGCGACGTACACAGACGACATCCCCACCTTGAGGGATGAGCTCCGAGAGGGAGAGAGGGATGTCGTCCTCGCTCTTTTCGCCGACGACAGTGCCTTCCTTACGTCGTCTCGCCGAGCCTACGCAGCCGCTCGCAAAATGCAGCGGCTGTTGGACCTGCTCCCCGAGTGGCTGGATAAGTGGCGTACCACCGTTAACGTGGGTAAAACGGTGGCGCTGCTTACCCGCCCCGGGTGCAAATGCCCGCCGCCCCTCTTACTGAGAGGCCAGCCCATCCAGTGGGAGCGCACAGTGCGTTACCTAGGGGTGGAAATCGACCGGTCGCTGCGTATGACGCCGCAGGTGGACCGGGCTGTCACCCAAGCCAAGGCCGCGCGCGCTATGCTGCGACCGGTCTTACAATCCAGGCTGCAGCTGCGGACGAAAGTAGGCATTTATAAGACCTACATTCGTTCGCGGCTCACATATGCCGCCCCCGCATGGTACGCACTGTGCTCGGCCTCACAGCGGCGGAGACTGCAGGTCCAACAGAACGCCGCCCTCCGTCTGTGCACAAATGCCGGACGGTACGTCCGTAATGACGTGATCGCCCGCGACCTCAAGGTCCCATCGGTGGAGCAGTTCGTCGTCCGGTTGACGCGCGCGATGTTCTCGCGCGCGGACAGCGGGCGCGAAGCGCACCTGCGCGACCTCGCCCCTCTCCACGCGCGCCCACCGGACGCCACTCGCGCGCTCCCGCGCGACTTACTCTCCACCGAGTGATCACGTCATTTACGTGACGTGGCGGCGTTAAGCCGGCTCGGCGAGCGACTTATAGAGTCCCACTCACACGACTCCCTCAGCCGGCTGCTGGGAAGCAGCCGGCTTCCGGCCGGCCGGCAGGCCGGCCGGTAAACGAACGACGCTGGGGTGGTATACCCCAGCAGTATGCTCGGGTAAAGAGCGTAAGCTCGGGGCCCGTACCCAGCGGTCCATATAAAGGATCAGCGGACGACCCGATAATAATAATGAATAAACTAATCTCCTACTATTATATATTTTTGAAATAGTACGGGCTTGAACCACATTAGTTTTAACGCGGCCCCTCTGGGAGTCGACCTGAATCTACAAAAGATTATTAATAATATATCTAGTCACTAGTCTGTCCATAAAAGTGTCTTCTATAATATGTATATTTTAATTTTAAAATATCATCAAATACTGAAACAATAGCATCTACTCGGGGTCATATAGAGGAATATTATTGTGCTAGTGTACAATAATATTAACCAGTAACAATAATAGTAACCAGCTAGTGGCTAGCATATCTTTTGACTAATTCTTTGTTAATCACATAAGACGTACCTACCGGTTAACCTCAACATCTTAGCATGGTGTGACATATTGATATTTATTGTTAAGTTTTATAATATTTTTTTAATGCTTTAATATAATAACTAAACACTTATTATAAAATAAAATAAAGTCATCCCTAGCTATTTTAATTTTTCTAGTACTAAAAAAAATTATCCTCCAATCAGAATGACATCCAAAGACTTAATGATTAAAAAAAAACTTGTTAACAGATCTGTGGTCCGACTGTTCTGTGTTCTGTTATAAATTCAGCATTTCTCTTATGTCTGTATTCTCATGTTTTGTAAATAGTAAATAATAACGCTATTGAACTCCGCTTATAAATAATATCATAGTTTGATTTTTGTAATGTAAATGCCACAGTAAAACAATTAAAATGGGTGATTCCGATTTTGCATATGGATCGTCTTTATCTATTGATTCTATGAAAGTTATCGCAGAAAGTATTGGGATTGGAAGTCTCGGAGACGACGCTGCAAAAGAATTAGCTGATGACGTTACCTACCGCCTCAAATTTATTTTACAAGATGCTATGAAGTTTATGCACCATTCTAAACGGCAGAAATTGTCTATTACCGATATAGATCATACATTGAAATCCAAGAATATTGAGGTATTTTAAGAGAAACAACTTTATTTCAGTTCTAGTTATTAAATGCGTAACCTAAATTTATAACCTATCGTTACTTGTTAAAAACCAAATCAATATCCGGTGTATGTGTATCCAAACAAATATGCCTTTTGATAACTGTGAATTTAATAAGTAGTAATGGTAATAACTATTCTAACAATAATTGATTCAGTGTAAAGGTGTCTTTATATTCTTATCTACAGTGTTATAAAGGGGATTACTGTATTTTGGGACATTATAAACCATCAATATTATGGTGAACCCAATACTTGACATATATCCAATTTACTGAGAATAAATTGTGACTTTAATGCATATTATTAAAAAATTGTTCTAAATGTTGATACTAACCATAAATAATATGACTTTCACTTAAGAGCAAAATGTACCTGTAATTTATACATTTTCTTGGAATAATTTATTAACTAAAAAGTGTAAAAGAATTGCATGTTTATACTCTAACTATATCTAAATATTAATTGATCTGTTTTAGCCACAATATGGGTTCTTACAACCAGATTCACTACCATTTAGATTTGCATGTGGTGGTGGCAGAGAGTTACATTTTATTGATGAGAAGGAAATTGATCTAACAGAAATATTATCAGCTCCTCCACCAAAGGTGCCATTGGATGTATCAGTGAGAACACACTGGTTAAGTGTAGATGGAGTACAGCCCACAGTACCAGAAAATCCACCACCATTGACAAAGGAAATACAGAAACTTGAATCAGTTGATCCTATTAGTAAACTTAATAAACCCACAAATAAAGATGCTGCAGGTATTTTCACATTATTATTGTCATCATGAAATTGTTGTATTTTCAATATTGATAAAATGGTATCCTTTATTGGCGCGTTTATACTATGAATATAGAATTAAAAGATAATATACTCTAGTAACCTATGAAGAGAGGCCTTTGATCATGAATTTTCAAAACTGACCTTATATTTTTATGCAGGTAAGCCAATGTGTGGCAAGGCAGCCCGATTGAAAGCTTCAGAATCAGTTCATGTAAAACAGCTGGCTACCCATGAACTTAGTGTGGAGCAACAGTTGTACTATAAGGAGATAACAGAGGCTTGTGTAGGCAGCGACGAGGGCCGTAGAGCGGTATTTATTCTATTATATTCTGCTGAAATTTAATGTTTAGCATTCACCAAGGTAAAGTTTAGTTCCTCAATGTTACAGTTTCTTTTCTACTGCCGTACTACTCAATTTATAAGCTGTGAGAGTACTTTGTAGGAGTGAGATTCAACAGTGAAATTACAGGCTATAGAGGCGTGATATCTTGGAATGCCAAGGCATGAGAAGAACAATGCAGATGTATTGTAGCATGTTAGGTCCTCATATTTATATTGAGTAGCATTATTCTCTAAGGATATTTAACATATTTTATATACATGCTATATAATAAAAACATATTTTAAGTTTGTGTAAAATGAAACACATGTCCATAGGTCTTGCATCACACATTAATTTTGATGAAAACAGAATGGATACATGGCGGACATAAGCACTAAAAGCACAAAACATACAAACTTGAGTGAAAAACAACAGCATATAATTATATATATTATTATGTGACAGGAAGCACTACAATCCTTGGCATGTGACCCTGGACTTCATGAGATGTTGCCAAGGATGTGTACCTTTATTTCGGAAGGTGTGAAAGTGAATGTTGTGCAAAATAATCTGGCCTTGCTGATCTACCTAATGAGAATGGTGAAAGCGTTGCTCGATAATCAGTCTCTTTTCCTGGAGAAATATGTAAGTAAACTCATTATTTAGCTAAAAGAAAAATAACTGATATTACTATCACTCATCATCTTAAGCCTTATTCTACAATTTTTCTTTATTTATAATCATTTTTAATATTTCCCTTTTTATTCTGGGTTAAGCAATTGATATCCAGTTCTGGAATTAATACCCTTTAAATGTTATTAATATTATGTGAGAGTGTGTGTGTCAGAAAATTGAAGGAGGCGAGAAACACAAGTATGTTGTTTAAAATTATACACTGATATTAGATTGTGCCCATCCTTGTGATACAATTGATATGCTATAGATATATCTGTACATATGTATGCTTAGTGCAGATACCGGTGTAAATGTACACTAATGTTTTTCTGTCTTATGGAAATTGTTTCTCCTTTGAAATAAATATTATTATATATTCGATGATCTCGGTGGTCTAACTGGTTTAGCTCACCAACTTACATCCAATGGTCGGGGGTTCGATGCCTTACTCGATACAAACATTTGTATTCATGAGTATGATTCTTTGTATCGATCTGGGTGGTTAGTATGTGTTTACAAAAAAAATCGAAGTATACATAAGTTGTCTAGTATCCGTAACACAAACTTTGCTTAGTTTGGGACTAGATGGCGCTGTGTGAATAGTCCAAGGTTTTTTTGTTATTATCATTAATTAATAAATTAAGTCGATGTTGATTTAATTGATTAAATCGTCGCGCTCTGCTTTGTTTATTATGATTACTTCACAATTTTGCAAAATGGACACTAACTCGGTTTTGTAACGCGTTTGGGTAACGCATTTATTACAACTCAAAAAAAAAAAAATTTTTATACAGTTGCATGAACTGATCCCGTCAGTATCTACGTGTATTGTGTCGCGGCAACTCTGCTTGCGTCCTGAAATGGACAACCATTGGGCGCTGCGGGACTTCGCATCACGCCTCATGGCTCAAATTTGCAAAACTTTCAACACCTCTACTAATAACTTGCAGACGCGAGTGACTAGGTATGTAGCAGCCTACAGCTTGATATTTTATTTCTAACTTTATTGTAAAAGTGTTTCGGTTACTATCATTAGTCTTGTTGTTTTGACCTGACTAATTTATTTAGGTCTTCACCTAACTTAGACTTAATGAGTCAATAAATTAAAATAAAACATTCGCCTACACGCTCTTGATAATGCTAATTTAAACTTTTTTTTTAAATAGTATAGGTTATCAGTTATGTTATATGTACATGTTAGTATACGGGATTTCTACCATAATAATATTGTTTATGAGTTCCCGATATTTCTAATAATACAAAATCTAACACTTTATAATTCGGAATAGTTATAGATCCTCTTGACTCTTAGCTATTAAGCCAACCTGTATACAATAACACATTATCAATCATACTAGTGGATTCCGAGACTGGTTCAAAATTTTAAAATGGTTATAGTTGTTTAAGTGTTTATATGTTTAATATGTGCAATCCAGAACAACTTTTTTTATTATTTTTATACAACATAACTTTGTGCTTCTGTTAGCGATTAGAGTCATATTGTGTTTTCTACATAGACTCTTCGCCAAAGCCTTACAATGTCCATCACAAACAAATAATGAGAATGGAGTGGGACCGTCTATGGTGACTAGTATGAAAGAATCAGAGAAAACACCATTGGCATCACTTTATGGTGCTGTTCAAGGATTAGCAGAACTCGGCCCGGAGGTTGTTAAGGTAATTATGCTATTTTATTAGTGTTTATGTAGAATGAAATGTTTGTTCAATTATCGAAATCATTACGTAGCTACTTAATATATAGTTTAATCTTAAAATGTTTAATTAATAATATGTTTTTTATACGTAACTATAATTTGAATGTAACGACATTAAAAGTTACACTTTTTAAGTTCTACCATGAAGTAACGACTTCATGGTAGAACTTAAAAAGTGTACTAAATTTTAATTACGTACAGTCAATTAGGAAATATCACGGGATCATACGAGTTTTCTTTATTACTAGCTGCACCCGCGACTTCGTCCGCGTGGAATTTAACTTTATTTTTCTAAAATAAAAGTTACTCATTACATCTGCCACCTGCAAATAAAAGTCCCGTCAAAATCGGTCTCGCCATTTCAGAGATTAGCCAGCACAAACAGACCGGATTACAAGTATACTGTTTTAAAGGTCGTTTAGACCTTTAAAACAGTATACTTGTAAACAAGTTGAATGATTGTAAAAATAGTTAATGTGGTTAAGGTTAATCATGTAATCATCTGTGTGTAGGTGTTTATTTTGCCGCGCGTCCGGTGGCTTGGTGAGCGTGTGGAGGGCGCGCTGAGCGGTCTGGGCGGCGCCGACCGGCAGGCGGCCGGGAACCTTAAGCAGCAGCTGCTCAAGGTGCTGGCGCCTGTCATCCGCCAGCTTCGGCAGCCACCTGACGTCGTCGACGACTACAAGTAACACTTATCATTAAAAAATTCCCCAGCAGCAACTGACATGTATTATTTCCTGCTTGCGTCGGCAAGGAAGCTATAGATGTATACAATATATAAATAAATACATGTATGACGAAACAAAACATCATAGAAAGATTTTTATGGGGAAACAAATGGGGTTTTACTAGTTTTTTGAAAAATGGTATTGGATTGAGCAGATCTAATAGAAAGTGGCAAAGCGTTCCAAAGACGAATAACCTGGACAGTGAAGGATTGAGAAAAGAATTTAGTAGAATGAGGAGGGGTTACCAAACAAAGACGTCTTATTCTGCGCACCTTTCGGTCTTGCGAATCGTTATGAAGGTAATGCATGGTTTATTGTATTTGTACGTGCAGGCGTGACTACGGGTACCTGGGGCCGAGCCTGGTGCAGCTGGTGGCCAAGCAGCGGTCGTCGCCGGCGGCGGGCAGCGCGGGCGGCGCGGTGGCGGTGGTCACGTGCACGCCGCCCCTCGTGCCCTCCGCACCCTCCGCACCCTCCGCACCCTCCGCACCCTCCGCACCCTCCACACCCTCGCCCTCGCCCACTCCCTCGCAGTCACACGCCTTTCCCACCAAGACTGTTGGTTAGTCTCCTGTTGTTTTTTATCGCTTCGTTGACGGCCTCGGTGGTCTATCGGTTTAGTCACCACTTTACTTTGGAATGTGCTGGTTCGATTCCTCGCACGATACAAACATTTGTAATAATGAGTATGATTGTTTGTATCACACTGGGTGTTTTCTATGTATATTATGTATTTACAAAAAATAAATGGATTTATGTCAGATGTCAACTACCCATAACACAAGGTAAGCATACCTTGAGATTAGATGGCATTGTGTAAAGATCAGGGGCATTATTATTATTTTATTTTTAGCCAATATGCTTCTTATCATTATATTATTATACAAAAAGTGCCTACCCCTTTTTACAAATAACTATTAATATCTATATTCAATGTATAAAGATCGCTCTAGTTAAATAAACATACATTTAATGTACCTGTCTGAACTATGTACAGTTTAAAATTTAAAAGATTTTTTTCAAATAGTCGTTCCGGTGATTATCCTCCTCATACAAAGAAAATTCACACTTTATTTTTGTAATGACTTAGAATTAATTAAATAATCTAAACATTAGTATTAACCTTGCCATACATACCTTATTGTTACTAAACATTATATTATTTTATATAAAATTTAGTTTCAATCTTAGGATAAATAAAATAATACCTATATATACATATATATTTGTAAATTGTGTATACAGAAAGCGTAGCGACTCGCAACGTGGTAATTAGTGCGTCGCCCACCCCGCAGTCGCCGGCGCCTGCCACGCCGCCACCGCAAAAGTTCGTCATCGTCGCGTCGCAGCAAAAGCCTCCACAGGTTTGAGAATAACGCGCACTATTACTCTTTGTAAAAAATATATTAAAAAAAAACCAGGTTGTTTATTGATCAAATAGTTTATTACAGTCTGTCTTTCTTTAGCATGTTTAATAAACAATTTCGGCATGTCATTAACAAATATCTCAATTTAAACCTTACAGTTTAGTTTAATTAACATTCTACATTTCAATTAAGAGGTCAATTGGTGTGGCAACAATTTGAAAAACAACAACTAACTTTTAAAGTTATGCTTAGTAATTATTTAGCCGTGCGAAGCCAGGGCGGTTGAGCTAATTATTTGTATAATTGACTTTATTGTCTATGTGCGAATAATATTGAAAATGTTTTTAAAACAGCCTCAACCCGCATGTGGTACCGGTCACATCATAGTGCATTCGCAGCCAACTATAGTCCGCCAAAACGTTCAAGTAAGCAAGCACACGATATTTTTGTATACTACGAGCGTGCGGTGCATGGTGCATGTACTTGTTGGTGCAATATTATTGTCTGTGGTGCGGGTATTGGGTATAAAAATCAATAAAATAAAACATAGTAGTATATTGTAGTTATAAAGATTTACTGGATTCAAGAAAATTGTGGATAATTTACAATATGATCAATACGGTTATAATAACGGCTTATTCCGTGTGTTGACAGTAGCACACATTTTATCACTCTTTAATGATACTAAGTTGGAAGATACCAAATTACAGCGCAAAAGATGAAAAAATAAATTATACTAAGCAGATTATCCGGCAGCGTATGATTCGATTTTAATATAACTTAGTATAGTCTGCAGTGGAACATATTTGTGGTGCATAATGAATATATTCATCATGACCTTATGGTCATAAGTTAGAGCTGTGTATCTACTATGCGTGTTTGTTGTCGCAGTCTGTGGTGGTGACGAGTGGCCCAGCGGGCGCAGCGCCGCCACAGAAGGTGGTGGTGGTAGGAATGCAGCCACAAGCCGCCCCTCCTGCCGTGCCCGCTCCGCACCCGCCCGCCGTCGCCACCACACCCAGTCACGTTAGTCAGGTTTGTATTATCCCTAGAGAAAATTGCCCTATTTTACCATGCAGTAAATTGTAATGGATATCGTTATCAATTACATATGCCGTGCTGATTCTGCAATGTTGTACCACATGAATACTATAATTATGAATAATACTTTACATATCACCAATCAAGTCCTTGAAGTGAATCACACAATATGACATAGAATTTCGTCATTTTGACGAATACTTACTACTTTTCTCTTTTCATTAACTGCCTTTACTCGTACGTTCTTACTCGCCCGACTATGATGACAAAGACAACGAGATGACCACGCGCGCCTCTAGCTCGCGCATTCCCGCCTCACACAATCGTGCATTCTTTAACGCCTTTTTATATAATAAGTATATATATATAAATATTGCAAAATGGCTATCTTCTTTGGACCAAATGATTGCCCGGGCTGTAGATTGTGTCGCGTAAAGGCAGCTATTATTTCAGAGCAAGCTTACAGTTATGTATATAAATAGTGAGTGTTGTGTGTTGCACAGGCGCCGGTGTCGGTGGTAGCGAAGCCGGTGTTCACTCGCGGCGGCGGCGGCGGCACCCCGCAGCCTCCGCCTGAGCTCGATGACCTGTCACATCTCGCCTGACAGCCACGCCCCCTCAACGTCACCATTATAAAACAATACACTAGGAAAAAGCCACAGTGAATATTCAATTTTTCCTACTTACATTTATACACATGTGTGTATTATCAGTTTATATTAACTTGTAATTAAATGTTATAATTTTACAATTAAATCTCATTTAAAAATAGACGTTTGACTAAAATCACGTGTCCGTGAATTTCCGTTTTTCTTCATTAGTGCTTTAGCTTCGACTGTTATTAAGTGTACACATAGATATTGCGACAAGTGTTTCGCTTCTGAACGAGGCATGATCAGAAAATTAATTGTTCGGACTTTGGCAGGCTTGTTTGACCATTCGGAGTCCTAACTGGTGCCTCATCTGAACTTAAATACTAAATAAGTAGTAACGTAAAATTTATATATATAGAGATCCATTAAAACAATTGCAAGAAATATTAAAATATATATTTATAGTTTGTAAATAAGATTATATTTTGTTTGTTATGATAAGACACTATCTCTTTTCCTTTTACTGAGTAACGCATTTTCCTGACACACAGAGTTTTGGGGGCTATTCATAAATTACGTCACAGTTAAGGATTCCATAGTGTGACGAGGTATACGAAGAGACCAAATTAAAAAAAAATATAGCAGTAACAAAAAATTATCAAAACACAGAAATTGAACTGTTGACGAAAAACTAAGAATATTTGAACAAAAGGTAAAATAATTTTGAATTGCCCTTTTCTTTCAACTTAATAAATTTCTTCATACAAGGTTGTCGGTTATGAATATTAAATATGTTTTTTTATAATATTATTAAATATTTTAGTGCAATTATTCATAATTAATGTTGTATTATACTGATATATTCCAAATGGCTGATATAAGAGGGTGAACACGAAACTTCCATGCGTGCCTAGTTTTCAATAATTGCAGTAAATTATCAAGAATAATAAAGAAAAATTAATTATGTAAGATTATCTGTTATTGTCTATTAAAAAATTAATACATTACGTTTAATTAAAATATGGCGTTTTATTTTGATTCTTGTTTCCAACTAAAGTATATATATATACCCAATTAATAGATGCATGGAAGAGGTTCAATGTATTTTTTAAATTTATTCGATGTAAGGCTGTTTCATTATTGAAATAGTTGTTATAATTAGCGTCTATTTGTTTTTATGTTTATGGAATGGCCTAATATTTAGGTATCTTCTAAAGCAATGTGATTAGTAAAAATCTAAAGAACAGAACTAATATCGAATAAAACTAATAATACGAATGGATTACTCAGCATAAGTATTTTTTCAGTAGCGAAAAACTTGATTTTTACCACTTCCCTTCAACTTGCAGAGCTAACGATCTTCAAACAACTGAATAGCTTTTTTAAACATGTAAGTGTAAAATATCTTCGAACGATATTTTAATCCTTTTTCAAACATTAAAAGGAGGAGAGGAGAGGTCCCGTCATTGTAAATCCGGCCCTGTTTAATCCGAATGGGATAAAGAAATACTTATCAATGTATAAGTAGGCAATTTCATATGCAAAATTTGTGGTGCGGAGGTAATGTGATATCGAAATACTTAAGTTATTAATACTTTTTTATGATAAGTAAATAAATAGATAATTAATAACCCTGGACAAGTCACACAACGCCATCTAGTCCCACGGTAAGTAGAGTTTGTATTATGTGTACTAGACAATTCATATAAGTACTTAGGTATATATTTTTTGTAAATACATACATAATATACATAGAAAACATCCAGACTGATACAAACAATGATACTCATGAATGAATGTTTGCACCGCAAGACTACCGAGGCAGTCTCTTTATTTGTTGTTATTAACAACGAATAGAGTGACATTTAAATTTTAAATTTAACTTATATTGAAACTAAGGATTGTTAAGAGACGAAGTAAAATTTGTGCATAAGGATGTATGTGAAAAAGATATGAGTATTGGTATATAGACTCACTCCACATATACACTATAATGTATATGTGTACCTATATTGTTTGTGTGTGTGTTAATTTAACAGATCTTGTGTTAGGCATAAGTGTAAGTATTCGTTTCGTCATAATTTAGTTTCATCAGCCAGTCTGTGATAACTTTAGTTAATTTGATGTATTTTGTAATTGTGCATTTCTTGTATACGTACCTATATATATATATATATATATGTACGGATGAGAAAAATATTTGGCAAAATATTTATCTGTAAATAATCTATAACTGTGTTATATATTCTGCTACCTGGTCGCGTGTTTAAGTATATGTTGTGCCAAGTTTTACATGTAGAGATATTACACTTAAATTATAGGGCTCAGCAGCGTAACACCTGTCCTCAAGAATAACAATGTATGAGAGGGGAATCGATACGAAAGGCCTCTGTTTATTTTTTACATTTCACATTATAAGTAGAAAATTACTATACGAATAGGTATAAATTGTTTTTGAATTATACAAGAAAACCCTTTTCACGTAAGATCTCACTTTAACTAGTAATGACAATAATAATAACGGACAATTCTCGCGACGCTATCTAGTCCCAAGCTATGCAGAGCTTGTGTTATGGGTACTAAACGCAATATATGAAATAGGTTTTTTTACATATATACATAACTAGCTGTACCCGCGTAAATTAGTGACCTTGACAAAATAATGAAAAAAATATTTAATGACCTAACCCAATAAAAGCAATGAAAAAGTTTCATCCTTTTTGCTTCAAAAATGTCGACACTTCTATACATAACTCTTTCAACCCCTTATAACTCTTTTTCTAAATAAATATTGAATAAATAGGCTAAAAATTAAAATTCAAGCTTCTACCTTTAAAAATGACAATATTTCCATATAAACATTTAACTCTCCTTTAAATTCTTTACAAACCAATTTTCTTTATTTATATTTAATCAACAGCCTCAAAAATAAGTTTCAAGCTTCTGACTTAAAAAATGACGATCTTTCAATCCCTATTTTATTTTACCCTCATAATGGTAGAATTTTAAAAACTTTGAATATGATATTTATTCATATTTAATCACCAACCTAAAATATAAGTTTCAAGCTTCTACCTTTAAAGCTTTTACCTTTTTGATGATTCTTACGTACAACCTTGCATCTACCATTTCAACCCCCTTACAACCCTTTCAAAAGTATCCTATGTGCTTTCTCAAGATCTAGATTAATTGTGTACCAAATTTCACTTAAATCTGTTAAGTAGTTTTAGCGTGTTAGTGAGATTGACAGACAGACAGAGTTACTTTCACAGTTATAATATTAGAAAGGTATTTAATAAACTAACTCAAAATGCCAATAAAATGGTTTCATCGTTCTAATTTCAATAATGACGAATTTACATAAAAACCTTCATCCTCTATTTTATTTTAACCCCTACCTAAAGGGTAATTTTTACAAACTTTGAATGTCATATTCATTTATATTTAATCAACAGCCTAAAAAATAAGTTTCAAGCTTCTGGCTTCAAAAATGACGAATTTACATAAAAACTTTCATCCCCTATTTTATTCTACCCCCGTAAGGGTAACATTTTTATAAACTTTGATGGCCTATTAATTTATATTTAATCAACAGCCTCAAAAATCAGTTTCTATCTTCAAAAATGACGTATTTACATAAAACTTTCTTCCCCTATTTTATTTTACTCCTTTGAGGGTATTTTTTTACAAACTTTGAATGTCAACAAGGACGAATTTACATTAAATAAATTATCCCCTAATTTATTTAACCTCCTTAAGTGTAAAATTTTTAAAAACTTTGTATATCATATTTATTTATATTTCATTAGCAGCCTCAAAAATAAGTTTCAAGCTTCTAGCTTCAAAATGACGAATTTACATAAAAACTTTCATCCCCTATATTATTTTACCCCCTTAAGGGTAACATTTTTACAAACTTTGATGGTCTATATATTTATATTTAATCAACAGCCTCAAAATAAGTTTCAAGCTTCTGGCATCAAAAACGACGAATTTACATAAAAACTTTCATCGCCTATTTTATTTTACCCCTTAAGAAAGAATAAAAATGTTACCCATTTTTATAAACTTTGATGGCCTATTTATTTATATTTAGTCAACAGCATAAAACATCAGTTTCTGGCTTCAAAAATAACGAAGATACATAAAAACTTTCACCTCCTATTTTATTTAACCCCCCCAAAGTTTTTAAAAATGTTACCCTTAACATTTTTAAAAACTTTGTATGACATATTTATTTATATTTAATTAGCAGCCTCACAAATAAGTTTCAATCTTCTAGCTTCAAAAATGACGATTCTTCCATACAATCTTTCATCCCCAATTTCAACCCCTTATAACCCTATTTTCGCATTAAAAAGTAGCCTATGTCCTTTCTCAGGGTTTATCAGGGACTATCTGTGTACCAAATTTCATTTAAATCGGTTCAGTAGTTTTGGCGTGAAAGCGAGACAGACAGACAGACGGACAGAGTTACTTTCGCATTTAAAATATTAGTAAGGAATAAGGATTTACATTAAAAATACCCAGGCTGGTACAATCATACTCATGAATACAGTGTACCTTGCGAGGAATCAGAAGTAAGACTAGTGAGACCATCATTATCACTCTTTTCTGAAACACACAGACGGACAGTATGATAAAAGTTGCATGATAACGTGTGGGTTCGTTTGGTATCCCGAAAATCAATCACAATATTTCTAATTAAAAAAACTATGAAATAAAGACATCTAAATTAATATTTTTGGAATGTTAGAAAAAACTGCAAAGGTCTAGAACAAACTTTGCTTCGACAATAAATGTCTTTAACATATTTTCTTATATTTTAGAGATGCATTTAGTATTATACCAATAAAAATTATTTTAAAATAATAACTTCCTATATTTCAATGATGAATAGTATCAGATATTAAGCCGATGTTACCAAGTCTTAAAAATACATTATATATTCATATGATAATGTGTAGGTATTTGTATCTATTGTCTAGACATCTTGCTATGAAATGCTACGGATATGCCGTATTATTATTTGAAGAGTTCGATTATTGCCGGTAAGTACTGTGGCATGTGAACCAGTAAAGAAGCACCGAATCCGCATATAATGGACACAATACTTCACAATGAATGAATACCCACTCGACTGAATTGATAAGTGGGTTGTAGCGTTTGCGTGGGGAGATAGTGTCCGCCCGCCCGCCCGTCTCGTTTGCTACGCCTTACTAAAGGGGAAAGTATAGAATCAGTTTTCAATGCATTACACTTTTTGCCTATCATGATTGAATATCTCTGAGACAATTTATTATTATTAGTTATTAAAAAAATATTCGATTACGTATTTTCTAAAACAATAAAATAATATTATTATAAATTCAAGCAACTTGAAAATTATCTAATAGAATTATTTTATTTATTTAACTATTTTCCCGTTATTTGTATGGCAACAAAAGTAAGCAATAAAACACTGTAAATAAATAAAACAAGTTAAAGTAATTATATTTGTAAATATGATTATTCTTTTTTATCATAATAAGTAAATAAATTATGGTTTATTTTATACACTATATAAAATCAAGAAAGTCACCTAAATAAATACACTTTTGTCTGCAATGTTATAGAATTATATGACTTCCAAGTTCTATAGACTCGCTTAATCTTTGGTGGGTCACTCCAGTCCCGATGGCATCGGCGGCGGCGCGTTCTGTCTGCCTGACCACTGGCCACGAGTGGATCCCAAACGGCGATCGCTTAGGCGACATTCTGTTACAGACGCAGCTAGAGCGCGCTCAATCCTCGTACGCTCTCTACTGAAATATTCCGAACTTCACTTTTTCGCGCCAAATTGTTCGGGAGCTCTTCAGCCTAGAAATTAGGGTTCTTTATTTTTTTTTTTTCATACAAAGAACTTTTTATAAATGGACGAAAGCATTTTGTGATGCGCGGTTATATTGTGTTTTTATTGGTTTGTTTCTTTGTGTTTTTACCAGAATCTACAGAGGCGATTCGCTGGTTGTAAGTATTAAAAAAATATTTTATATTCATTTATGTTTTTACTAAGTTACTTTATAGTAGTTAAATTGAATTGTTTATTATTACTTTAAGAAAGTTCTAAATTAATTGTGCTCGCCTCGTTATTAAAATAAATTATTTTATTATTGTGCAAAAGATTTCATTTGTATGTTCAGTCATGTAAATATATATTCTGTATAATAGAAAAATTCGTTATTATAACATTCCTATGCTTTGGTGATCTGGCAGTACTTTCTTTATGTCGGCAAGTATCTATAGCTACATATGTATGTACTATATATGTACACATACCTATATGTAAAAAATACAGAAGGCATATATATTTGTTCCTAATGTATTTTTTAATTAAATAATTATGGTATTTATATTTAATTTATTTCGCCATATTTTTCACATAATTGATTGTCTTATGTCTATAATAATCATAACCATACAAAGACTCTCAAGTTCTAAGTATATATATATGTATATTATGCTTCAAGAGTTGTTAATATATATACATTTAAAATTTCATTCAAAATAGTCATTTTTTTGCTGATGTTTTGATTAAAGGAATATTCCGTTTATAGAATCTTTGAAATGTGTTTTTGTTCATTGAATGTTAAATAAATATTTGGTGAGGAGGTATTACTATCTATTATAAATTCTTAAACGTGTATAGAGCATACTTAATAATAATACATATTAATATTTCTTGTACTTATATTTTTTTAAATACCTACACTTTTTCCAAACTCTATCTACTGCAAATGGACAAACAACACAATTACGTGAGAATGTTTTATAGCCTGATTATTAACTTTACCCATATTCTATATTACATATTTAAATACTTCACTAGCCATGCCCGCGACTTCGTGCTTGTTCTATTCGGAATAACAATAGATTCAGCTAAATCGAACGCGGATCGAGCGTTCGTTTGACCTTTTCTAGAACAGCGCATTAAAGTGAAAGATACATGAATTGTTATCACGCTTACTATAATACAATACATCATTGACAAACGAAAGAAAATCTATTAAACTATTTCTGAAATTAACGTGCATAAACAAGAAAATATGTTAAGCTATTTCTGAAATTAACATGCATAAACGCACAAACAGATAACAATTATAAAAACGTCAAATTTGATATTTTTTTAATTAATGTAAACATTAAAAGAATTTACGGTAAAATCTAAGATTACGATTCTATAATATTATATGTTTGATGTAATGATAAAGATATATTCTTAATTAATTTTATACACAGAGGTAGTCCCTATATAATTTGTATATTCAATTTGAGTTTAAGCTAAACTTCTATCTCGAAATCTTCAAAGATTCCTGAAACGCAATGAGTTCTTTAAGATTTATTATTATTATATTTCTCTTATAGAGGACAATATTCTATAAAATAAAAGAATGATATCATATGAAATTAAAATATTTAATACAATAATCTATGCGGGAAGTTTTTCATAATATAATACAAACTTTTAATAAAGGTCGTAGTATAATTTAATGTAATTTGAAACATGTAGTAAGAATTAATGGAGTTAAAGAAAAAAATGTGTATATATGTATAACCAAAAAATATTCAAATAATTTCGCCTGGTTGCAACCGCTGCCTAAGAAAAATTTCTGGAATCCCTATTATTTCATTTCGTAATAAGTGTTTTTTTTAGTATTTTTTAAAACTGCCGCCATTTAGACAACTAACAACTGAATAAGTTGTTAGTTGTCTAAATGGCGGCAGGATGTTTTAATTTTTTGTTGCTTGTTAGCGGTATACCTGTAGCAAAGTAACCATCGCGACAAATCAAATAATCCCAAAATCTATTAATAGCTTTGTATTTATCACACAGTTGTTAGCAACCACTTTTCAGCTCCATGACGACCAATTCATTGATACCATAACATTACATTGGCCATACAGAAATGTGTCCAATATCTTAATATACGACGTCAACAAACAGTAAAAACATTCAAAATATATTATTAAAAAATTAGTTCTATTAAAAACACTAACGATAAGTCATAACCATCAGTGTTTAGAACTTTTGTCATCTTTACTGCTTTCTAACAGTATATTATTTATTCAAAATGTCTTTCATAAAATAGGAACAACTAGTAATATAGTCTGTCCCTCTCAGATTTTCGATACGGGATATCAAGCATAACACCACAATTCGCCCCTGAATGCGTCCATCGGCGTTCCCTAATTGAACATTGCACTAATGAGCGGCGTTGTTCGGTTGCAATCCGCAATTATTCGCTCCGAGATTACACCCGGAAATGTACCGGGAATTGGGTTTCTCGCTCGGTATCAGCTTCGACAATGGTAATTTCATATTACTACCGGATCATAAACTGATTATTGTTGTTGTTATATACACGTACTTATTTAATAATAATTTATATGTCTAATTACTAATTATATTTATATATAAGTATATTTTATTTGACGTAAATAAGATACCAAACTACCTACTGTGCCATGTATGGGCGCTATTTGTTGAGAATGTTTTTACAGTGTTATTTTGTATTTTTTTAATGTGCTATACAATTGCATTATTATTATACGAGTAACTATAAACATGTTAATTTTTTATTCATATGTATACAATATACAGAGTAGGTAAATTGTAGCTTCGTTGTATTTAGAATACAGCAGGTAAGTGACCCGCTTGCCAACTTTGACGTGAGAAACACACAGCTGTTACCAGTGGTTCCACATTTCACTTCCTGTACGCAATCTTTCTGCTCAGTCCTGAGTCAAGTTTGATTTCTTTTCAAATTATTTAATACTGCTCTCTCTCAAGAAGATTTTATAAAAAAGTTAGAATAGTCGTTTTTAAAAGAGATATTATTAGATACTTCTAAATTTTGCAACAAAAAAATGTCCACTTACCATCATACCTAAATTATTGCTTTTCTTCCAATGAAATTTTCTGACCCATTGCAGGTAATGATTATAGCTACGTAATAGAAACTTGAGTATACTATATAGTCTTCCCCGTTACAGTTAAAATATTATTATTATTCAACCTGCGTGTACCAATAACTGATTGTCTTCCCAAACGTCCCGGGCATGGGACTAAGAGTAAAATGTCCTCGTATAGTGATTCTTGTGAGGAGCGCTTTCAGTTTTCGCTGAGTTAGCAAGGGCCGTGTGTGGCAGACCGAAAAAATAATTTGCTTCGCTCGAGTTCCCACTGTGACTTTTCCAGGCGGCCGTCCCGTGCATCTGGCGGGACCTATTATTAGGGGACGGCTCTTAATGCTTTCTTAGGTATTTTTATATGGCTGGCGTCTTAGTTTTTACGATTGTGATTTTTATTGAATTCCCCCTTCCGCGCTATGTGGGTGCTCGTGATATGCCTGCGGGCGAAGGTGAAATACGAGGCACTTTGCCAGATTTATTTTATAGCACTGTGTTGAACACACTTCTTCAGGTTTTATACATTTCTGCAAAACAAAAGTTACATTTATATTATCCGTTTTACGGTGTTCAGTTCATACCTTTTTCGTATCATTCATATGGCGCATGTTTTATTAATTTCGATCATTATTTTAATAAATCAGTTCGTGTATACACTAATTGCTAAAAACTTAATTTTCTGCAAGTTATATTTATTCTAATCCCACACGCTGCAAAAAGGCAAAATAATTATAAAACCGGAAACTTTTGTGAAAGCTTACAAGCACGGCTTAGTATAACAACCGTGCAGGGTTTCTTCGGTGAAACTTTGCGGTGTACACTTTACAGAGAGTTCGTAACTTGCTAGGTAAGTGGATAAGATTACCTACACGTGTAATTGGTATACTTACATATATCACTTTTCAATGCTTGAAGGCAAAGTAAAATTATCGCTTATTATCGATTATAAAGTACCTGTAAGACACCTGTTTTCCTGTTTACATGATCATTGCAGCATGTACAATTGCATAATTTTCGTGGTCCTATTTATACGGCGGTTATCACATACCAAAAATCATTTTTTTTATCAGCAAAATTAAGACATAAAAAAGCTGTTTGAGATCACAGCCTAATCAATACGAAATCAATAATGTGAAAAAAGTGTTAGAGAAAGATACAACAATTTAAGCAATTTAAAAATAAACTACATGTATTAAAATAAAACATCAATAGTGGATAAAAGAACGAAATAGCTTCAGATATTGTAGATATCAATATTCAAGACGAATTTAATTTGATTTCAATTCTAAACTGCCAAAAGTTAAGACTGTAGATATAGATTTTAGTCTATAAAATATGGCTTGTCTACTTTTGCGTACTGTTTAAAACACCAACATATAAAACCGTCTCTACATTATATCAAAAAATTATAATTGTATTATTAAATTATTGATTTTTACTGATATTAGTAAATCACAAAATATCATAAAAAAATCAATACAACTATTATATAATTATTCAAATAAAGAAGAGTCTACCAATGACCACTAATGACTGCGACCTATTATAATAATTCTTCTAGATTAGAACTATAACTACATGCTGTACCTAATGAGATTAGGTACAGCTTGTACGGAAATATATACATTATAGTATAGATTTTCTACCTCGCAGCAAACCTGTCCAACCTTCATTACATAGTCTGGCAGGAACTTCTAATAAACGGACGTCAAAAGCTCTAAGAGGCTTTTCAAACTTGTAAGTAAATTTGAGTAGGCAAAAACTAAATAACTTACTTTAATAATTTAATACATGTTAGAGGTAGATTATAGCATAATACACATTTATTTCAAACTAATTACTAAAAAGACTATCCTGAAAAGACTTAAATAAATCTAAGAATCTAATAGTATTTATGTTGGCATGAATTATAATTTGTAATAATAAGCCAAACTTACCTACCTTAACTAATTATTGGAATCTCCAGTAATCCAACGTCGAAAATACTACAATAATCATAAGTATTGGTACTTAATATGTTGATACTGACAGTTAGAACTGATATTTCTTGGTACTTGGTGGAAATCAGGAAATGTGATGTGAATTTATACGTGCACATATGTATTTTACTCCGCCTGGGCAATTTCGATCATTATCTAATGTTTACTTAGGTAATTTTTATTTTATGAATACATATGTATCAACATCCAAAAAATATTACGTATATTTGATAATGCATAAATGATACGGTAGATAAGGTAAAAGAGAATCTCTGTAGAAAAAATTGGTATCTAGTCTAAACATACACATAATACATGAAAGTCTGAATGTTATAGTAGGTAAATTACTAACTAGCTTTTCTAGCGTTTTTGACTCGTTTTTTTAGATAGGTATAAGTCTATGTCCGGTCTTGTGATACAAACTACTCTCAAGTTAGATTTCATTGTTAGTTATTTAGCTGTTTAGTTTTAAAAAAATACGGAATTACGGACACGCTTTTGTATTTATAATATTAGTACGGATGGATATATTTTACGTAAGCTATGATAAACATTCCAACAATATACTTTGTTTTGTCGATTCATAAGACTGTTTGCCATTATCATTCTTTAGAATTCGTAATCCTCAACGGGCGGATAATCCTCGTTTCAGTGACAAAAGAGGGCGGCGACCAGCGCGCACGCAATAAATGCAACAAACTACGCGCACGATTCATTTGATCTGACACAAATTTATCCGCACTGTACTGCTCTTTATTTACGCGGACGCGATGTTCAGTTCGCCCTGACAAATTCATAAATTACCGACATCCTCACTGCACGAATTCGTTTTGGCTTTTATTTTCGTCATGGATTTCTTGTTCAACCGTATCGACGGCACCTTTGAAGTATGGCTCATTAGTCAAGTTTGTCCAGTAACCGACTATTATTAAATAGTTAGGCATTCTTAAAATTAAGTGAATAATGACCAACTATCTACTTGTTATTAATAGAAGGTTTAGCTAACAATGACAAAGTGGAGGTTATACAAGTGATTATGTATAGTATACTTACTTATGGGGTTACAAACGTTTTAAATATTTGTAACACTATGACTGAGTTAAGATTTATGTTCTTGAAGCGTATTTAATAAAAGAGCAATATCGAAACTAGTCTTTTAAAAATAAAACAGTTAAATAGTATAAATAGACACATACAACAATATGTATAAATAATAAAAATCTTTTATTATAAAATTGAAGAATTTGTAAATAATAATATTATTGTAGAAAAAATCTAACTTAAAATTCATAGCGCTGACAATATCATCTGGTTAATGGTAATAAAAATGCAGTGCGTAGCGGTTTCTATGTTGTTTGTCGTATGCCTAATCCTTGTTAATGTAAATCTACTTAAAACAACATTTATTCAAAAGAGCAACACATAAGTTTCTTGCTCTTCTTCTTGTGATGAGTCTGCGTTCCTAATGAATGGTAGAATAAAAAATGTGATTGTTCCAAAGTGTTTAGGTATATTAAGTTTATCTGAATAAATATTATTTCTATTTCTTTTATTTTAGAACCGTAGCGGACCGTAGGTGGACCAATATTAGGTTATTATGATAATGATGTTGACATTCAGGGGCACACGGGTAAAAAAGAAGAACGAACACTCTTTGGGATTAATATCTCAGATACAAATCTAAAAATCCTATTACGTTCTCCGCCGACCTAAGTTCCGCATTAGCACTCTACCGTCTGTAACATTATAATAGGGATAGATAAATGGCCTTTCCAATACCCCTGTTTATTTATGTAGTTATTGTATTTAACAAAGCTATGTTTGTTATCGGGATCATAGCAGACTAGTTTTGCATACCATGTTCTATACGCGACATACTTACTACCATCGTAGAATAACTACATAATATTTATTGTATGCTACTAACGATAAAGTGGCTGCCTACTACATTTTCTATGTATGTTACTTTCGTCAGAAATAGAAGTTTAATGCTCAGTCTAGTCTAGAGTTTATATTTATTGTAGAGTTTAGTTTATTTAAATCTAGAAATGGTAATTTGTATTCACACAAACTTTTAAATTTTACACATTTTCAAAATAGTCATTACAGTGCTTTTCTACTTATTTTTCATTGTCAAGACTATATTTAACGGTAGATTAAAAATGACTGTTCAAAAGTACTTCGCTACTATTTACTATTTGTAGTATCTGTATAATTATAGTTCTGTACTATCTGTATAATTTATAAATATTAGAAATCCCAATACCTATTGAATAGTAACGTAAATGATCAGAGACTGGATTGACAAGTAGTGTGTGCAGGCGGCGTGCTGTCTGGTGGACGAAGATAGATACGAGTATGTTAGTTACATATTCCATGATTCACGCGCGACTTTTAGTCCGCCGCTGCACTGCCGCTGCACCGCCGCTGCACCGCCGCCGCCCTCGTTGTCACGCCCGCCCTCCGTCGTTTCTTTACGTACTTATGATTATATAATTGAACGTTCCTGCAATAATTTACAAAAATACTTAAATAAAAATATCATTTATTAAATTAATTCAAAACGATTATTAAAAAAAGAAAGCATAGCCACTATACCTACATAGTTTTGATGTACAGTTATTCGTCGGTGACTATAATATAGAATACATTTTCATCGCTGTATTTGTAAATGTACATATTACGGTGCAGTCTTTTATGTATTTAAATAAATAACAAAATCAAATACCTATAAATTGTACAAAAAAATACGAAAGGCTTTACAATTTTAAAGCTAGTTAAATCAGAAAATATATATAGTAATTAAACTCTATTTAATTTAACGCCGTTTTAACACCGTTACAAGCACACGCCAATGTAGAGATAAGGCACGAACGCCCTCGCAGACTCCTGCCCCTCGCAGTTTACAAGAAAAAAACTTAGAGTAATAAATGCAAATCTGCAACGCTTCCATTTACATTGGATTAATTTGGACTGATTTATCGACGCGTGTGTCTTTTCAGTCAACAAGTGAACTTTGAAAATTAAAAACAAATTAAAAGCAACTTCAAAATGCATTCTCAACACATTGCTAAAAATAGTTACAGAATTCAGTATAAAATAATTCGATCAATCATTATAGAAATAGAAATAATTTTTATACAAATAAATTTAATATAAGCACATTTGAATATTCAAGTTTTTTTATTTTACCGCTCTTCAACAAGGGGAATAGCGCTCAACGGGTAATGCGTGACGCTCGCGTCATGTTATCGTGAAGTGCCGATTTTCGTATGCGGTCATACTGATCTAATTTTTGCATAAGTATTTTATGGGGTAAGTCTAAAATGCTTATTTAATCATTAAGTATATTTTTTGATAATAAAACTATTCTATTTTATGGTAATGCAATCAATTTTTAACAATTGCGCATGTTTTTTTTTCATTTCTAATTAATTACAAAACGACCGGTTGGGGGTTATACCGCTTACCTGAGCGCCATTTGTGACTAATTTTTTTTATATTTGTAGATATGCTAAGAAAACGTCAAAGGATCGCCGTTAAAGTTGTTAGACCGAAAAAGACCTTCAATCTGCTAAAACTAAGTTTGTCCAAAAGAAAGAAAAACAGGATACAAAAATCTTAAAAGAAAAATTTACATGAAAATCTTCAGATAGTGAAGATAAAGAGCACTTTTCCAACGATGACAGTGACGACAAAATGAATGTGGATGATAGAAATTACAACAAATGTATTATTTAATAGGAATTTGGAAAAAAATATGAATTCTGGTATCACTGCACCATCTGCGGACTGTGGGCTCATGCTACATGTTCAGGCTGGGATTCGCAGATAGATACATAATTGATTTATGTATCCAAGGATAAAATATTTTCATTTGTAATTTGTCTTACCTCTAATAATTATTATTATTTTATATTATATTACAATTATTGAAGTTGTTTTGACATCTAAGCCTGTACTATATTTATTCAATTGAAAGAGGCTAATTTTACGTACAAATGGGGATAATTGGGGATTGTTGATTTTACTTTTATTATATAAGATTGGTCTTATGAATATTTCTTTAATTAATATATTATACTGGTTATTAGACATTACCCCGTATCCTGAGCGGCATTACCCATAGTCAGAGGCAATGCTGCTCAAACATGTTTTTAAAAAATATCTTCCTACTACTAGTAGAATAAAGTTATATGATTTTGTTGTTAAATTGTTGGTTACTCGATACTTTACTTGTTACTTTTTTAAACTTTGATTTGCAATAAATAATTTATAATATACACCATGTTTTCCTTAAGTGAACGCCATTCACCCTTCTTCCCCTATAAGCAAGAAACTTGTGTGTTGCTCTTTTAAGTTAACCTCGATTTAATTAAATCCTAAATAATTATGTCCTGGCTTCTCCTGATTACGATTACTAATCGCTGTCATACTTCATATACAATATTAGGTAGAATAACATAATATCGATAAAACTATCTGAGTCCTTATCGTCTACTACGAGTATAAACGTGACAACGCACTTAACTGCTTCAATATCAAATTAATAACAATAAAGTTACAATTGTTGTACATTTCAACGCCACGACTTAGACAAATCACCGTTGTATTGAACAATTTGTTGAATAATCCCTACATTTGTTTCAATTATTCCAGCTTCCTTTGATAGCCGTTTACCTACATTAAAGCGAGAAAGGGATTTGTTGACGCGTGTTCAGAATGTATATTGAAATTATGTGTGTAATTATACTAATAGATATTCACGCGTTGTACTCGCTTCGTGTCCAAATAACAATCCCTGGCTCACATTTCATTTTAATTATTATTGTAGACATTTAACTTAAAATAGCTTTCGTATTATTCAGAACACAACGTGTATCTATTTTATAAATCATATTTAGGTTACCTATTGTCATCCTTTTTTTATTCTAAAATAAATGACTAAACTAAAAATGTAAATATAACTAAATAAATAACTCTAGTATCCTATTACTTATAGTTGATGTCACCACCCTCTAAAGTTCATTTGTAGTACTTATTAACCTTAAAATTATTTTTTATCCTAATATAACTTGTTCATTCTATAAAAAAAAGGGTTAGCTGGTCCTCTGAGCTATATAGTAACCGTGAACAATTATATTAAATACCATATACATAATTTACAGCCAGTTACTGAAGTAGGTAAATTCTAGCATCATCTCTAATAGATATGTAATGCTTGTGTATGTTTTAATTAATACCTGAATAAAGTCACGGTCTCATGGAACTTGATTAATAATAGTCCTTAGTTATGCATTGTATGCGCCTGTGTCGAATGGTTCATAATAGGGTATCATTGTCCCGTGTGTAATGAAGCGCGATGGCTTGCTGCGACGCGGCGGGGTCTGCCCCTTGTGCCTGATTGTTACAAATTGAGATTTCTTTCGGTAATATACGCAATTATACAGCGAACTTGCTACAGTTGCACAATGAAAGGATGTGGGCTCGGAAATGATTCGTCATTTTGTTCACGGCTCGACAATAATTGAGGCTGTATTTATTATGTCAATCGGAGCATATATTTAATATTGGTAATCCCAAAGGCAAAAGGAAGAAAGATGAATATTAGATGAAAAACTGGTAATTTACTTAACTAAATTCATTCAATAGTCATTGTTGTTCTTTTAAAAATAAACGGATTACTCATATGCTACAGTCACCCCTAAACGATACTTATATTTCTATTGCATCTAAGCCGCCACACAAAGTCACGTATTGTTGGAAGTTGCCTTTAAAGTCCCCTTGTTGTGGTGGTGTAGACTAGGTGGCGGGTACGGGGCGGAACACGCACGGCGGTGGTGCGACAATCATACTGCATTTAATCATCATTAAAGCGAAATCAGTGGCGTGCCGCTGCAGCAGCGCGCAGCGTCAGCTGGAATGCTCCCGTAACGTTTTTGCAACCTCCGAGGGCTTACTCAGGCTTTTTAAAATAAATTTTCACGGATTATTGAACAATACAATGTAACACCCTTTTATAAATCGCTTTACTACATTTTTCATTGCAGAATGTTATAAGCAGGTAGTTAGTAGTTTAGACACTTTCATTTTAAATAATATTACAATATTGTTGCTGTTCTATTCTATAAATAAAATAACCACAATTCTCTTTCTTTTATGCGTCCACAGGGTATATTTTTAAAGACAGTTGTGGTACAGCGTAAAAATATAAATTGTATTGAAATTAGAGTTGATGATGATAATAATAATATTCTTTTAAAAAAACATTATATTGTATCGTCGTGGGCTTTTTAAATTTTCTGCATGCTATGCATACATAAAACACAAAGCAAACTATGCCAAAAAGCTCGGTGATCTTTTGTGTGTCGCGACCAGTTATGACAAAGCGAATTCTCTACCCCTCGGCACGGCTCTTTGTCTACTAGATCGAGATAGATGCGTAAAATTTGATACGGGAATTATTTTATTAGATCCAACGTACACGTGCGCGGCGTGACGAATGCGATAATGCCATCGGCACCGGGTACAACAACGGAACAATTGCATTCCACATGAATTAACCATAATAGCGTCGCGGCTACGGAAGCTTTGTGCTCGAACCACCGTGACTCGATGTCCGGACTAGTCCGCAGTCAATTGCCGTTACGTAGTAGCCTATATCGCGTTGTCATTTAATTCCAGATCATTCCCAGCCTATGTAAACGTGTTATGCAATAAAGGGTATCATTAAGTATTTATAATTTAATTTGGTCAGTCAGTAGTTACAGGTACTTTAGAAATATTCAAAATTGTATACATACCATGTTATTTTATTAGTAAGCTATACTATAAAATATAGTTTAAAAAATTGGTTATTTAAAAGTTATGAACTTATATTATAATATATTCATGAATTTATATATAAACTACCTACTCGCCCCGGCTTCGCCCGGGTGTACTTGTATCGTATAAACCTTGAATCACTCTATCTATTAAAAAAAAAACGTTTCAAAATCCGTTGCTTAGTTTTAATGATTTAAGCATTCATAGGGACGGACAGACACAGAAAGTGACTTTGTTTTATACTATATAATGATAATGCCTTGTACTTGATAATGTAATAAACTATTAAAAGCAGTCATAATTGACTGTGCACATCGTTGCGTATTTGACATTGTGCGCCGTAACATCGTTCGCGTGTCTAACGTCCCCATAATGTAACGCGAATGTTGGATTTCTAAGCGAAACTAAGTCTCTTGATTAATGTGAGCTATATCCTACTGAAACACGATACCGTGACAAATAAATATTATCTTAAAAATAGTTTAAGGACATTTTTTGATCGTAATGAGCATTTTATATACCGGGCAGTATAATATCCCTATTCTTTTTTAGTCTGTTCTAGTCGGATATTTACCTAAACTGATTTTATTGGACTTATCT